AAAGCACTGGCATATTTTAGGCCTGTATATCATTGCTGTGGCCACATTTTTACCCACTTGTATTACTTTGTATGGTTGTAAGCCCGTGCGTTTCAATATACATATTTTTATTTATTGTTCTTGTGTTGTCATTTACTGCTTTCTCTTCGAAACAAGGAAATCCAGAAATGTTCATAAATTGAGTGAGTTCAGTTATTTCCAGCTATATGGCGGCGGTCTGCAAATGATCGAGTCTGGACCAGACAATCCAGGCATCAGCATCATGAGCATCGAACTCCGCATTGGGATACGATGGCATGTGTCAACCAAGTGAGCATGCATGACCACCCGAGCCTCTGAGTCGCCTCTTACGACAAGCATGGGCTGCTGAAGACAAATTCTAACCCAGCTCTTCACGGGTCTTTTGTACACGGCGATTCTGCGATGCTGGGGGTAAAATGGCATATTTGTATAGTGTAGGTATCATGATCAGGGCGAATCTGGAACTCCCAAAAGCGCTTTAAGAACGTTATTATGTGAAATTTATTTTGTAAATAGACAAAATATCGATTATCATTTTTTTCTTCTGTATGCGTATTGCCATTCCTTATTAAAGTTGCCCTGCGGTGTGGAAGGGAAAATGATTTACCCGAACGAGTCAGTATGGTTTTACGCCGCTTTGAGAAATATTCCAGCAATATCGCGGCGGGGGACACCGGAAATGGGTTTCACACATTGTACCCATGTGGGGCATCGGACCCGGGTCTTCGGCGTGACGAGCCAAAGGTTTAACCACTAGGTTACCCCACCGCCCCCACTTCAAGCTGATGGCTCACGACTGATGGCACACACGACTGATGGCACACACGACTGATGGCACACAGGCGAGAGACTGAACAATGTCCACAGTCATGTGCTCAAGAACATCGATCGTCTTGCAAACACCTGGTGTCTGACACACATTCAATAATCCAGTGACATCCTTGTTCTTTACGGCCTCGGGAATATGCTATGGTAAATGAACGAACGAACGAGTGAATGAATGATGTGTCGATGGATATTTTCACGTATGTATTTATGAAGGAATGAAAATGACACCTTCCTGGAAAAAACTATTAAGCTCTAGAACACATGGTGTGCCGCACAAAGATATCCTATGACTCGGCATGTTTCGGATAATTGCATATACTAGTATTAGGTACAAAAGCTATTCCATATCTTCATTTATGGCTGCAGGGGTCTTTGTTGAACGGCCTATACTGTTAGGAGACGTTAAAGGGAAACTTTGTACTCTGAAATATATTTATTCAGCTTGTGGTTAGATTAGAATCCAACGTTAAACGAATCATTTAGATCACAATACGCCATTGGTCCGTTCGTTAAAGCGAATACGGAATTCTGCTCTGCAAGTTTCATTTGTTTGGCGTTTAACGCTGCACATCAGCTGTATCGCGGCGGTCTGTAATTAATAGAGTCCGGATCAGACAATCCAGTGATCAATAGTATGAGCATCAATCTACGCAATTGGGAACCGATGACATGCCTGACCACCCGATCCCGTTAGTGGCCTTTTACGACAAGCATAGGTTACTGAAGATCAATTCTAACCCCGATCTTCACAGGTCGATGGATGGATCGATGGATGATCGATAGATGAATGGATGACGGATGGATGGATGATGGATGGTAGAGTGAGTGAGTGAATAAAGTTTTACCCCAGCTTTAAGTTTAAAACCCATATCCGAAGTCCAGACTGAAAAACAGGATGTGACTCAATAGATATGGAATCCCGAATGGAGTCATCTAAATGTAATCAATAGATAATATACTGAAATTAATTTTGAGAATACTAAAATTCAAATAGTTGTGTGCAATATGAAACTTCACTGCTGACTTTGACAAAACGACAATAGATTATTTACACGTAGTGAATGTGGATATCGATGTAACTATAGAAGGTTTGCGTTATATCATCTCACCCTCTGGCGGAGATCAATGACCCCCAGATGTTGCACAGTTAAGACATACTCATGGGCGCATGACACAGGTGTCATATATATTGTGTTTCAACATTTGGGAACGTGTTTGGACGTTTCATTCATTGAAAACGGTTTGCAATGCTAATTGTTTTGAAAACGAAACGGGTTGAGATCCCGATTTTCGGTGAAAATTCTTTTGTTTGTTAATTTCATTTGTTGAAGGTCAATAATCAGGAACACAAAAAGTCCAGATTACCGTTACATTTCCACGTCATACGTTTTGAAGTTTTATCTATCGTTGATATTTGTCAGGTAATGTGGGAGCTCTTCGTGAAAATGTTTTTATTGTACACATTTGCACACATTTAATCGTCTGATCTTTTGGTGAGGCCTATCACTCACGACGGTAACACGGCATTCTATATAGCTTTAGTAAACGAGTGAATGAGTTTAGTTTTACGCCGCTTTTAGCAATATTCCAGCAATATCACAGCAGGGGACACCAGAAATGGGCTTCACACATTGCACCCATGTAGGGAATCGAACCCGGGTTGTCGGTGTGACGAGCGAACGCTTTAACCACTAGGCTACTCCACTGCCCCTTTCAGTAAACGACACAAAGATGTTGGGCCCAATCTCGGTGTGAAAGAAGTCTCAGTATTGCTAGACGAGACGAATGTCAAACGAAGTACCATATCATAGGCCCAGTTTCTAATCCGGTTTTGAGTGAGTGAGTTTTGTTTCACGCCGCACTCAGCAATATTCCAGCGAAATGGCGGCTGTATTTAAATAATCGAGGCTGGACCAGACAATCCAGTGATCAACAGCATGAGCATCGATCTGCGCAATTGGGAACCGATGACATGTGTCAACCAAGTCAGAGAGCCTGACCACCCGATCCCGTTAGTCGCTAATCTGGTTTTGATGTGGTTGTTAGGACAATGTACTGAATTTGGGCTTGACACCATTCACCAATGGACATATATTCAATGAACGTATAGCAACGTTTAAGCCCAGAGAAGCTTAGCTCGTCGCATTTTACAGGTGTATCTAAAAGTTCATGAGGTGTCAGACAAACATGAATGCTCTTACCGTTACATATGGACATCGATGAACTGGTAAATATTACGAAGAGTGATGGCAGTTATGATATCTTGATTGATTGTGGATGACATATTTTGCTTATATTTGCAGATGATGCTTCAATACTAGCTGATTCTGTCATAATTCTGAAAAAAGTAACTAGTTATAACTAGAAAGATACTGCTAGCAGGGATTAACTGTAAAGAGTAAATTTATGATATTCAAAAGCAAAGTTCACTTAATAATTAGACATCGGTTTGGATTGGTTCATCGAAGTGTGATATAAATATACTCCCAAGAAAGAAACGCACAGATGATATTGATATATGAAATTATAAATATTTTTTCAAAATGAATGTTTGTGATAATGTTTCCATTATAGAGCTGAACTGTTTTTGAGTGTAATGTGTCAACAATAAACACTTCAATATATTATATTTCAATTTAGATCCAAAAGGAAACGTCTGGAGGCTAATATGTTTCTGTGGCGTAAATGATAAACCGCACGATTTTTGTTAAACAACCCATGATGTTCACAAATGACGTTTAAGGGAGCCTAAACATTCCCCGAAAATTTGTTGGTTGGGTGGACTACCTTGGCAGCCCTCCCTTTTAGAGACGGAATTCAATGCCTGTAAAGGGAGAGGAACTGGTGAGGAATATTACCCGCCTGAAGGGGGTAGAATCACCGAAACCTTCTTTGATACGGGCATTTGTATCATTCGGTAAATACGAAAATGGACTCTTTGATCTGCCTTGATATACGCCCAGAGATTTAATTGCTTGCTGCTTTGTCGTGCACTCTGTCACATGTACAATCCATATACACCACAAACGCGTGTATAAATGTGCTGACGATACGTACTTTCAGTTTTTAAGAAACGTGGAAGGTGTTTGGACCCAGAAATGTTATTGTTAGGAATTTACGATGAAGATTTTCCCATTTTAGTCAAGTTAGAATAGACACCAGCACAAAATGCATGTAGTAACGGTGAATGTGTGTATCGGATGGACACACTCGGAAAATTGGTTGATTGGCTGTCTTCTGCTCACTAAATCAGCTACGTGTTGATCATGTCTCTATTATTAACAGACCGCCGCCATCGCGTGAAATGTGTTAACAATAAACTCTTTAATACACTATATGAAAATTTTGATCCAATCGGAAACGTCTGGAGGCTAATAAATTATGTTCCAGTGGCGTAAAATGATATACGCACGACAACCCAAAATTTGTTGATTTGCGTACTGACCTCAGTGAAAAAAGCAAAACCATGATCAAATCTAGAATAAGCTCCACTTTGTGAATCATTTTTCGATCAGTGATCATATCGATTTTCATAACTACAAGTAACTTACGTACGTAATCATAAAAAACTACAAACTATAGCATGATATAAGATCCAACACTCAATTATAAAATTATTTACACATACATAGATGATACTCTCTTGAATACAACAGTAGTTCGTGATTGTTACAAAGAAAACACGTATCAATATTTTGTGAATTATTGTATATATAATTTATTCAGTTTGTGATAGGTGAAATTTTTATTTTGCTTGAAGTGCAGGTGGCAATATTATTATTCATTATTATTTCATGTGGACATGTCCGGGTTCGAATCCCCACATGGGTACAATGTGTGAAGCCCATTTCTGGTGTTCCCCGTCTTGATGTTGCTGGAATATTGCTAAAAGCGGCGTAAAACCAAACTCACTCACTCACTCATGTAGACATGTACGTGTCAGGTGTACACGTTGTCGACTTACCGCAGCATAGGAGCGTTTTCTAAGTCATTGATTTAACGTCATAATGAATACAGTGCTTCTTTCACAGAATGATAAATGTGTCAAAACCACAACCTGTATTCATTCGCTTATCTGTATCGATATTAAATTCCAGAATAGTCCAACGTTGAAACAGGCTATAGAAAACGTCGATCACACACTGCACGTTCATATGAATCAATGATAATTTATTCTGCGGGTCTGGAAAGTCTAACAGTCATAGTCATCATGAAAGTGGCTTTGGTCGGATCTCTCACCCTTGTGGTGGTCATCTTGACCTGTACGACTGTCCACGGGGCACGTATTAAAAGAGATGGCCAAGGAAGTCCAGGATGGATGCAGACATTGTTCAATTCTCTTTTTGGAGGTGGGAATGACAAGAAAAATGGGAGCCAGACCACCAGTTCAGGAAATAACACTGGTACCCTTATGAAAGGATTGGCAGATATGAACCTTAACGGGACCTCAAACTCTTCTGCCTTTACAACAATGGGAGCTCCTGCTTCGTCAACACCGACACCCTCTACGAGGATGTCGCCCACGATGTCAACGACAGCAGCTGGAACCATTGCACGTTTCATTACGACATTATCAACGACGATTTCAACAAGTGGGAAGAAACGAAATCCCGAATGTGTCAAGGCAAATGATATGTCGACCTATTGCGAGATGTCCGAACGATTTCAGAAGTACATGAATCATAACACAACATCTGATGCAATGGCGGCCAAGCTGTTTTCTTATAATGTCGTTGACCAACTGCTCAAAATGTGCAAGCCAGGAGAGTGGTGCTTGTCTAACGATTACGTCAAGGCCTTTGCCGACAGCATGAGCACGGTGTTCAACGGCCCATTATGTGAAAAGGGCCTCCGAAAATGTATTGAGCAAATGCTGTACATGAGAGAGGGGTGTCCCGATATGACGGTAAGTGACATACGTATTTATAGAAGGACTACACTCAGTCTTTTCGAGCTTAGGGTCAATATCTCTAATTTCATACACAATTTGTATATGTTTCGCAAATACTACTAACTTGTTAGAGCGGTGAAAAGTACATGAATGAAGATTCTGAAACTTAAAAATGGGTACCAGTGTTTAGTTCTTCTTCGGATTTGCGTGTCGGAGTCAAGAGTCAACGAGTGAGCTTAATATTAGGCCGCTTTTAGCAATAGTCCAGCAATATCACGGCGTGGGGCACCAGAAATGGCTTCGCCCATTGTACCCATGTGGGGAATCGAACCTGGTTCTTCCAGCAAACGCTTTAACCACTAGGCTACCTTAACGGCTACCCAGGAGCCAAAAGTCTCAGATAAATAATACTAGTATTCCTCCTATATGGCGCTCATATCCGGGCAGATTGCCTGCTCACGGCGCTATCCCCGGTCATAGGACACTATCGTACTTTCCGATATTTTTTCAACTCCCTGGGGATCATCGGCCATGTTAGGCACAATAAACTAAACACTCACATTGCGAGCACATCCTCACGGGTACCCATTTTACAGCCGGGTGAACTGAGACAATGTGGATCTAAGTACTTGTCCAAGGATACTACGCAAATGTGCCTACCTCGAGACCCGAACCTAGGTGCCTCAACCGGGGATCGAACCCGGGCCTTCAGCGTGATAGGTAGACGCCTTACCAATGCACTATTGTACCCCACAGATTACACCTGAAGTTCACACCTGACTTATTTAGGGGTGACCGTTCGTCGACAGATACAAACACAGCGAATAACGGTGTTCATTTTATTAGTCTGTTTCACAATCCTTTAAACATAATATATTCCTTACGCCAAGCCCTTATCTGCAATGAGTGAGTGAGGGAATATTTAACGTCACATCGGTAATGTCTCAGCCATATCGTGGCGATCTAAATGAAGCAAGTCTAGATATTCGTCATCTCCGATGATTAAAAGGGAGTGGTTTCACTACGACATTCCACTTTTTCAGAGACTAAGCATAAGTCCACGTTTTATCTATCAACACTCTTGAGTATTATGAAATATTGGCATGTATTTTACTGGTAGTGCAAGACATTGAGCAATTATTTTACTAAGGTCAGATACACATCACAAAAGTTTTCATCCAACTTTTTCACGAAACTAGTTCCATTAAATATCAACGAACGTAGAAATTCGATATAATTTTTAATTATGTTGCAAATCGATGTCACCTTCAGAATACCTTTGTAGTCATGTATGGATATTCTTGTCACAGCTGAACTGTGTTTACGTGTTATATTCATGTTGACCGGATCGAAGACACTATCAAAGGGAGAGTATTGACGAGGACCATGTCACGCGAGCGTTATTCAGTGTACCATCTGTGACCAGTCTGTATTTATCATGTTGGAAACTGTCGAGCCGCAACTACAACGCTTACCACATCATGACAAGAATTACCTTTTTAAACATTGAGAAATTTTAGTCCTCAAAAATATCATTTCGTTAGGCAGTTAAAACTTTATGACCTTTATGAATGACTACCTGATTACCACGAGACAATGACATTATTTTAAATTAATGTGATCAATTAAAAATACATATTGTTTTACTAACACAGGTTGATGTTTGGGTTTTTTTCCATTGGGTAGAAAATGGGCACTGGGCCGCAGTTAATTGTACCTTCTTTTGATAAGTCAAGTCATGGAAAGCTCACTTTGTCCGGCACTGTCAAGCAGATAAAATATTGCTGAGTAAGGCGTTAAACAATTATCATGTCGGACCCTCGAATTAATTATGTATGCTTTACTAAATAATTTCCCTAAGGGACCGTTCATAATTTATGGCTAGGGGAGTGTGATGTTGGTGTTTAAGGGGGTCACTCATTTTGTTCTGGGGAAGCAGGAGGGCTATCAATTTTGTGCACACGTACTGGGTGCTGTCATTGTTTTGTACCTGACATGCAGGGGGTCACTTACTTTGTACATAAATGTTAGAGATGTGGGGTTGGGGTGGGTGGGGGTTGTCATCCACATTGTACATGCTTCTCCATAAAAACATCATCCATCCCCCTCATCCCCAAACACCTTAGCCATAACTTATGAACGGTCCCTATTTACACAAAGTGAATTTAAATTTTAAATTGTGCAAGTGTAGACAGCAAATCGGATATGATGTAGAAAGCAATCTCCCTTTAACGTTCATTTAACGTCCATGTGTAATGATAAACCTCAAAGTTCTTAAGGTTTTCTAAGTGTCCATAAATTCGAATGAACATTCACTCCTTCACCTTACAAACAAGTAGATGAAGGAGGCACTTGCTGTTGGCTTCGAGTGAAAGCTCGTTATTCCGAAACTGTCTAGAGCTGTTCTATTAAATGTTTTTCAACCAGCCACTCTGCTACTTTGTTCGAATGCCCATTTATCAAATCAACCATGAGGTGATCACAAAGGGCGAGGTCTATAAATACCTGCCCTAAATCCCATGGTATCCCGCGACATCCGAGACCGCATTGGGCTACCGACATGGCGGATTTGTTTACGTAGTACACACCCATATGACGTCGGTCGTATCCAGGAGATACATACATGCGGCAACAAGTGCTTGCACGGGTCAGGTGGGACGGGAATTTATAAAAATGAATATTTAACTATAGTACAACATATGAGCAATTGCTGAAAAAGAGTTATTGTCTCGCAAGCCAAGGCTGAGGCTGTGCGTGTCCTGCTCTCATTTTACGGTTTCACTCTCACTCTGGGAAGGGATTGATACTTTATATCCTTCTTTGTCGCTCACACTCTCTTGATAGATGGATGGATGGATGGATGGATGGATGGATGGATGGATGGATGGATGGATGGATAGATAGATAGATCCACACCGAACGTCTACCAGTAGTCAGGTCTCGTAAGCAGCGTGAATCAGGTACTCGACCCAAAGATCATCCTATTCCACAAAACCAGTTAGCATTGCTCACTCATTTAAACATAATAAAGATACATTTCTTTTGTTTCAGCGTCTGGCTACGCTCGACAATGGCCTGTCCCTGGTGTGTGAGATGTATGCTGTTCCTGAGTTGACCCCGGAGTGTTTTGGCCACACCCTGGCAACACTTCACGTCACCCTAGCGGATGAACTCCGAAAGACTTCGAAGAAGGTTGGTTAACTTCCAATTGCTGCGTCCTCAGAAAACGCACTGTCTTGTGCATTCTGGTTAAATGTTTCTTAAATGCATCAGGTTAACGTGTTAACGTCAATTCTGGCACAGAGTAGAGTCACTGAACGTATGTTCTTCGGCGTGAGGCTTATGCATGCCTAATGCACAACCAGCCACACGTAGGTGTCCTTTTCACTTGGACACATACATCCTGAGTCAATATCCCAAGATTTATATCTTGGAAGACTGACATGGATGTTTCATAAAATTACACCACAGCAGTCGTTAATAAATAGAATGTGTGTATATCACGATGGAGAAAACTCTGAGAAATCTGTTTCTTCTGTCAATTTTCATTATGTAAACAGGAAAATTAAATATTTTCCTTGTCTTCTAAAGCACCCAATTCTTCAAACCTTGCAAATTCTGACTTCTTATAATGCTCCAATTTGTCCATCCGTCCTAATGAAGATATGGTGTGGAAGCACTTGGACTGAGCGACTGTTATTGAACTGTACTGAACACGACTCCAGAAGAAATATACAACAACCTAATTTGGAGACTCCATCTCTATACACTATATCTCTGAATCAAATGATACTTTATGATTTTCAGAGGCTTACAGGAGATGAATTTTGCCTCGGAGCCTATGTTGGTGTGAGTAAAAAGACTGTTGTACCTCAACAGATAACTATAAATGTGTGAAAGCACGAGTATTATTTTTGGTAAATTAAAGTAAATTTCTTTGAACATTTTCAATATTTTTTTCTCATATTGTCTGGGAATTTTACATATATCACATAAATTCTGTACAACTCAGTGCTTCGTATGATCAAAGTGTTTACTTACTTACATGTAGTCAAGACATCCCGTTTCCAAAGTTGTTTTATTGATAAAAAAATTAACGTTTAAATTTGCTTACCATAACAGTATCATTTCATTTGCCAACAAACTTCGTATTTTGTTTAAATAACGTGCGGTTGGGCGGATTTCTTCTTCGACATTTCCAACAAAGAGATAACGATTTCCTCTTACAGATGACAAGGAAGTTTATGTGCACCTTGGAGAAATGCCCTCGCCACAAGCAACTGTTTGACAAGTATGTGTTTCATTAATAATTTTACTGATCTGTCTGAGTAATTAAATTTTAACTCACTGTTAAAATAAGAGTATTAAGCAATCTTGCTATAAATACTAATTTTATGATACTGGTATATCAAGCGATCATTACGATATTCAGCACTGTACAAAGAAAGCCTGTGTTATATATCATTTCAGTCGGCCATATTTATCGTATTTACATACATATATACATACATACAGACAGACACGCACGCACGCACACACACATACACACATACATACATCAAGCGACCATTACGATATTCAGCACTGTACAGAGAAAGCCTGTGTTATATATCATATCAGGCGGCCTCAGTTATCCTAATTAGACTAAAACATGACCCGCTTCTGATAACATGTATCATATCAGTCGGCTACAGTTTTCGTGTTTAGGATAAAACATGGCACGCCAATGATAACATGTGCCATAGCAGCCGATCAGTGTTGTCGCATTAACGACAGTCAAACAAGGAAAAGATATGATTAGCTGCTGCAGACCATCGGTATGATACTCACAATACAGTGTCATACAGGGTAATCATATGTACTTATATATATATATGTATAATCATCACTTTTATTTTATTATGTTTTATTTATCTTGGGGGCGGGGTGGGGTTTTCTTGTTCAGGTAAATAAAATGAATTTACTTGTATAACAATATGGACATGTTCAACAAATCAATACTTTTCACTCAAGTTTCGCCCCGTGGAAATGGTTCATGGAAGATGCCCCTGTCATCAAAGAAGTGTGTAAGCTTGAAAGCGTCTGTGGGGATTTAGAAGCAAGACAGGAAGCATCGTCTACAACAATTACGACCATGACGACATTAGCTACACCCTCGCAGATCCCCCCATCTAACGAGTCCAACCTTGCCGAAACTGACGGTGGTGCAGAGTTCGAAAGGGTAAGGATGTATACGGAAAACTATACTACAAAAAATAAATAAATATGGGAACACCCTAAAATTTGATAGTAATATATAAACTGAAACGTGGTAAGGTCATTTATACTCTCAGGTAAATGCAACTTTTTGTGTGCTTAATGAGCACTTTAAACGACATGTTGGAACATGCAGTGGAGCAACTGATTCAATATTCGTTGAGTTTCAGGGAAATGAAACACTGTTAAAAACAGCGAAAAACAAGGGTGCTGAAACACACCAGCACAAACACAACAGCCTAGTGCATGTGGAAGACAGACTTCCCATGCAGCTTGTGGCAACATTTCCTGTAAAAGAAGCTACAGACAGTATTGAAGCCTCACATCTTCTTCACCATGCCACAGCGCAAACCGTTATGCGCCTGCAACAGAAGCAGGACCATGTTTACAGGATGGTGAATCCATAGGAAGTGTTGCTCTCCGTCTTCAGGTGTCTCCCTCTGTCATTCACAGACTGAAGGACAGGTTCCAGGCCACTGGTAGAGTAAAGGACAGACCTCGCTCTGGAATACCCAGAATAGCATCAAGGGCAGATGACGGATATGTTATGTTCCCAGCCCTTCGCAACCGATTCACAACTGCCTGTGCCCAGTTGCCACAAGCTGCATGGGAAGTCTGCCTTCCACATGCACTAGGCTGGTGTGTTTCAGCATCCTTTTTTTCCGCTGTTTTTAAGAATGTTTCATTTCACTCAAACTCAATGAATATTGAATCAGTTGCTCCAATGCATGTTCCAACGTGCCTATTAAGCGCACAAAAAGTTGCATTTACCTTAGAGTATAAATGACCTCACCACGTTTCAGTTTAGATACGACTATGAAATGTTAGGGTGTTCCCATAATTTATGAATGTAGTATATAATGTAGCATTACGTAGAAAGCAATAATTCCTAACAGACATTCCAAGGAGATATTGATATAATTTGTTCTATAATAACAAAGTTGGGTTCTATCAGTTCTATATGGGAGGCAATCCCGGAGTGAAAGGGCTTAGGACATTTGCCACTCTTGGTCATACAACAAGTAAGGATATTTCAAGAGACCAAGAATAATTTTGGATTCGTTCCCGTAATCATTGGATTATGACACGCCTAAGTGACGCAAATCTCCAATAAGATGTGTGTCGTCTTAGGCGATTGGGCGTCCATTTTCCTACTGCACAAACATACCGAAGCTGTAGCATTACCGTTTATCTTACCTCACACATAAATGTCGCTTTCTGATTGGCTGAGCGCTCTTCTGTTATTTTCAATGTACCCCGCTTACAAGCGAGTAACATTTCAATGTACCCAGCTGTCAATGGCAACTCATTCTGTACTTCGTGGTAGTAATTCTTTATCTCGAATAACATTGAATCAAGTAATGATGTATGGAAATTACCGATGTTTTGCGAATGCAAATCGATGGAAGGGAGATAACTCTAAATGTGTTTTTTCTTGTCAGTAAAATCTAGCGATGGCTACAAAAAGATTTGTACCCGTGCTTCAAACACTTCAAAATTAAAATCAAGGTGTTCGGGCTCAGGGAACATAAACAAACATCGAGGGTACATCAACCCATGCCCCCCTCATGACCAGTGAACAACTTATAATGTACTGATGTGAGCTCAGAATTCTCGTTCAAGTAATTGTCTATTCCCTAGTGTAATCATTTCCGCACTTTTTAGGGGATGGGGTGGGGTCGGTATTCTCCATACTCTTGAACCTATTTCTAATCCTGTTATTGGCCTGTGTTTGAAACCGAGAGTACGTAAGATATTCGACATCTGCTAGATGCAGAGTTTGCCTGCAAGTTATTGTTGAAAGTAGTCTATCAAAGATATTTGAAAGTTCATATTTTGAATATATGACAAGTTTTACGGATAACAACTTCTGTTTATTCTTTACAGGACGTTTCAGAGATCATTCTTGATCCTTCACTATTCACCTAAGACTCTTTACAGGTAGTCTCAGAGCAAAATCCTGCTCCTTCTTCATTCACCTGACGAGGGAGCAAGAATTGTGAAACGTCCTGTAAAGACTAAAAAGAAGTTGTTATCCATAAAACGTGTTATGTATTTCACCCTATCAAGATTTCTACGAATTAATTTTGGTTTGATCGTAGAAACCCGAAGATATTGTAATATTTTGAACTCTGTAAGGTATTGTCCATTTTGTAAATTGAATTTTATATCGAAGATGAACACCATGTAATATTTATCTGTAATAATTACAGTCACTTAGAAAAACCTACCTTTGTAAATTTACACAGAAATATTGTCAATTTGTACAACATTTTGTAAATTTGATGTCTTCAACAAATAGTGATTGATGTTATTTATAATGTATGTCCTCTGGAGAAAGTCCAAATGTTAAGGGAAAAGGTTAATACTACTTTATTACTTTGCACATAGGTTAAACATTTTGTAAAGACTGTATTTTGGGCCTATGGTCTTTTACTGAACAAAATATGTCTGCCTCTCTATATTGACTGTTGAGATTAATACTAGTAGTTCAGAGTTTACATTTAAAGCATCTTCTTTCTTTCCTGTTTTTCAGCCTTTCTTTATCATACAGACAACGGACGAAAACACAAGACTGCTCATTGGCATCGTCACTGGAACACTTGTAGCTCTGCTTGGCGTTGTGGTTCTTCTCTGTGCTGTCCTCAAACGCGTCCGGAGGAAAGGCAGGCCTCTTCTCACAAAGGACGGCTATACGAAGCTTCCGAGTGAAGAGGTCCGTTGACTATTACGCAAAGAATAAAGGCAAAATGTGTTTGTCCTGGAGACAAACGAACCAATGACAATTTCATGCCTTAACGTATGTCCATTTCCACAGAAACAAGTGCGTTCCAGTTCATTATATTTCGAACTGTCGAAAGTAAGCATGACCTGCGACGTCTAATATTTAATAATTATAGTACCAACATAGTAGCTCTGGTACCCGGCTAACTTGTGAAATTATACTGTGGGATTGATAAACGAACTGTGTATAAATTGTACATACAATGCAAGTACTTAATTAACAACCAGAGAGGACAGTTCGAATCTATTTGAATGGGAACAGATACATCGTTATTCTTTAGGCGGTATTTGGTAGATTTAGCATATGTTTATTAGCTCTACTTATTTGTAATATAATGTTTCCATTTGTAAATGTCAACATTATTACTAAAAGAATCCATACTTACACTGCCAATACAACGGAAAAAACAAGACCATCAGACACTGTGGTTATTTGACCATGTTTGATAAGATTCCAACCCAAAGCAAAATACACATCAAGAGAGGTGTGTTGTTAAATCCGCTGTTGTCACAGTAAGTGTACATTGTGTAAGTGTGGAAACTTTTAGAATTGAAACTTCTGAACTAACGTACCTAAGCCACCTTATTTTCGTAAATGGACATTTCGATTTTTAAGGTGGGTTTTATTGTGTGAAACAAAAACCAATTCATGCCACTCAGTGCCTGCAGACCCGCTTTATATAATTATCTATACCATCTGTTATAGGTTGTACAATAATGTATCCTGTCAAGTTAATGAATTCAGTAAGGCCTATTCATAAATATGTTTTCTTCCCACATAGAACCGATGTTCGAAATAAAATAAACATTAAATTGTTTCAAAAACATGTGATAAATTTTCAGTGAGAAAATATAGTGTTATACGTCATGGAGGGTATTTCGAATTTCCGTTAATCTGCTCTTTTTACTACTAGTTTTGTAATATATTGCAAATTTGGAATGATGTCAATAATATCAATGCCTGGGGACTCGTTATATGCACGCATTATGTGCAGAAGTCCTAACAGAACACATACTAGTATCATTATAGCATCCTCAGTATTACAGGACTTGCGTCAGTTATTCTATGCACGTGAGTGATCACTCTACGGTACAAACGCCAGTTATACAAGACGTGTGAAGCAACGAATAAATCTACAACGGAGAGAAGTCAAGGTACTCCCTCAAGAAATGTGATGTTATTTGGCAGATACTTACCTTCTTACATTTTTTTCATGTAAATATGTTTGTTTATGTGTTTGAAGATATAAACTCATTACAAAAGTTGAATCAACCTGTGTTGTTGTTTGGTTATCTGTAAAAACATAATAATACTCACACCCTCAGAGTCAGGCACCTAATCGCCAGCACACAAAGTCAGTCGCCTAACCCGCTCAGTTACCGCGACTTCCACAAAATGGAAGTCGGACAACTGGTAGTCTAGACTGCAGACTTTGTGTACCCCTCTGTGTGCTGGCGATTAGGTGCCTGACTCTGAGGGTGTGAGTTCGAATCCCGGATGGGGCTCAACTCAAAAAGTACTAGAATTTGTACTTTACTAAGAAAGTGTAATCCCAAATATAACATATGTTACATTTGACCACTTTCTGAATGGCATTGTGTAATCATAGTTATAATAGTTCAAGCGTCCTCGTACTTTAACTATAATAGTTCAGGGCAAAAGTGTGTTTTATTACACTATACATGGTGGTAGAGCAAACTGTATTTCTTTTCTAAGATGCCAAATGTAATACTTTCTAAGGATAATTACGATTAATTTAAGGCAGAAAACAAACGACGGTGTCGGTGACCTAAATTGAGAATGCTCGCACGGGGCTAACAGGCGCGATGTCCAATTGATGTGTCTGCCCCCTACGTTAAGACGAACGTTATCAGAAAAAAACAAATGATAACAGTTTGATTACGGTTTACGTTCGGATAAAATATCTTCTCTGAATTATTTTAATTACATCTGTCATTAACGTAAACCATATGGGGCAATATGAACGTCGCATTTCTACTACCAACGTAAGTATAGATCAGTACATCCAGAAGAAACTGAGTAGTCAAGCGACATTCCACGATTGCATTGTGAGAATGTAAACATTGCGAACGTTACCGTGTCGCTGAAAACTTGTGAGTCGAATTGACACAATTTAACCGTCGTAAAACATAAACGTAATGTTTCCACCAGTGTTGTTAGCTGCTTGAAGCAACTGCAAACCAAGAAACGTGATGCTACGGAGTAGTTTACTGTAGGTGGCCGTACGAGGCGATGGCAACTGACATGCATCGTGACGTCGCTTACATTGTGACGTAATGTAAAATGGTTCGATTACGAGGGGGCAGACTAGAATGGCGCAGTGACGGGATAACGTCATTCAATTGTTACGTCATCCAAAAAACTATACCTTTATTGTCTGATAATGTAATTTTTTTTCGATTGTTCTAACCGCTAGGCATCTTAGAATTCCAGACTTAGGTAGACATGACAGAAATCTGTTCGGAGTTTGACAAATGGTATCATGAGAAGTGTTCCCCGGTTGTCACGATGTTGATTTTAGACACATGGCTGAGTCGGGATCGATAACGATACGTGATGTTTGTCGATTTGGCTGTAACATGTTGTACTTGGCGGCATCTGTAAACCTAATACCTCTACATGATGTACAATAGCACCAGCATAACTACACAATGAAGGTATGAGAGTCAGGGAGACATGGCTGTGCTTGTCGGCGAGAACAAGACTACACGGCCGGAATAAATTGCACAAATGGTGACTGCTTGACACAATGTTGATGCATGTATTTCACATTTAGAGCCTTTTAATATATTCATGTACACACGCATGTCTCATGACATTCTTAAAGTAATAGACCGCCTCCGTGGTGTAGTGGTTAGAGCGTCCACCCGGAGAGCGGAAGGTCGTGCGTTCTATCCCCGACCGCGTCATACCAAAAGACGTTAAAATATGGTACTTGTTGGTCCCTGCCTGGCGCTCGGCATTAATGGGTACAACAAGGACTGGTCGGCTCGGAGTCAGTATAATGTGTCTGAGTGGGGTATTCATGCTTCACTTCGGTATGGTATCTCATTGGGCTAGCACTAAAAACACAGCTAAAGTCTGGGCTAGTACAAGCAGCCGTACATACACATACACACGCATGCACGTCGTCATGTGAGCGAAATATTCTCAAACACGACCTAAAACCCAATTTCATCTCATCTTAAAGTAATAAATAGGAAACAATGCAGCCACTGGCAGCCATTTGATTGCCATACTTTTGCAGGTTGTAAGCACGTGACCATTAATAGACAACTCGTCTCCTACCACCTAAAAGCAGTAATACCAAATACGTCCCACAACCTATATCTGCGACCTCCAGACCAATTAATACCCATTACCCCCTATTATATTTTGTGTCTTAGGTTTGTTTTTTTTTGGTTCGTTCTTTGTTTAACGCAGCACTTAGCAATATTCCACCTATATGGTGGCGGTCTTTAAATAATCAAGTCTGGACAGGACACTCCAGTGATCAACGTCATGAGCATCGATCTACGCTGTTGAGATAGGATGACATATGTCAACCAAGTCAGGGATCCTGCCACCCAATCCCGTCAGTCGCCTCGTGGGTTGCTGAAGACCAATTCTAACCCGGATCTTCACGGGTTGCCAGTATGCACTGACTGCCGTTTTGTTAGAATGAAACAATATACAGATTATATTGACAACATTATGCACAGGTGGCCTATTACTTCTATGAAACCATAAACGCCCAATAGGTCCTGTTACCTATGTATGCGTCCTTCTGTAAACCATAAAATCCAAAATGTCTAACTACTTATAGCTGCGACCTACTTAAAACTAACATTACCGAATATGTCAAACTAATTATATTAGTGACCTCCTACGATAATTATACCCTGCTTCGTATACCTGCGACCTCCATATTAATGTTAACACCAATATGTCTTACTATTTACATCTGTCATCTCCTTATTATCATAAACAGTTTTTTGGTTTTTTGGGTTTGTTTTTTTGTTGTTGTTTTGTTTTTGTTTGTTTTGTTGTTTGTTGTTTGTGTGTGTTTTTTTTTTTTTTTGTTTGGTGTTAGCCCAGGAGTTCGTCACGCAGAAGACCCGAGTTCGATTCCCCGCATGGCTATAATGTGTGAAGTCCATTGCAGATGAATTGCGTATGGTGATCAGCCTTCAGTTGCTGGTGATCTATAGCCCGGTTTTATATTGTATTGTTGTCTATAGTGACATATTTTTATGAAAGCGTACTAGTTTCAAATTAAGAGCTGTGATATTTTAGTAGTTTTGCTGTCCTTCTATGACAGGTTTTTATTTTCTCAATTAATTGTTTTTAAATTGATATGAATTACATTGTTCTCGTCACGATATGGCTGGTATATTGCCGATGTGACGTTTAATTTTAACTCACTCACTCACTCAGATGAATTGTTAATGTATCTCTTCTGTGCGACCACTTTAAATCATTTTACCCAATACGTCCTGTTCCTGTATATGCCAGCGACTTAGAATCATTAACACTAAAACGTCCCAATATATATAATTCTCAAAGCTCCTTAAACCCAAAAGGGGCGGTGGGGAAGCTTATAGGTTAAAGCGTTCGCTCGTCACGCTGAAGGCCCGGGTTCGATTTCCAGTGCGTACATATACATACTTACATCAACATAAATATATCAAAAAGACATCCAGTGTGGGGGCGGTGGGGTAGCCTAGTGGTTAAAGCGTTCGCTCGTCACGCTGAAGGCCCGGGTTCGATTTCCAATGCGTACATATGCATACTTACATCAACATGAGAATATCAATAATACATCCAGTGTGGGGCGGTGGGGTAGCCTAGTGGTTAAAGCGTTCGCTCGTCACGCCAAAGGCCCGGGTTCGATTCCCCACATGGGTACAATTTGTGAAGCCCATTTCTGGTGTCCCCCGCCGTGATATTGCTGGAATATTGCTAAAAGCGGCGTAAAACTAAACTCAATCAATCAATCATCCAGTGTGACATGTGTGATCAACTGGCATGTGGTATATTCGGTAGAGTGTAGGATGTCAATATAACTTTCTTCTCCTCATATGACCCACCAGGTATATCTTATTCCGAAGCACAATGGAAACTTTGCAGGCAGCGGACTGGCTGCAAGCGTCAGTTACACATGTAACGTTTGTTATAATGTTTTGAACATCCATATATACAAGTTCGCGGTATGCAGTACGCAGATGTATGGAAAACCGTGTTCACATTTATTTCGAAAATTACTGATATCTTTATTTATTTATTTTTTTCTTCAATTAAATTAGACTGATCTTAGAATGAATTAAGATATTTCGAATGAAGAAAATATAAAGATCTACAAAAATTATTTCGGAATACATATGATGTATATGATTAAGCCTGTTATTGATATCGTAAATATCAGCAACTGAAATGCTTATATCTTAAAAAGAATTAATGATATCAGAATAGGATATAAAAGTTTTAAATGGCATCAGTAATGTAATCCCTGTTGTCTTGCAAAATAGATATCAGTAATATTATTATTAACGTCGTGAATTGGTAATTATATTCCATTCTCCCTTGAAATGATTTCTCGTTCGTTCCCATTTAAATTTTCCAAAGTTACACGTTTTTGAAAAAAGAAGAATTTGCGGATATGTGGCCGGAAGTATTGGAAGATATCTGCAAATCATTTCACACCCTCGTGGGCATCGAAATAATTGGCTTACCGTTCTTTCTTGTAGCTAATATTACATATATCAACAATTGTTGGAATTGTCATATTTGACGCTATCTTAAATTTAATCAAAGATGCCTCAAACTGAATTAAAAATATCGTAAACGATAGATATCATGAAATATTTTCTTGATATGTGTCAGACAAATTATGAAATATTAGACAGTAATTCTATTTCCATTATGAGAAATTGAAAGTGGTGTTCAGTTATGTAATGATATCTTAAAAACATTATTGGTATCTATGAAAATATTGCAGATGTCTATAAACAATTAAAGATGTAAAGATTTACTTGATAATAGAAATGGTAGGAGTTGATAACATAACAGATGGCGTATTCCAACTTTGCTTTATGTATGATACATGAAATGGAAAATAAAGATAATAAATAACGTCACCTAATGCAGCCCAAGTGGGATACATAACTGAAATATAGTTGAAGTCCATGCCTGACATGAAACAAAACAAAATATGTGATGAGGATATCATGCGTGCTGTTGAGATACAAATGTGATTTATGTCGGTTTACACTGTAAACTACACGTTTTAGTACGTTTTTTTATTCAGCCCTAGCCAGGATTCGAAACCACACTCCACGAGTCAGGCATCTAAAAGCATACAAGTCCAGCGGCTAAACCTAATCAGCAACATCGGCTTCCCATAGTCTAGATACTCTAGACAATTGTATAGTCTAGATTATACATTGTTTACCACTCTAATGAGTGTAAATTGACACGACATCCATGGCAAAGTGAGTGAGTGAGTATGGTTTTACGGCACTTTTAGCAGCATTCCAGCAATATCATGGCGGGGACACCAGTAATGAGCTTCACATATTGTACCCAACACTTTAACCAGTAGGCTACCCCACCGCCCATTCATCGGGGAGGCACTTATATGATGATCCTAGTAAGTACCATATTGCACACTTTATTGAGAAGTACACTTTAGAATGACATTGTGTCTTCATAGATTCCCGCTGTGGGTGCCAATTTACGATTTGTTGGGCTTTTGGTGACATCAGTCCACTGGGAATTAACTAACAGTGAGAAATATTTTTCGTATGTTCATATTTATATACTTTGTATTTACACCCGATGATTCCGTTCCATGGTTAATACATTAATTACTCCCGGGAAAGAAAATGTTCTGATCGTGACACTAAACAGGAGACTAGATGAAGCAGACGCACTGAGAGCAGGCAGCTTCACGTATGGCACTCAACACAGAATTTTCTGTTAAGATAAATTTCAAGAGATGAAAGTTCAAATACACAAACAGAAATACCATGTGTACCGTGAACAATGTTCTGACAAAAACTTGCCCTAAATTCATACACGCTCGAGCATGCATTAAACGATCAATCGCAGTTCGGAAACCCGATCCGTAAACACAAACAGCACTATTGACACGTCCTTGTAATATACCTAGAAAGGCAAAATATGACCTGAAACCAGTTCTGCCTTTGTGGGTATATTATTGGGACGTGTCAATATTGGTATTTGTGATTAAGGATCAGGTGTCATTAGACATTAGTCATTAGAATGACTTTGAAACAAAGGACGTAAACACAACGCTGATTTGTAAAGCAATGTTTTCATACAACGATACTGAAGGTTCTGCTTTAACTGTTTACCTTGATGCTATTGTAACATGGCACAGCTGGAAAACTTGTTTTGTTTAGGGATTCCGCGTGGTCAATTCCATATAAATGTTTTGGTCGATATGTGTAGGGATATCAACATGGCATTGATATTCTTGTTGAAAACCGGACGAGTCCTGACGTAGGGAATGTTCTCGCAAACAGGGAATACCTTCGGAGGCAGTCACAACAGCTTTCATTCCTTCGCATTAGCTTCAAGAGTGGTAATTACAAAGCCATCTTGATTCTACCTCATGTAAGTACAGCACATACATTTTCTGCAAACACTATTTGCGGTTTTCCTTGCAGTCTTTATTTATGGCATAAAGATTATATAATTCATAAACAAAGAAGTAGACTGATTTGTTTGAGTGGCATTCTAGAAGTTGGAGGTACAGAGATGACAAAACTTTATGAAAATATGGAAGTTGATCATCCATGAAGTTTTGCCATCTCAAAGAAGTAGAAATATCTTTGAATATTTCTGATTTCCGTTACATCTTACAAAACGACATTTATGTTATAAAATACAAAACATAGGCGTAGACACTTGTTGTTTTAGTAACTGCAAACAGTTCCATATTTGTTCATCTACTGCAATAGTTTTGTCTTTTCCATTTATTTAAAAAATGTATTTTTAGTCTGTACACTATGAATATGAAAAACAGAACACTTTTGAATTTATCTGTATCTCATGTACAGTGAATTATTATGTATTTATCCCCGATGGAAACATATGTTATCAACAGAAGAATTAAAAATGAAAATGACATTTATTCACGATGTAGGCGTAAATGCTTACATCTTGATTTCAATTTGATTATAGGGTGATTTCAACAATTCAGTATGTTTTTGTCTGAAACTGAAGTTTAGAAATAGGTAATTATCTTTTGCATTCATATCCCAATGAATTTCGAATGCAATGCCTACCTAGAAGGACTAATTTCATCGCAACATAATCTAGGAGAATCCTATTGCATGTTGAGGGAACTCTTTTGCAGTCTCAATGTATGTGTTTATGTAATTTTAGCGTTTTTTAAATTAGCGATCCGGTTCTCATCACCCCAACCCACTTGATATTCCAACTTATTATTTACCCACAACCTTTATTATGGCCATCCATATCAATGTAATTAATCTTTTCATCAGGTATTACCGTGTGTAAATTATAAAGATTCTACATCCATTTCAAGCGCAAGCTAATACTTGCCCTTTCATCAGGTATTAGCGCAGAAACGTCGTGTGTAAATAATAACGAAGTTGTACATCCATATCAAGTGGGCTAATACTTGCCCCTTCATCAGGTATTAGCCAGAAACGTCGTGTGTAAATAATAAAGAAGTTCTACATCAATGTCAAGTGGTGCTAATGCTTGCCCCTTCATCAGGTATTAGCCCAGAAACGTCATACAAAATACTACAGAGATCCATCGGAGGAAATTCCCCTTCAATAAGGACGTCCTGGACAAACATTCAGAAGTTGTACATTATCAAGGTATGTTTTAAATGCCTATCAAACGTGGTTAGTGAGATCTCGTTGTATGCTTTGAACTTATCATAAGCTATGCTAACGCTATTCATTACCCAATGAACAGGATACATTCCAACATGGTATTTAATCTTTTCTACGTTAAGTACCATGTATGCATTCTTTGTTTCCAGCGCAAGCTGCCATTTGTGATAACAGTGTAACGTCTTAACGATGATACATCTCCACAATGGTCAACTCCCACTGGTATATGGCCTTAGGCTTGATGACTGGCTTGATGACAACGGTGATAATGCTTGACGCGTTCGCGTCACGTCATACAAAACTACAGAGGGAAACACGGAGGAAATTCCCAATAAGGACTCCTGGACAAACATTCAGAAATTCAGGTATGTTTTACTACACGTCGTTAGTGAGATCGTTTAACGCTAACTCGTGAAGATCCGGGTTAGAATTTGTCTTCAGTAACCCATGCTTGTCGTATTTAACGGGATCGGGTCATGCCCGCTGACTTGGTAAACACATGTCATCGGTTCCCAGTTGCGTCGATCGATGCTCATGCTGTTGATCACTGGATTGTCTGGTCCAGACTCGATTATTTACCGACCGCCACCATATATCTGGAATATTGCTGAGTGCGGCGTAAAACTAAATTCGCCATGTTGATGCTGGAAGAAAACCCAAAATGATGAAGATCTGAGACGTTCATCACTTTGGTGAAACCCGAATGATTAAAACTAGAAACCTGATCAAACACAGTATTCAAACAAACAATCTTAGGTTTCTTGTACCCCAAGGTATGTAGCCTTTTCCTTTAAATGGCATAGAGAGCGACAGGGTAGCCTGGTGATTAACGTTTTGATACCAGAACAATTGGCCTCTGAAAATTGCCCCGTCAGAGAATCCAACTGCCCCAAGTAATGTCACACAAGGATCTGTTAATATTCCCCTGCTGAATACCCTACTTATTATACATGACACATTATACCGACTCCGAGCCGACCAGTACTTGTTTTACTCATTAATGCCTAGCGCCAGGCAGGGAACAACAAGTACCATATTATAACGTCTTTTGGTATGACGCGGTCGGTGATCGAACCCGCGACCTTCCGCTCTCCCCGCCCCCAGGAACTAAGGAGATCAAATCGTGAAACAAACCTAATTCAAGTTTATTTTTTGGGAAATAAAAGCTCAAGTACATATTATGATATCTATTTTATAAAATTCAAAGTATAGAAATTGCATGACATGGCTCGAGAGAGTTGTAACAGTGACATGTTTTCACTTTTTTTTGGTCCTAGTATATATCGGTGCTAGAATGGGTAAGTATTTACAATCAAAGTAAGTTTTCAAAGTTACTTACAGTTTGCGAATCCTTAACGAATCGCTAAAACATACTCCGATACTTGAGGATCCAAAACGAACACCAACACGTGCTTCAATGTCCCACACAAGGACATGTTTCACGTGCTCACGTTAGCCCCGCGCACTCGGTAAACCCGACACACTCAGACGCGTATAGATTCTAAAAATAGCTCAGAGGGCATGGAGTACAACTGATTTATGATGGATTTTGAAGCTTTGTCATATAATATAGGGCAGGCAGGGAACAACAAGTACCATATTTTAACGTCTTTTGGTATGACGCGGCCGGGGATCGAACCCGCGACCTTCCGCTCTCCGGGCGGACGCTCCAACCATGGAACCAACCTCCATGGAGGCGGTTTTCAATAAATAGTGTTGAAAAAATGACTTCTCAGTTATTCGTATCATTACTTGTCTTGTGTTGTATCAATCGGTGATTCTTTGGGCAGTTTCCTACTGTGGCGTCATAACGGGAACAATGCTTTCTTAAAATCCCCTTTTCATTTCAATTCCGCATAATAGACAAAAACATAATTTCAGGGATCAGACTCCTGTGCTGGATCCTCACCCAACCCTGCAATTTTGCCAACAAGACACGATCAGTCAAAGAGACATGGACGAAGAGATGCGACATTACCTTATTCTTCAGCTCAGAAGCCAACAGTGAAATACCCACCATTAAGCTGGATGTTCCTGAAGGACGTGACTACCTGGCTGATAAGTCGTTCGCAGTATTAAAGTACTTGTTCAAACATTATCACGATAAAGCGGACTGGTTCTACAAGGCAGATGATGATACTTATGTCATAGTAGAAAATCTACGTCACTTCCTAGGAATGCAAAACACAAATGGACTTTATTATTATGGTGAGGTGTTTGACAGAAAGGAGCTTGGGGTTTACAACAGTGGAGGTGCTGGTTATGCCCTCGGAAAAGAGGGTTTAAAAAGGATCGCTTTATTCAGCGACAATGTGGATGCTTGTCATCAAGCGGAAAGTGAAGATGTAAGGGTGGGCGTGTGTCTCAAAGCACTAGGAATTGATGTTGGAGAGGCAACAGACAGTTTTGGAAGGCCTATATTCAACTGGAACAAACCTGTGTCTATAATCCAGGGGGATTGGCCGGATTGGGTGATAGGGATTGCCTATGTACAGTCGGTAAGTTGACACTTTCAGTTAGATTATTTATCTCACGGGTATCAATCACTGAACGAGATCAATAATTTGTGATTCATCGTTTCTTCAATAGCCACGCTATATGAGTGCGACATGTCAATAATCAAGTGGACAAAGTATGGCATGCAAAAAGTGAAGTTACTGGCCTTACTGACTTAGGTAACTGGGAAACATCACTAGATTGTCTGGTCCACTGTCGATTTCTTTCCAAACAACATCGTACATCTGTAATACCGCTGAAACAAGCATATACTCGTGATACAGTCACCAGCCCCCAGTGCTCCTCTACAAAAAAACCCACAAAAAACCCTGTTAAATATGGACGAGATTTTGCCTTACGATTGCGTTTTGTTGGGGTTAAAACGATATTACCTGAGAAATCTTTACATTTCTTTTTGACATAACGACCTCAGTCAATAAATTGAACTTTTACTAGGGAACGTTGAAAGATTTAAAATATGTACGTATACCTCTCAAAACTTTGTACATTTAAAACATGTCATTACTGTTACTAAAATGACTCCGAGCACTGTTCACTTACGTCATCCTGATTGTAATTCATGAGGTGTCGTCTAAGGTTGCACAATCCTTTGTGCGATCTGCAGATTGTAAGTTATGTCACTGTCACAGAGAAAATCTGGGCGTAACCAAGAAGAAATAGTCTTCCTTTTATGTCACTTTTGAATTCATGTCCCCGTTCAGTTCCGGAATTTAAATACTCAATGTCAGGTTTCTTATTCCAGGGTGTGGATGCTGTTTGTCCCGTGGCCGCATCATTTCACTATGTGGGTCCAACTGCAATGCGAATCATGGACTTCTTCTTGTATAACCTGACAATTCATGACTATGACAAACCTCACAAAAGCAATCTATTCTAAAGCTTCATATCACGATCAACTGATGAGGAACAGAGAGCTTCAATCAATATTGGTTCCTAGCCGAGGGACATGCCAAAAGAACAGCACCAGGAGATCAGAACGTCCTCAACGATTAATCTACCTCAGTGTTAACGTAGGTAGAAGAAACGAGATTTTCAGAAGAATATGTTGAAACCTTCACTGAGACTACTTTAAAACAGTCAACGAAATCAACCACGAATACAAACAACACCTGTGGATCAGAAAGTCCTGTGGTATCAAAACAGTTTGACAGATACAGTTCCTAATTGTCGTTTGTCACTTCACTTGGTGACAGAGATTCCTGGATATGTTGTAATGCTGTATGCGTTAACAGTACCGAACATATTTATATATATGTAACAAGACACAATATCAATGGCGATGGAATATCGCTTAAATATTAGTTTCGACAGTTTGCCATTGTCAAAACTTGCCATCGATATTTTAAATTAAATCAAACGCTTGATTACTTCTACCTTGATGTATGAAGGGACTATTATCCTTGGTTTATCAGTATTAACTGGGAGGTACTTTAAAGTATAAATATATGTCTACGACTTGCAAGACTTCGCTCTCTTTCCTCATCATTTCTGTGTGAGTTACAAATACTGCGGTGTGACATAGCACGCACGTTATTTAGCAATGATCTCTGAAAATACTGCAGGAAGAGCTATAATATTGCTGGGTAACGATATCATCTAGTGTCCCAATGAAGTTCCCCGTTTCCCCGGCGGGACGTGAACTCCCAGTGTGGACCCAGTAGTTGGTTAGTTTGTTATTTAACTCTGCAATATTCCAGCTATATTGCGGCGGTCTGTAAACATTCGAGTCTGGACCAGACGATCCAGTGATCAACAGCATGAACATCGATCTCCGCAATTGGGATACGATGACGTGTGTCAACCAAGTCAGCGAGCCTGACCACTCGATCCTGTCAGTCGCCCCATACATGGGTTGCTGAAAATCTATTATAAAGTGGATCTTCACGGGTGGGCACAAACATGGGTTGCTGAAGATCAATTCTAACCCGGTTCCCCGCGGGTCTGAAGGTGTTAGATACAGGAGGTGACTGTCGATGTATGTCTGCAAAACTGCTTTCGCAGATTGAACCCAGTAACTCAAGGAATATGTAACATAATCATGTGGGCCACTTTAATGAGTTTTAAGCGATTTTAAAAAATATTCAATAAGAGGCATCTTTTCTACAAACACTACATCTAATTTACAAACATAATACATGTAGGTTTATCTCCTAAATGCACAAAAAATACCGCTTCCGATCGAATCTAGTACTGCATAGGTGCTGTCAACGTGACTGGAATTAATAAACGAATTTAAAAGGTGAGTTTTCGCTGTCTTATCTGATCCATGATTTTAGCTTGGAATAACGGAAGTAGCTGTCTTTGGTGAGTCGTGGCCATGGCGTATAACCTTTGAAATAATGATCTGATTGTGACCATTTATAGCTCATTTTGTAGGGAAATCATCTATCTTTTGATCCGTAGGCCTCGGTGGGGCCTTAAAAATACTTTGCGTGATGAAATCTAACTTTGATTGAGGTGGGGGGTGGATTACATCCCTTTTTTTGTATATAGTACTAGGGTTGGGTTATATACCTATATATCTTTCTAACGCTGTTTTTAAGCGCGATACGCCCCTGTGCTTCACACCAGAAATTGTACCCATGTGGGGAAACGAATCTTCGGCGTGACGATCAAACGCTTTAACCACTAGGAATACATTCTATTTCTGAGATAAGAAAAATCATATTGAATAAAAAATATTTCTGTTTTCATTACTGTCAAAAACGCAACAAACAACCAGTGCATATTCCTATCGAATTCCAAGATCCGCCGTTCTAACAAAGCATGGGTAAACATTGGTCAAAAGTTCATTTCCTATGGATCTCGTAGCGACATCTGTCATTTGTTTGTTGATGCAAACATCTGCTTCGCCCAATGTTCAAGAAGCGATGGTGGAGCGTAAAAGTAAGCATGTACATAGAAATCGATGAGCGTCAACGTGTTGAACATGGACCGAATAATGACCTGCATGCCCCAAACTACAGTGCTAACAATATTTATCGCCCACTGACGGTGCAATTAGTTGAAGATCATCCACTTTGCAACTGTAATACCTGATCAGCTAATGATTTATCTGCTCGAGAACACATTATTCACTCACTAACAGTGAAACGCATTGGACGGCATGACAATTTTAGTTCTCATGTCGGCTGAACTCAATGACTGCTAAACATGACGTATCTGCATTAGAAACCGGCATTTGAAAACACCCATAACTTGCTGTCACCAGATGTGTGCATGTATGTATGTATGTATGTATGTATGTATGTATGTATGTATGTATGTATGTATGTATGTATGTATGTATGTATGTATGTATGTATGTATGTATGTATGTATGTATGTATGTATGTATGTATGTATGTATGTATGTATGTATGTATGTATGTATGTATGTACATGCATGCATATGTATGTACATGCATGCATGTACGTACGTGCGTGTGTGTGTGTGTATGTATGTACATGTATGTACATGCATGCATGTACGTGCGCGCGTGTGTATGTGTGTGTATGTATGTATGTATGTATGTATGTACGTACGTACGTGTGTGTGTGTGTGTGTGTGTGTGTGTGTACATGTCTATGTAGAGAGATGGTGTATTTTCATAGTTTTACAATATAGAGGGGGCAACTTGTATAAATTGTATACATGTAATAAAGCAAAAACGTAATATCTGTGTGACATCTTAACCAAGAATTTGGTCTCGTTCAACCCTAATTTTGAAATGATCCCTTTTAAGGGTTGATGCGTATATTTCAAAATGTCTAGAAACCTTTTTATATGTGCATAGTCAGTGGTCCGCGCTCCTTCCTATATAAATTAAAAACTTTACTATAAAACTAGTTTTAAAAAATGACATTATGAATAATATTTTAAACAATCGCCAATAGGGCAAACAGTCTTCTAAGCGCACTCTTGCTTTCTGAGCAACCCGCGGCTTTCGAATGCTTCCGAACGATGTCAACGTGGTTTTAAAATGACATAACAGACTGATCAAAGCAATATTGTTAAAACTTTCATATCGGGTATGTGAAGTATATTGATTAATGATAATGTGCGATATAGTTTTACCGTTAGCAAGACTGCACTGATTAAACACGACTCGATTTTATGGGTTTATAGTGATATAAATCGGACACAACCCATTACATTCTACCTAGTTATGTTTTTGGAATTCCAAATATAGGCGTGCTTAAAGGTACACCAATACAGCGGTCTGTGGTAAATGGAAAAGTCAGCTTGGCAAGTAAAGTGGATTAGGTAATGTCATAGACATATATGAAGTTCTGGTTCTGCATGACTTGTCGACTTGTTTACATTCCAGAAAATATCCTTTGCAAACTCCTTAAAAGCAACATCCATATAGATCTGGTAACTCAGATCACTTGGCGAGAATTTGCTGTAAATAAGGACACAATATTTTCGTGGATGTTTTGTTCACGGAATTATCGAAAACAATCATACTCAAAACATTTGTGTCAAACGCGCACCTGGCCAATGAGTATACGCCATTGTCTTGTCTATAACACAACATAAACAAATTCAATGAACAAGACATATCCTTTACAAACGTGTGCATATATACATTTCATAAAATAAATAAATAATTTTTATTTATTATGTCAGTTTTACTTAAAATACTAAATGATGATAATGAAATTAGTTTCATGAAACCATATGTGAACGATACACAAAGTATACATTAATAATACAAGTGTAATCCGCAGGGCAGTGTGATTGTGTTTACTCTTATTCAACCGACCTTCACCTCAAAGAAATTGCCACATATGTCCAACAATGTTGATGTATGACATCACTACCGATGACCGATTTCTCATGAAATGGCGGCTTCGTGGATATGGGTGTCCATGATTTTGCGAGGGAACCTTTGTCCATAAATGTATGATGTAAGTAATCGGAAACATTCTGACTATCTGCGTATGGTTGTTTGTTTTTATTGTTTTCATTGAAAAAGTCAGAAATGCCGATAATTGCCTATGTCGTTCTCCATGATTTTGCGTCTCGCATGGCGTCACGCTTCACAGAACTTTCGTATGAATATGTATATCAAATTTCAGTATTGTATCTGTTTTAAATTTTCTAGGTCTTGCTACGATACTCTTTCCATGTATATTCTAAAAATATTGAGCTCATGCATGCTACGAATAGACGAACTGATGTCTAAAAAAAATTGAGAAAATGCTGCACAGTATAAAATCTGATTTTTGCTTTGTTTATATTTCTAGCAAGCGCTGTGTAATGAGCACAACGTCCCGTTTTCACCCCAATATGTTTCGTTGTTTCTTAGACACTTGGTGTTAGTGACAAAGACCATTTGGAATTTGATTCTAAAATGTATGAGGAATTTAGCGATCTGTATTTTATTGTAAAATTCCCGGAAAATTTAGACACCATGCCGGTCTAATCTGCATGATACTAGTGAATGAAAATCAGCTTGTATATATATGGCATTCATTCCGTTTTACTCAATATACCTTTGAGATACATTGTCGTAGTCTTATCACACACTGTAAATGATTAGTGAAATAATCTACTTTTGAATATTATGTGTTTATGGGTGCGAGTGTCAGTTGCAATGTTTTGGGATACGGAATATCAATGTGAGTCATTTCGTACGACCTATTTAAAGAGCATGTTAGGAGGGAATGAATGCCATACATGTATGTCATACATACATACAATAAATAACCTAGAATACATTTAAATTATACACCTTATTATCGACATTATGGGTTTACGAACCTAAAAACAATTCTATTTCGTTAAAATTAGCATTCAGTTTTGTTTATTTCGCAATGATATATTCACCGAGAAAATGGTTTGAGATAAACACCTTGTAAGTAACATATTTACTAGATATTATATACAAATGATGATTAGACCACATATAGTCATCCTTGCACGTACCATTTAGAACCTGTGAAGATCAGGATAAGAATTGATCTTCAGTAACCCATGCCTGTCGTAAGAGGCGACTAACGGGATCGTGTGGTCAAGCTCGCTGACTTGGTTGACACACGCCATCGTTTCTCATTTGCGAAGATCGATGATCGTGCTGCTGATCACTGGTTTGTATGGTCCAGACTCGAGTTTTTACAGACCGCCGCCATATAGCTGGAATATTGCTGAGTGCGGCGTTAATCAACAACCAACCAACCTGATTATAATTATTCATAAAATTTATGCAAGTTGGAAGCTTCAGTCAAATGACAATGAGTGTTGCCCATATCAATCACTCATGGCTAAAATAGATTATTTACATGCAGTCTTGAAGGATGAACTACGGATGAGACACACCAAGCAAACATATTTATTTAAAAATGAGACAAACACATGAGAACATGGTCACGAAAATCTATGAATCAAGTTCAACGTAGCATCAGAGTTTCGACAATTGAAGCTTAATATTACAACATTTGTCAAATGTTTATTGAAAAGGAGTGCGTTAGTGAGTATGGTTTTACGCCGCCTTTAGCAATATTCCTGCAATACCGGAGGACACCAGAACTGGGCTTCACACATTGTACACATGTGGAGAATCGAACCCGGATCGTCGGCGTGGCGAGCGAACGCTTTTACCACTAGGCTACCACATCGCCCCTGACAGAAAAGGAAAGTGTTAATGGTAACAAAACGTCATAACAAATTATGTTTTGTTCATAAACACGCGCATGAAAAGGATTTGCTGTACTGAAATAAGCACAACTTTCTTGGAAAACTACCCCGTACAGTTGCTAGGGGTGGGTATTGCAGAGAATGTTCATATTGCGATATATTGCGATGCGAAAGCATGTATTGCGATATGTATTGCAATATATTACATGAAGTTTTTTTAAACAAAAAACTACTTATAATCGTGGTAATGCTTGATTTATAGAGCAAATACAGAGCAAAATCACTATGCTTTATTAACATCTTTTATTCATGATTAAAAATAAAAATGTGAATAATATTTGGCACAAATGAAACCAGGAAATATCCGAAGATTTCCGTGTGTTACGAAGTTTTCCGAATGCAAGTCAAAATACCGGTTTTCGATCAGCGTATCGCAATACGTATCGTTTTCATGTCTGAACCGGTAAATACCGGTAAACCGGTTATATTGCACAGCCCTAACAGTTGCTGAGGCCTAGGGTGTTCATTGTGAAGCTAACATTGGCCTATACTGGTATTGACTGGTGAAATTCTCCTGACACATACAAACACAAACTTCAATGTATTAATTATGAACAAAAACGAGGCCATGTATGTCTCACAGGTTCTACCATGAATAAAACATAAGATTCACAGGAGCCGTATCTGTTCGAGTCGGCCATCTTAGTTAGCTACCGAGCTCCCTTCTTACTACGCACGTCGTTTGAGAGCGTGCACAGCAGGTGTTTTGTTCAGTAGGATGTATTCAGACGCGCTCACTCGCATCCAACGGCTTATTGAACGCAATTCAGGTGTTGTCGGCTACAGTTTCGTGTGTGCATCGACAAGTTTCCTCCATATTTGTCGACGTGAAGGTTTTACATCCCGCCGTCAGAAAAACAGGATGTTTCCAAGAGGTAAGCATTTACTTTGATGGATCAACCATTCCTGTAAACAGGTACCATGAGGTGCTGGTTCTGTAGTCATGTCGTGGTGTATGTGTCTGTGATCCTCATCTGTTCTGTAATGAATCGGGGCGGTGGGATAGCCTAGTAGTTAAGGCGTTCGCTCGTCACGCCGATAACCCGGGTTCGATTTCCCGCATGGGCACAATGTGTGAAGCCCATTTCTGGTGTCCCCCGCCTCGATATTGCTGGAATATTGCTAAAAAGCGGCGTAAAACTAAACTCACTCACTGTAGTGCATCAGTTACATAAATGTAGGTAGCATATTGACACAGGACAATAATGGGAGGGATCCCTCTAACAGAATGTTGGAAATTCGTCCACATGGTCTTGCCGTCACAAGAGCAAACATGGTCGATAAGCATGACGGAGACATATGGCGGTATTGATGTTCTCTTCACATATGTTCATGGTCAATACTGGCCTAGGACAAAGAAACATCCGATAATCTGGATGTTTTGGTCGGATGCTGGCTTCAGTCCCATCGTAATCAATGTTTCTTGATGTTAATATACTTGTGTTGAGTAATATGTATACTTCTTTAGATACAGAAGCTCTGCATATGCTGACCCGTGAAGGTCCGGCTTAGAACACTGGCCTTCCGTAACACATGCTTGTCCTAAGAGGCGACTAACGGGATCGGGTGGTCAGGCTCGCTGACTTGGTTGACACATGTCATCCGTTCCCAATTGCGCAGATCGAGGCTCCTGATGTTGCTCACTGGATTGTCAGATTCAGACTCGATTATTTACAGGTCGCCGCCATATAGCTGAAATATTGCTGAGTGTGTCGTAAAACTAAACTCACTCACTCACCCCGCGTACTCTAGCCTAACATCTAGTCTCAGAAATTAACATATTTTACAGGAAACACTGTTCACAAAGATATTCAAATGAAATATAATATATATAATATAATCCAAAGGAGCCCGGAAGTTTCTTCAGTTTCAGAAACTTTCGAAATCTAGACTAGCCACATATTTTGGACTTGCATGGACTTTCTTGGATAAATTTGTTTCAGGGTCTGTATGACAGACTACGCCTATGCTTGACATATCCTTCTCGCGAAAACCTAATGTCATCACGAATACTAAATGTAGTTTTCATCGCTGTTATAACACGGGGGTGACCACAAAAATGGTGAATATATTCTGGGTATTTTTCAAAGCAGTAAGGAGACGCATAAAACCCACGGCAATGTACATTTTGGAACAAACCATTTGTATTTAAAATATTTATAACGAAGAATCATAAATAGGGAGAGTCATACACTCCAACGCAATACTGATCCTGCAGCAGTCGTGATTTGTCACTAATGGGTCAAAGATCATAATATGGGGACATGTGAGATTCCAACCACAGACTTCTTTCTTCATTCTCTTCCCACAGAGGTTACTCCTGTCATATCTTCCTACGTAACCTCTGTTCTAATACGGCCCTTTCATGGTGTGAGCGTTCAAGCCTCGTGAATGGAGGCCATCAGATTTAGTTGTGCAATCAGCGACGTTGTTTCAAAAGTGATCATTCGCAAGGCCTCGGTAATTTCCGTATGCTTCGAGAAAACTAAACCTCTTCCCCTGCGCGATGCGCAAACGTTTCTTCTAGACAGAACTCAGTCATGTTATGGCGGATCAGTGGCGTCTCCATCGCCCTCGTTGACAACGGACAAGCTAGCCATTAAACGTCTTGTGTGTAATATCAACACAAGTCCCCGGCAGATGGGGATATTTGTGGCCCCACATTTGCTTGTGTTAGTCAAGTTGAATCTAAGTCGATGTAAAACGTGTTCTGATTGGATAGAAAGAAGGGAGATAATTCGTGTTGCGATCTTTTGCCGCTAGGGGATTTTACGAGAACCGGGAAATATGGCCGTATTAGAACAGAGGTTCGTAGGAAGATATGACAAGTAACCTCTGTGGGAAGAGAATGTTCTTTCTTATGAACGGAAATATCGACGCTTTAAGTTGTCTAATTTGCTTAAGGCAGGAAAATACCACATGAAGAGTTACTTCCCTTATATGTGCTGGGTACCGATGGTCATAGGTTCTGTTCAGTTGTTTTGTCAATATCAGCCTTATTGAACGACTGAAACATTAATAGTGAACCTGTAGTTACCCGAACTACAATCTATATGATCCTTGGCGAGGGAAAGGTGCTTATCATTGTGGATAAAAGGTGTTTGAAGTTGAAAAATGTGTGAGTGAGTGAGAGAGTTTAGGTTTACGCCGCACTCAACAATATTCCAGTTATATGGCGGTGGTCCGTAAATAATCGAGTCTGAACTATACAATTCAGTGACCAACAGCATGCACATATATCTACGCAACTGGAATACGATGACATATATCAACCAAGTCAGTGAGCGATCCCGTTAGTCGCCTCCTTCGACAAGCATGGGCTACTGAAGATCAAATCTAATCCGGATCTTCACGGTCAAAATTGAGTGAGTTAACCTTTACTGTGACGTCAGCAAATAGTTTTCATCCACATTGTGACTGGAACAACAGTACCTATTAAAATACATACATCATGGTATATATAATCTGTCGACAAGTACAGTAAAATATTCAGAGTATCACACAGTAATACATTTAACAAGCATCTAACCTTATAGCTGCACTACTCATAACGGTGCATTAAAACATACTCTGCAGGTCGCCAGCAACAAAAGGTAGGCCACAATTAAATTATTGATGTCAGAGGTATCCTTTGTAACCCTCATCCCTATACCAAGCACCAGGATTGTCATTTTAATGCTGAACTCTTAAACAGGTCAGATTCTGGTATGCATACAATGTCTGAATTCGATGTCTTAGTGTCTCGACCACGTAAACGCTTGATACATAATTACAAATAGGCTTCAGATTATCTTCATTCGCTCTCCTTGTCTGTAGATATTCGAATTCCCTGCCACCACGATCAGTTTATAGGACAATGAAGGAACCCTTAAACAGATTAAATTTTGACATGCACACAATGAGAAAATTCGATGTTTGGATGTCACGACCACGTTAACGCTGAAGAGAAAATACCGACTCGCCTTCAGACTGTCTTCATTCAATCTCCTTGTCTTATTGCCAGTAGATGTTCCCTGCCAGCACAGTTAGTTTTAGGTGAGATGAGGTGAAATTGGGTTTAACGTCGTGCTTGAGAATATTTCGCTCATATGACGACGTGCATGCGTGTGTATGTGTATGTGCGGCTGCTTGTACTAGCCCAGACTGAAGCTGGTTTTATAGTGCTAGCTCACTGAGATACCATGCCGCAGTGAAGCATGAATACCCCACTCAGACACAGTATACTGACTCCGAGCCGGCCAGTCCTTGTACCCATTAAAGTCGAGCGCCAGACAGGGACCAACAAGTACCATATTTTAACTTCTTTTTGTATGACGCGGTCGGGGATCGAACCCGCTACCTTCCGCTCTCCGGGCGGACGCTCTAACCACTACACCACGGAGTCGGTCGGTTAGTGTTAGGACAATGAAGTACGATGTCATTTTAATGATGAGCTCTTAAGCAGGTTAGATTCTGACATGCATGCAATGTCAACATTCGATGTATGGATTTCTCGACCACATTAACGCTGGAGAGATAATACCGACTCGGCTTGAGTGAGTGAGTGAGTTTAGTTTTACGCCGCACTCAGCAATATTCCAGCTATATGGCGGTGGTCTGTAAATAATCGAGACTGGACCAGACAATCCAGTGATCAACAGCATGAGCGTCGATCTGCGAAATTGGGAACCGATGACATGTGTCAACCAAGTCAGCGAGCCTGACCACCCGATCCCGTTGGTCGCCTCTTACGACAAGCATGGGTTACTGAAGATCAATATTCTGACCCTGACCTTCACGTGTTACTCGGCTTGAGATGATCTTCATTCACTCGCCTTTCTTATTAATTTTAGATATTCCCTGCCAGCACGGTCAGTTTATAGGACAATGAAGTACGATGTCCACCCGATGGCTGTATCTGTGGGTGACTGGTTTCACTTCCGGCGTCCTGGGCGTGGTGTGTGTCTACTTGACCACTCGGGTAGCACATCACATCGACAAGCAAAGGACAGGAAGAAGCCCAAGGACTTGCTTGTGCATGCTCACCCTACTGAACGTGTAGCGGTGCACAGAAAAACAGGTGCGTATTGCTAGTACAGCTGAATCCAGTTCGGTGGGTATCTGAGTTGCAATATAAGTGAGTGACTTTTACGCCGCTTTTAGCACTATTCCAGCAACATCACGGCGAAGGACACCAAAAATTGGCTTCACACATTGTGGCCATGTGTGATGAGCGAATGCCATAAACACTAAGCTACCCCACCGCACCTGCAATATAAAGACTGCTGCTTTCAGGTACCCCTTCAATCATCCAAAGTTCTTAGTAAATTCACAAAATATATCATACGTTCTTCTCCTCGTCGGATTTCAGATGTCAACATCCTCTGCTGGATCGTTGTCCATCCAAGAAACTTCGCAAACAGGAGTATGTCCGTCAAACGGACTTGGACAAGAAGGTGTGACACCATCCTCTTCTTCAGTTCGGAGACAGATCCATATTTCCCCACAATAGGACTGAACATTCCTGAAGGAAGAGACAACTTACCTGCTAAATCGTATGCGGCATTAATGTACATATACAAACACCATTACGACCAAGCTGATTGGTTCCTCAAAGCTGACGACGATACCTACGTCATCATGGAAAATCTACGTCACTTCCTCCTGAACAAAAACACGACGGAACCGTATTATTACGGCCAGGTGTTCCGGAATTCTTACAACAGCGGCGGAGCAGGGTACGTCCTTGGAAGAGAAGCACTTCGTCGGTTTGGCGAACAGGCTCCAAACACGGGCATGTGTACGCATGGCCTGTCTGAAGACGTTGTGATTGGTCAGTGTTTGTCCTTCTTGGGGGTGATGCTCTGGACAGGTACAGAGGACACTTTAGGAAGACCACTGTTCAACTGGAATAATGCATATGGGTCTCTGAACGGCGACGTTCCTGACTGGGCAAGGAACTCCACTCCCACCATGACGGTAGGTTTTGTTAAACAGTGTGAGTGGGTGAGTTTAGTGTTACGCCGCTTTTAGCAACATTCCAGCAATATCACGGTGGGGGACACCAGAAATGGGCTTCACACATTATCCACATGTGGGGAATCGAACCCGGGTCTTCGGCGTGACGAGCGAACGCTTTAACCACTAGGCTACCCCACCGCCATTTAAGGCGTCAAATGGGTCACTTTTCGTTGTTAACGTTTACTTCAATATTATTCAACAAACACACTTCTAACATGATCAGTGGCGGGGTTTGTGATTTTAGTGTTTTTAGCTAGTGTTACTTTTTATGGTATCAACCTTAGAAAAAGGGGCACAGTGCCAGATTTAAGAATTGTGTGCTGATGGAAAAATAATCGTATTTGGTTTGCGTTATTAGATTATGAAATTCATCTGTTGTGTTCTGTTATGAAACTGTAAATATCACATTTGTTTTCATTGTATTTTCAGGGTCCGCATAGCGTCAGTAATATTGCAGTTTCCTTCCATTACGTGAAACATCCAGATATACAATACTTTGAATTTTTCCTCTACAATTTGAGTGTGCATGGCTTCCACAGGCCTGTTTGGCCTATATGATCATGAACACTTATAGACTGCCTGATTTATCATCTGAAGGAAGTGGAATTAATTACCAGTGCGATCGTCGATAGGCATACGAATGCTACCTACACCACGTATGATTGATGGCACTCAACGGCCGTATGATGATTCATCACCTACATAATATATGGGTCTATTTATCATACAATAGGTTATGAAACTGTGATGATATATGATCGATCAAACACATGAATGTTTGACCACTGCTGGCTTTATTACTGATCACTGCAGGCTTTATTAATGATGACTAAATTGTTTAATTGATGATGATTAAATGCTTTATCAATGATCACTGCAAGCTTTATTACTGATAAAGTAAGGTTCTATGGATGATCATTTACAGGCTCTATGTTTGATCACATGTGTGCTGTTTCAGTGATCGCCTGCAGGCTTTATGGATGGTCATTTACAGGCTCTATGTTTGATCACATGTGTCCTGTTTCAGTGATCGCCAACAGGCTCTATGGATGATCATTTACAGGCAGTATGATTGATCACATGCGTCCTGCCTAAATGATCGCCTGCAGGCTTTATGGGTGGTCATTTACAGGCTCTATGTTTGATCACATGTGTCCTGTCTAAATGATCGCCTGCAGGCTCTATAGATGATCATTTACAGGCTTTATGATTGATACGTGATGTCACAATCAAAGCAGGAAGGGAAAGATCCACCAAACAAAAATGAAATCAAAATAGTATGCAATGCTTTATTTCTCTATAAACAGTACCAAATAAAGTGCATGTGGCTGAGGATAAGTAGAGTGGTGTTGACTATTGAATACAAACCTAATGTGTGCTTTCTACCTGCAATTAAACCTCCAGCTCCATTATGGTGCTTGAAATACATGTTCTTTTGAAAATGTTATTTGTGATTTACACTTTAATTTACACATTGTCGGGATAAAAATTGGATTTTACGAAAGCTTCTAACACCCGAGTGCCGCTTTTGCGAGAAAAGAAATTTTTATACTTGTACATTGCTTTATAATCCGGACTGAGCAGGAAGTCCGCCTGGCCAATAAACCTTGAAGAAACAATCCGTTGATAGGTTTGTGTATTTGTCTTATAAACTGAGCAGGAAGTCCGCTTGGCCAAGACCGCTTGGTCTAGCGGTGAACACTTATTCACATTTGATGCGATTAACACTAATTTGTAAACTATAATTGAGATGATCATGTAAACTCAGTGTCAATGTCACTATGCATTTGAGAGGCCTTCAGACACAGTGTGATATCAAATCAGGTCAAAATGTCTGAGCGACCACGAAAACGCCCGCGTACTGAATTGTCACTTGTAACCAAGATAAATCTAATCAATGATTCTGAAGCTATTCGAAAGATTTTACAGAAAGACTTGGCCGACAAATACCAGATAAGCAAACAAACTGTATCTGTCATTTTGAAGAAAAAGGAAGATTACAGATCACAGTTTGAGATAACTCCATTAAAATCTGTGTACCTCGGACTAGCTGTCTAATTTGGACATTTTAGTCGGTCCAAAGCCGGTCCGAATTAGACAGAGTGCACTGCATATATATAACAGGGCCTAACAGGAGCCGGAGCTCCAGTGTGTTCAGTCACTATATTCGAAGGGATGGTACTTTCTATCAGTGCAAGAAGTGGTGCTACGAGCTGATTACACAAAAATATCACAGCAAATCCTACACAACCAAATGAAGCAATAATATCTACATGTATGGTTGAAACATATTTATTTTCTGAAACCTGGGTTGGTAAACAAGCATTGTTATGCTTATATAAATACCACCCCAGCAACATAACAATTCCAAAATCATGATGGTTACAAGTAAAGGAAAATAATTAACAACTCGCGTGTTCTTAGATAAAGAAGCATGTGTTCATAAATAAATGAAGCAAAGGTGCGATTAACAACATGATGGCGAGTGCTGCAATGACGGTAAACGTACAGACATACAAGAGTTCCAGCTTTTTTAGATTTTGCAGTCATAATCATACGAAAGTTGCCTAAGCATTTACAAATCGATTGCTTTCAGTTATGAAGTTATGTACAGATATTAATATATCCATTTCAACATTTTTGCTTAAAGACTTGTTGCCATATAAGATAGTTTCTAGATTATATCCGTGGGTGTAAAAGAAGGCATTTTTCCTGATTTCAGTATATTTAGTACAATTTAAAAAAAATAATGATATGAGTTCTCAATTTGGTGCCCACAAGAGCAGACCGGGTTTGCTGATATGTGTATTTGGAATTTGTCCCAGTTAAGATCACTACATCCTAGTCTCAGTCGACTATGAGTTATTTGACAGTTTCTACTACCATAATATACGTCAAAGTAAACATTCCATCTATTTTGTTCTTTGATAAGGGTTTGGAAGTCAGATAGAGGCATACAATTTCTAACTTTGAGAGGCAGTGAAGTCCAGAGTTTAATTGTATCTGGAATGAATGATTTGGCATATCTTGTTGTTCGGCAGTAAATGCTTCTCAAATTAGTGCCATCACGTAAGGGATAACGACTATTTTCCCCGACTAATTGGGGTAACAGATTGCACAGATAATGATGATACATTTGATAAAATGTTGGCAATTTATAGTATTTTCGCCTTTCACTCAAAGAAGTGAAGGAAGTTTCGCGATAAATCTTTTCATGGCTTGTTCCACGGACAGCACCACATATTGTTCTAAGGGCATCTAGATGTAGTTTTTCTAAAGTTAGGGCTTGCTGATCTGTACAGTTGTCCCAAATATGAGAGCAGTAATCAAAGAAAGGAAGAATATAGGATTTGTACATGGTTTCTTGTGTTATTCTAGACAAGCTATATTTGAAACTTTTAAGACAATTAATCATGGGACTAACATTTTTTTATAACGTTGCGAATGTGTGCGTCCCATGAACAGACGCTCTGCAGTGTTATTCCGAGGTGTTTATGACTTTCAACGTCTTGGATAACAATCCCATTCATAAATAAGTTAGGCTTAGGGGTGAGAACATTTCTGCGCGTGAACTGCATAGTTGCTGTTTTTGAAGGATTAAAAGTAACTTGCCACGTTTTGGCCGAATTAGATATTTTTTCTAGATCGTCATTTAAGCAGTTAGCTGCTTCAGAGGGATCGTCTACGATAACATAAATGGACGTATCATCAGCGAGAAGTCTGATGTTACTGTTAATCTACATGAATATGAAATATATTAACACCCCCAAAAGATGCATGGTCATAGACTAACATCATATCTATCAGCGTGTCAGATTGAATAATTGTGTAATCATGCCCCCCCTCTCTCTTGTGTAAAATGTTATTTCTACGACGACTATTATTCTTATTATTATATGTAAACACAGATACTAATCACACAAATAATGACAGTTATCTAAACAATGGCAGCGAAGATACACCATAAAATACAACCTAAACAAACCCACAACAGTATAAGTATTGACAGAAATGACTTGGAAATAATATAATCTGAAACTGTGCAATGGTTACAAATTAAAAACATATCTGTTCTGATGCTACAAACTCAAATTTGGTACATTCGACATTATTAAACTAACTAGCGTAATAATATGTTTCATCAGAAGATGGTGTGAGACCGAACGTGGCCTGGAGTTTCCCCAACACCTCGGCAAATGTCGGCCGTGTTTCGGGAGAGCTATTCCAGCAGCATCGCATTAGTTCGTAATGCCTGTAGAGAAAGAACTTTAACCTTACTCCGCAAGCACATCAAAATGTAATGTGTAAAGGGATAAATAATGGAGTGAGTGAGTGAGAGATTTTAGCTGTTAAAGCAACATTCAAACAAAGTGAACCCCTGACGAGAATCAAACAGGGAAGCGCTTAAAACCCATTGCTTAAACTTAACGATATTTAATATTTTGTCTGGTTCATTTTCACAACCATCAAAAACCAAAACGGGTGGAAACATTATTTTTCACGAAAATAGACACAAAGTATCGGGTGGTCAGACAAGCTGACATGGTTGATGCATGTCATCGTTTCCAAATCAAATAAATCGATGCTCATGATGTCAGTCACTGACATTACTGGTACATATTTACAGACGGTCGCTATACAGATTAAAACCTGCTGAGTTCAACAAGAGACGGACAAATGAAGGGTAGAACTGACAAAGAATCCAAGAGGTTATCAAACCGTCATAAGGCTGAAAACAGTCGCCGAACAATACAAAATTTCAGGTTCAAAACATAACGATTATATATTTGTTTTTTTGTTTCCTTTGAACAACCATGAAGCAATGGTTGTACTGTCCTGTTCAAATGAGTATATTTACACAAAACTACTTACACATCTTCTGCAAGTTCAGGTCTTTCGAGTCGGTATCCGTTTTGAATCTTTGTAGGAAGATCTCGACTTCTTACAGCATCGTATGGAGTCTTCCCTGTTTGTAGGTTGAGAAATGATCATTGTTTATACTCAAGAAACCTTCTCGAGATCATATCTTACGAAAGACATTTCTTTTTCGTCATCTGTTGCCTCATTAAAATATTAAGAGACCGCACCTTCCTTCCGCTTATGCCATGGACATTATATGGCCTTGTATCTGCTTTTTCGTTAATTGTATTCATTCGTTTTTGCTAATAATACAGGTATAGATCTTGGACTGACTGACTGACTGAGTTAAGTTTTACGCCGCTTTAGCAATATTACAGCAACATCACGGCGGGGAACACCAGAAATTGGCTTCACACATTGTACCCATGTGGGGATTCGAACCCGGGGCCTTCGGCGTGACGAGCCAACGCTTTAACCATTAGGCTACCCCACCGCCCCATAGATCTTGGAGGGCAGTGATGTTACATGAACATGTTAACCAGTTATGGTATATGATTAAACGATACAAAATCTGAACTGAAGTTTGCCTGCAAACTGTATATGCAGGTCAGCTTTTATCTGATGGATGACGTTGACGAAACATATTTGTATAATTATAACCAGTTAAAATTGATATAAACATTACCAAAAAACAGCATATATATATGGCGATGACAAAGTTGAAAGGAATAAAGTTTACTAACCCATGCTGAAGATCTCCCACATAGTCACCCCAAAGGACCAGATGTCACTCTTCTCATTGGCTCCCTTCAGAGACTGAAGGCATTCTGGAGCCGTCCACTTCACAGGGATTCGATCCTGGAAAATAGGAATTTTTGTAACTGGTGCACAAAATCCTCACAAAAGAAGCATCCCTTTAATCAGATTCAAGTACTGGCGATGCTGTTATCACATGAATTTGGCGATTCAGAAAGCTGCAAAACATTAAATCATAAACTGCTGTACGAAAAAGTACACATTCGACACTTGATTATTTTTAGAACAATTCTAATATTTTGGAAAGTGTTTTGATTGTCTCCTACATTGTGTACAGTTGCCAAAACAGCAGAAACATTCTTCACAGTGCTGTGAGTAGAATCTCAAGTAAATTGTGTTTCTGTTGAATCGCAGGTCCATGATATTCGCCAACAGTTTGATACACAGTCGACTGAGTTTGTTATACCTGTTAAAATAACACATCAAAATACCAAGATTATCAGCAGCGGAGAGTGGACGAGCCATTGGAATGACGCAGATGGGGGCTTCGAACAGCCAGAATGTTCGGCATTTCAAGGCAGACCATCATCAGACTACTGAGACGCGTCAAACGGACTAGCCGGACATCAGACAGTCCAAGTGGTGGCAGACCAAGCGTGACCACCCTGAAGACCACCATCACCTGCACATTTCCCATTTGTACAACAGAAGTAAGTACGTGGGTGAGTTTACCTTTACACCGCTTTTAGCAATATTCCAGCAATGTCACGACGGGGGACAGCACAAATGGGCATCACACATTGTACCCATGAGGGGAATCGAACCTGTGTTTTCGACGTGACGAGCGAACGCTTTAACCACGATGCTACCTCGACGCCCCGGGACAAATGGACGTTCACAGTGACGTGATTGGGATCAACAGCCTCGGTGATGAGGCGACTGCGCATGCTGCGGGCATAGGGACCATGTCATGAAAGATAAGCATTGACTGAATAGCCTTTGTTGGGCTCTGACAGCGTTGCATGAACGTTGCTGTCGCATCAGCTTTGCTGCTATTCTGCTGTGAAGAATCTGTAATCATGGGAGTCGCCATTTGCTCTGTCCACTGGCGGACCTTTCCGCGGTTTTGGACTAAATCTTACGAATGATCTGTCACCATAATGTTCTACGATATGATAAATTTGCGTTGATAAAACGACCTCTTAGCAGATCTTAATGAAAGTGACTAACTGTAAATATGATACAGTAGAATAAATGTTGCTGAACTAAATGGCGGATTCTGATATCCCTTCGGACTTTCTGGTTCGTCTATCTTGTCTGAACGACAAAATAATTTCCTTATCAGTAAATCGCAGATCAGATGAAATATTTTCAAGACAAATATTATGTCAATTCATATCGGCCTAATAAGACTAATATCACCAGATGACTTATGTTATTTGATGTTATGGGGAGTTCTGTTGAGAAATGTTTTTTGTTTGTTAGATGATGTTTGGTGACGGATGATGATAATTTTATGGATACGTTCTATGTTGAAACGGAATAAAGAAGTTGTATATCCATAAAATTATCATCATTCTTCATCACCTTAACTTCAAGTACGCCCATCAAAGAAGTCATGTTTTTTTGTTGAGTTCAGTTGAGAAATGGTATTTGTTAGATGATGTTTGGTCTTATGGAGAGCTCAGTTCAGAAATGATGTTTTTAATGGATGAAGTTTAGTGTTATGGGGAGCTTTGTTGAGAAGTGGTATTTGTTTGTTAGTTGATTTTGGTGTTATGTGAAGCTCAGTTGAGAAACTGTATTTGTTAAATAAACACACCGATTTAGCCTTGTCGTCGCCATCCTCTTCCAATTTGCAGGGACCAAATCCAGTGATCTTTATCTCGTCGGAGGATGTTAGAAGGCAGTTACGGGCCCCTAATTTCCGATGAACGATCTGTGTTATTTCAGAAAGCATAGAAGTTAATCATAAAGTAATGAAATATTTATTTTGTGCCATACTTTGCTAGACAGAACATGTTAAGATTATATGCCCTGTGCTGAGAAATCAATACTGTCAAATTATTTGTCTCAAAATATTTTCCTGTTGGCTTTTGTCTCCACTGTCAGCCTAATTAAACTTAGGCTCAGTATTATTCGTTACACTGTTATACTGAGTCTAACAAACCCCAGTACGGCAGTAGAAGGTCGCGTCAACTAACCTTTGAGTGACTTATGACCGCCCAATCAAACGCGAGACGGCCGATTTAACCAATCAGACAACGGCTACTATTTTAGAGTTCGGCGGGATTTTCTCTTACCCCGTCGCTGACACTGATCTCTCAGCAAATGAAAATCCGCACAAAACACAGATTTTGATCTGTAGTATATACGCTTAGGGTTTCTGATGACATGGTTACTATAAGCTTATATTTCCGCAAGATGACATCCTGGAATATTGAGAAAAACGTTATTGTCAGCGACTGTTTACTCACTTGTTGTGAATGATGGCGTCCTCCATGTGTATCGGAAGCGATCGTGCGGAAAATAACATTCGGAATCGTTCGAGTACAAACGTTTTCGAGGTAAAACTTCAAACGGTATATGCGAATGTTAACTTTCGCGATTTGGTAAGCTGTGTTCTGATTGGTCAATTCAAGAAGTTAGCTGACGCGACCTTCTACTAGGGTTTGAAGACTCAGTATAGCAGTGTCTTTTCGTTAAGATTCTTTTTTTTCTGAAAAAAGTGTATAGAAATAATAACAATTTCGCCCGAATCATTCTGGTCAAAACACATGAACCAAATGGTGAATGGTTTGCTGATGTCTATGCAACTCACGCCTTTGTTCGTCAGGTAGTCCATGCCCCGAGCTACTCCAAGGGCAAACTGTTGGATCTTCTCCATGATGTCTTCACTGATCTTATTTTGGTGGCTTGACAACCATTTGTCCAGCTGTCCTTTCCGGCACAATTCCAAGACCATCACTGGTCCCACTGTAAAGAATACGAACATTGAAATATTGAAATACGTACAGTGTATTTCTGCTCCCGATCCGGTTACTATTTCCAGATAACACTTTCAAGAAGTGGCCTAGCACACAAATCGCCCGCATGTATAGTGATGTTGTAGATTCTGCTTGGTTACCATGCTCCTACCACTGGCCCATATTGGCCATTGTGGACTAACATTGGTTGCTGGTGAACTTTAGCCCGGCTTTTAAATGGTCGTGTCAAACCCTTTCAAATGTATTTGTACTTCAAATGTCACAGTGCGATCCTGTGATTGCCACATATCACCCAGTACTGAGAACGACGTGAATAACACTGCGATACGAGTCGACACTAAAATGAATACATACAGGCATCGTTGTTGACAACAGCCCCGATAAACTTCAGGACATTCCTGTGTTCTCCAACCTGGGTTGCTGCAAAGTTGATCTTTGCCATCATCATAAGTCTGTTGTCATCATTCACATCATCTGAAATGCACCAAACGTCCCACAATGCTTGTAGATGAAAATGCCCAAATATCTTTGAAATGTTACCAAATTTGTTGGATTCTGGTCTGATTGCCATCCACTGATTGATTAACTTAGAATTGGTAGAACTGGTTTATTTTCTTACAATGTCATCTGTTATAATATGCTTGTCAATGTTAGATGTGCCAAGATCTTTACGCATGGTTTTATATTCTGTTGGTTATTTGATGTAATGATTTTGTACCTAAAATATAGATGAATATTGATCTTAGGCATAGATCGATGTGAGTGAATGAGTGAGTGAGTTTAGTTTTACGCCGCACTCAGCAATATTCCAGCTATATGGCGGCGGTCTGTACATAATCGAGTCTGGACCAGACCATCCAGTGATCAACAGCATGAGAATCGATCTACGCAATTGGGAACCGAAGACATGTGTCAGCGACAAGTCAGCGAGCCTGACCACCCGATCCCGTTAGTCGCCTCTTACGACAAGCATAGTCGCCTTTTGTGGCAAGCATGGGTTGCTGAAGACCAATTCTACCCCGGATCTTCACGGGCCCATAGATCGATGTGCTACTTAAATGTGGATTGTCACCATCATATTATCATCATGCTGCGCATGCCACTGATCAGGCAGAGCTATATAGGATCATCTTAGTTGGATGGCTGGCAATGTTCAACGAGCTTGACTCCTGAGAGTTTCCAGGTCTTGGGTCCACTCCAACATTGAAACTCATGGTACATATGTCTTATTTCGAAGGAGACTGTTGACCCAGTGGTTATGTGTACACGTTAGAATTAGGTGGTTCAAATTTACCTAGTAGCAACTCGTAAGACTGTTTTGGTTAAATACTCCCCAGGGAGTAGAGAATGAAATTTGAATGCACACCGCGCCATCGACAAACGCATATTTAGAATATAAATTACAGTATCGGAATATTTTAGATTTGAAACATCTGCTCCCATCGCTCAGCAAATTGTGGTTGGTTTACTCCTGTATGGGACCGGAATTCGATGTGACGAGTTACCTCCCTTAGACACGACCGGTCTGACGATCATAGGTCCCAGTCAGATCTTTCCCGTTTGCCGTTAAAACCAAATTCAAGTGGTCATTGTATTGCCGGATCCAAGTGGAATTGGAACCTTTGATCAGCGGATTCATGTTCGATGAAAGAACGTAACTCAGTCCAGTGATGTACGACAGCTTGGACCATACATTCAGCGGTATCCCCAGTATTTATCGCATTCTTTCTTTAAGGTATTTAAATGTACATTTGGCCACTTTGGCCTCGGTTGTTTTTTCGCATCTTAGGGCAGCTTGGTTCTAATGCTCCTATGGGCGTATAAAATGAAATTCACAATGCCTCAAAGACAAGCCCAAACTTGGAATCATGGTATCAAAATGTTTTAAAGCAATTGTATCTCCTGGTTTCCTCTCACACTTTCTTTAGGTATCAACATGTACCTTTGAGTAGTTTTGCGACCACGTCAGTTGATTTTCCGCCTTGTTTGTGCGTGGCCTTGAGTATCCGAGCAAACCTGCCCACCTTCAGCTCCTGCTGCAGCTTCAAATTATCTTTAGGGATGTACCACAGCTGCTCCGACCCGAACTCCATACTGCCATACAGGTAGATGTCATCGTCAACATCATATGCATTGTTCTGCAAGAGATAGAACAAACATTCCTGATTCGTCCTGACTTTGGTTCTTGTTTTGTTAGCAAAACATCCACCTCTATGAGTAGTGACTCGTGATGATGACAATCCTGCTGCTAATGATGATGGATTAGGATGATGGTGATGATTGTGATGATAATGATGATGGTGGTGATGATGATGAATTTTTGATGATGATTGATGATCATAATTGAATGTGGTGGTAGTGGTTGTGGTGATGATGATGGTGATGATGAATGTTTGATGAAGATTGATGATCATGATTGAACGTGGTGGTAGTGGTCGTGGTGATGATGATGAAGATGATGATGATCATCATCATATATTCACGCTCAGATATATAAAGTGTGAAGAAGTATTATTGATCACAAATATAATGCATCAAAGAATGATAATCACTGAATGAAATCCTCGAAGGAGTAAGTATTTATTACCTTGTAAGCCTTCACTATGACTTCAGCATTGTTCATCTTTCCACGAGGACGTTCCTGATTTGTGCGCCTAGTGGTGTAGCGACTTCGCCGCCGTTTCATCATGGCTGCTGCCTTCCCTGTTTTCCACAGGAAGATGCCAACGCCAAGCACTACTACTATCAACAGAGCCCCTGGAACAAAAGTGTGAGTGAGTGAGTTTTTTTTATCGCATATGTTTTTCAGAAAATACACGACTCAGTTATTCAGACCAGTCACCAACTACGGAAACATACTCAGATGTAACAAGGGTAGTACCCACCTACTGCTATTCCAGCAATGGCTCCTATGCCAATCCCAGGTTCGGCCGGAGCATTCACTGAAATAATAATCAAATTGTTAAAAAAAAAATTCAATATCAGTATATTTGATTTCTGTTCCTGAGAAGTGCCATTAAATTTGTGAATGGAAGTAAGTAAATAAGTTACAAGTCGTACTGGCATTTTTCAGCTACTTCCCGACAAGACCAGCTTCATACATCTACTAAATTTGTATATGGAAGCAGGCAATTTAAAGTGCATACTTTATGACATTTTGTCAATCGGAACTACATGTACTCACATGTCTTAAAAGACACAGCGACCGGTTTACTTTTGATTCCGCCATAGTCTGTTGTGACCTTGACCGTGTAGGCTCTACTAGGGTCAAGGTCGGTCAGGTCATAGTAAGTGGCGTCCTTGTAAACTTTGATCATGTCAGAATGTCCAGTGTCCCATTCATAGTTTATCCAGATGAAGGTCCGGGGATAGCAGCTCGGAGAGTGATGCCACGTTACACGGACACTTGATTGGCTGATTTCCTCTGTCTTCACACCCATTGGCCCAAAATCTGGTGTACCCAATACCACAGGGATAATATGCTATTTCAACATGCATTGTTCGTATACGAATGTGAAATCGCTTGAACCTAAGTTCAATATACTAGATTTAATTGGTTGGTTGATGGGTTGGTTGGTTGGTTCTTAAACGCCGCTCTCAACAATATTCCAGCTATATGGGGGCGGTCTGTAAATAATCGAGTCTGGACCAGACGATCCAGTGATCAACATCATGAGCATCGATCTACGCAATTGGGATACGATGACATTTGTCAAACCAAGTGAGCGAGCCTGACCTCCCGATCCTGTTAGTCGCCTCTTACGGCAAGCATGGGTTTGCTGAAGATCAATTCTAACCCGGATCTTAACGGGTAGAGCGATGTCGGGAACAAGGGCGGTCGCGGTATCTAAGGTTGATCAGAGTTGGTTCCCTGTGGCGTAGAAGTATTTTATGATTGTGGTTCGAACCACTTATCATTAGGACCACGAGCCTGATCTTTGATTTCACCAAAGTGCTAAAAGTCTAATACTTGGACCAGTTTCCTTCAGCACCAAGCCAAGTACACATGCATATGAAAATGATGCAACTGGCTAGCCTTGTGCTTTTAGCGTTCTTTCCTCAGGCCTTAGACTTAGGTTAGATTCCCGACGTCTGTATGAGATATGGCCGTACATAGTTAAGTGCTTGAAACCACTCACCACTCACAATTTCAGCAAGGTAAAATAGGTCTACAGTGTCTTTTACAAAATTATTCTTATACATTAGCTACAGAAGTCATCCTTACAGGCTTCTGTTCCGTTCAGTGATGTCAAATTCGTCAACTGAAAAAACAGAAAATATGAAAATACGTCATCAGGCAGACTATGACAGCATCCTGACGTGCGGTTCAAATCTACCAATCACTCACTAATACTGGATTGTTCGAATCAGTGATCACATGACCAGAAAGACAACATGGCTATTACCGAAATTGTAGTCGATCAAGACAACCAACGATCCGTATATCATGGTGACATCTCGATAAAGTATAAAGTGTCCACCCCCTAATTAACAGCTGGTTACTGATAGAGAATAAAAGCTAGTGGTGTGCATGGGCAGGAGAGTTGCGATGTCTGCAGTTTGTTTCTTCTGCCATGTGAATACGACCTGAACTGCGGCACATGTCGCAGATAGTAATATCATCTTTTAGAAATAAACATATTACAATTAAACATATCTTACCTCACACATAAATGTCGTTTTCTGATTGGCTGAGTGCTCTATTATTTTCAATGCACCCCGCTTACAAGCGAGTAAGATTTTGTATGTTACCAACTGGGAATGCTCAACTGTTAGAATTCATTCGGAACTTCGTGTTAGTACTTCTTTATCTCGAATAATTGAATCACGTATGATGATACGGATATTACCGATGTTTTGCGAATGCAAATCGATGGACAGAAGGTAACTCTAAATTTGTTTTTCTTGTCTTCCGCTAGAAAGGCTGATTGCCTAACTCTGGTACTATTTACCAACCATCCGATACCCGTGCATCAAACAATTCAAAATAAACATTGATGTGTTCGGTAAGATAAATACGTTGTTCACTTGTCCTTCGGGGTTCATGGGTTGATGTACCCTCTATGTTTGTATACACCAATCCATGTCCCCCTTGTGACACGTGATCAACTTATATTACACTTTATCTTTACCAAGTCTGACCATCAGTTTTGAATGTATCTAAGAAATTGTGTTTATCGTTGGAAAACCATGTAAACTGTATGTCAACGCATTTTTTTTCTGCCATGACACTGGCTAAAAGTCTGTATGCAGAGAAACCTCGTTAATGGAGACAGTGTACTGAATGTCCGGCTTAATCAGTTTCCGGAATAAGGAATCAAATACTGTGTAGCTTAACAGTGTGTATGAGAAAAAGCAATGTGTTCTGAATAACGAGGTATCCATATACTGCAGGTTTGTATAAATGATTTATGTTAATGACTGAGGCGAAACCGCATTATCAGTGGTTCAAGGGAGGTTACTCTCTCTCACACTGCATCGGACATGGCTACAGAAGTCATCCTTACAGGCTTCTGTTCCGTTCCAAGTGATGTCAAATTCGTCAACTGAAAAACAGAAAATATGAAAATGCTTCATCAGGCAGACTATGACAGCAGCCTGACAGTGCGGTTCAAATCTACCAATCACTCACACATACTGGATTGTTGTAATCAGTGATCACATGACCAGAAGACAACATGGCTATTACCGAAATTGAAGTCGACCAAGACAAGCAACGATCCGTATATCATGGTGACATCTCGATAAGTATAAAGTGTCCACCCCTAATTAACAGCTGGTTACTGATAGAGAATAAAAGCTAGTGGTGTATGTGGGCAGGAGAGTTGCGATGTCTGCAGTTTGTTTCTTCTGCCATGTGAATACGACCTGAACTGCGGCACATGTCGCAGATAGTAATATCATCTTTTAGAAATAAACATATTACAATTAAACATATCTTACCTCACAAAATGTCGTTTTCTGATTGGCTGAGTGCTCTATTATTTTCAATGCACCCTTTACAAGCGAGTAAGATTTTGTATGTTACCAACTGGGAATGCTCAACTGTTCATTCGGAACTTCGTGTTAGTACTTCTTTATCTCGAATAATTGAATCACGTATGATGATACGGGATATTACCGATGTTTTGCGAATGCAAATCGATGGACAGAAGATAACTCTAAATTTGTTTTTCTTGTCTTCCGCTAGATTCTATGTCATCGGCTGATTGCCTAACTCTGGTACTATTTACCAACCATCCGATACCCGTGCATCAAAAATTCATAATAAACATTGATGTTTTCGGTAAGATAAATACGTTGTTCACTTGTCCTTCGGGGTTGATGGGTTGATGTAACCTATATGTTTGTATGCACCAATCCATGTCCCCTTGTGACACGTGATCAACCTATATGAAACGTTATCTTTACCCACTCTGACACTCAGTTTTGAATGTATCTAAGAAATTGTGTTTATCATTGGAAAAACCATTAAACTGTATGTCAACGAATTTTTTCTGCCATGACACTGGCTTCTTAAGAGTCTAAAGTCTGTATGCAGAGAAACCTCATTAATGGAGACAGTGTACTGAATGTCATGCTTAATCAGTTTCCGGAATAAGGAATCAAATACTGTGTAGCTTAACAGTGTGTATGAGAAAAGCAATGTGTTCTGAATAACGAGGTATCCATATATTGCAGGTTTGTATAAATGATTTATGTTAATGACTGAGGCGAAAACCGCATTATCAGTGGTTCAAGGGAGGTTACTCTCTCTCACACTGCATCGGACATGATATGAACGCCATCGGTTCAGATTTTGACCTTTGATGATATAGATAGGGGTCATATGCAAATCACAGATTTTTCTGCTTGCGGCGTTTTACGGCTACTTTACCGTGTCGAAATCATTATGGGATATGGACGGGTTCCGAGAATATTGCGTTAATTTAACGTGCTTGACGAGTCTTGTCAGCTTCAGTGTGAAGTATGATAAACTTCCCATCAAAATAATCACACTCAATTATAGTGATAATCATGACAGACGATTGTCTTATTGTTGCTTTTAAATTTGATGAAACAAAATTTCGATAAAGTGCATTTTTTATCACTGACGCTAAGTGACTGATTTCACTTTTAAAAAAATGAAATACAAAAGGCGATTTATATACTAGTAATTACTACTGATGTCAATTGCCTAGTGACAGCTGCTCTGGGCCTTACACATGCTTTGGTAAAATAACATGCTGCGTCTTTTTGTTTAGAATGAATAAAATCTTTACGCATGTGTTCGTTTTTCATCACTTAAAATGTTTTTCAATTGTGATTCTTGAAAGATAAGAAGAGTAGATTTACTCAGCCTAATTATGAATTTTGAAAGATAAATTACTTCTGATGCCTTTGTTTGTTGGTGAGGTCGTTTTCGTTCTTTTACATAACTGCAGTCAATATGTCTTTTTAAATGCTAAGATTTGTAGCTTTACTCACTTTTAAAAAAATGTGGGCTCTTTCACAAAAGGTCTCTATGAGAAAAAGATAAGTGGGCCCACATTTCTATTTTCACTTTAATATATGCAGTTTTGTTGCTGCTAATATCGTATGTAGAAAACGCTTTATATCTACAAACAAAGATTATGAAATTGCCACCTTTCCTGTCTCATATATCGGTTACTTCAACATCAGATGATACTCTTGGATTCATTAATATTCGAATAAAATATGAGCCCACATCCCCCTCTAACAACCAGCTGGTAAGTGATCCACAATTCAGTAATATTAACATATATGTCTAACAATCGTAAAGCAAAATGCTGCTATTCATACATCCTCGATAATCTCCAGGGTGTACATTACGATAAATCTCCACTATACGCTGGCTGCTCTACTGCTCGGCCCGATTATTTATAACCTCCCTTGGCTGGCTTTTTATCGTATCAGGTGTCTACGCTGGGAAGTTGAGCGTACTAATCACAACTCACTTTCGCTTCTTAAATTATCTAACCGATAAACTTGGCAACACAAATGATGCAGAGGTACTCTGAAAGAGGTATTCTATATATATTTTTTAAAGTTTCAGATAAATTTTTCTGTATGGTTCCCCTATGTTGAGACGGACTCAATATATCAACTCGCCAATAGTGTTGACCTGGCAAGCTTTGTATTTCAATTGGATGCGCGTGGCCAGCAAGGGAGGTAATAACATTCCCGTGCATTTAAAGGGTAGTTGTACATCGGAGAGAATTATGGTACCAAAACATGCAACATAAGATTTTTGCCGAGTTCAACAACAGAAATCTGAAATAGTCTTTACATTTATGCTAATAATACAGGTGGTGTAGAAATACGAATTAACGTTTTTTCCTAAACAAATAAATGTTGAATGTTTGTGTTACTTTACTTAATTTTCGTTTCTTTATTGAAGAAATATTAATATAAATGTTAAGTCTTGATAAATAAGTTTCCCGTCAAGCATGCACATCTTTATCACAGCGTCCACTATGGCCAACGATTTGCAGTCGATTGTTGCAAAGGTTTATAATTTTTTCTGATTGAAAAGGACAGAGATAAACCTTTCATTAGTATAGAAATGGTTATTACAGAACTTTGTAGCGCTGTTGGTATGTCTTACCAACAAGTTTACAAAATTGTTAACAAATCAGACAAGACAGTGACCGTCTCAAAAGCAAAACCGGGACGTAAAACCATCCTTGATAACTTTGACAAGGAGTGCTTAGACGGGCGGTCTACAAACTTTATGAGAAGAAGAATATAAATATTCTAAAGAAGCTACACCAGTAACTTCGTTAAATCTTTGGCCAATGTTCACAACTAGATTAAACTGAACGAATTACATCCATATTTTTTCAATGAAATATACTGTTGACATGCAAAACATTTATTAAAACGTTGCACATTTCTACAATCAATCGATAAGATAACACAAGTGATAGGATTCTTTCCAATGTACAGTAATTCGTATGTTTATTTCAAAACAAACACACATACAGAAATGATCCCTTACATAACCAATACGTATACTATACGTACACGTATTCAACATTTTGCAGAAAACATCTATTGAGATGACCCCTCGCCCGAGCGTGTGCTCAGGTGTCAATTTCACCTGTCGATACCGTGGATGCTGATGACGTAACACAGGCAGTTAATGTTTGTATCAAATAACGTCCCACTACTCCTTATTTTCTAAGTTTTGGTATTTTCATCAGTAAAACACATTTGAGATCATGTCTCAAAATTTATTCCCTCGGTCTACATTAGGTAGATGTTTCTTGAAGTGATATTTGTTATTTAAAGTAACTGTAATACCTCTGAATTTTAAATATAAGTCAAAAAGCATTTTTCTAGCATTTCCGACAGTACTTTAATCACAACTCACTTCGTTTCTTAAATTATCTAACCGATTAAACTTGGCAACACAAATGATGCAGAGGTACTCAGAAAGAGGTAGAAGGAGTTCTTGCATATATTTTTTAAAGTTTCAGACCTGTCAATTTTTCTGTATGGTTCCCCAAAATCTAACCGGACTGCGAACAAACCTTCGCCGCTGCGACTGAGTATCTGTGAGAATGCGCTGCCAGCAAAGGGAGGTAATAAAATGATCGGACTGAGCCATAAATGCATCCAGGGTGGAGATTATCGATGATGCTATTCATATAGATGGAAATGAAACTTATCGGGCCGAGCCATAGCTACTCAGGAGATTATCGATGATGCTATTCATATAGATGGAAATGACTCGCTAAATTGTATAGTTTTAATGATCATCTGAGTACGGAGGACGCAGTTTATCGCTTTCTCAGCTTCATGCGTTTTTGGATACGAAACTAATCAGTATACCTCCAGTCTGTATCTAGAGTTAGCTCCCTTCGCAACTCGATCCACTGGTAATGCGGTTTCGCCATGACTGATGTAGCTCACCTGAAGCACTTTGGAGGTCCTGAGACCCGCTCTGTTCACCACGTCTACGTTCAGGTTAACGGCGGCTGTCTGGAGGGACGTCTTGGACACCATCAGCCAACAGTTGCTAATGGCAACGGTGCTCACACGATTGTAACATACGTCCAGTGAATTCGGGCAGTAGCATTTCGTGACCCTGTCTGTGCACCCGGACATCTGAGACACGAATTCGTGAAACATTCATATAATTGTACGTGTAGTAACGCCGCAATATACCAGGTTCATATGAGGGCGGTATCTAAGTAATCGACCCCCAAGACATAGTAGAAGGATTTACATAATGAAAAGAAATGAGAAAGGAATACTATGACATCTATGACGTTAGCGAGCCGGAAAAGCGACCCATTAGTTACAAGTATGGTATATCCCCAGATCATTTGTAACAAGGACTGACTGACTGACTGAGTATGGTTTTACGCCGTTTTTAGTAATATTCCAGCAATATCACGGCGGGGGACACCAGAAATGGGCTTCACAATTTGTACCCATGTGGGGAATCGAACCCGGGCCTTTGGCGTGACGAGCGAACGCTTTAACCACTAGGCTACCCCACCGCCCCTTGTAACAAGGAAGAACGGTGGGGTAGCCTCACGGTTAACACACACCGTTCGATCCCCCATAAGGGTGTGTGAAGCCCGTTTGTGGTGTCCCCCACCGTGCTATTGCTGTGAGTGAGTCAGGTTTATCGCCGCTTTTAGCAATATCACGGTGGAGGACACGAGAAAAGGGCTTCACACATTGTACCCATGTAAGGAATCGTACCTTCGGCTTCGGAGTGACGAGCGAACACTTGAGCCACTAAGCTACCCGCCGCTCCGAATTGTTACTTAAGTTTCTTTTCATGAACACCATCGTGGACATGCTGTGTCGCGGGACAGTTCCGGGTAAAAGCAGGCCCCAGTTTGCTTGTCTTAAGACGCGAATTATAGATCTGGTAGTGACTGGGTTGCAGTTGATTGCGCGCCATGTAGTTCGATGACAATCGGATCCTAGTATCCGCATTGGGCCTGTAGCTGAGCATTTAATTGTTCTATCGATCTTGGATACAAATTGTTGTGTGGGAGGGTAGGACAGTAATTTCACAGGAATATAGTTAAAAACGACGTAATATCAAATTACTCAAACTATCACTGATGCTTACAGGAATAGATGACATGGGTATTGTTTTGTTGGTCAGAGAGACGCCGTTACTTTGCTGTGTGACCTTGATCTCTATATGCCCAAGACCACTCTCCTCGTCCATTGCCGACAACTCCAACCTTTAAAACACAGCAAGATCAGTAATGACCCTGTCGGCGTCATATTTGTACCATTTTTCAATTCAATCGTATACAGTTAAATATGTTTGAAATCGATATAAATCGTACCTTAACCACGTAAGTGACCGTTCATAATTTAAGGCTAGGGGAGGGGCGGGTGACTGTAATGGGGAAGAATGTACAATGTGAATGACACCCCCAAGTCCCCTGCATGTCAAAGACATCCACCCCCAGTAAGTGTGCAAAATGGATGACACACCCCGACCCACACACCCCACCAAAATCGGTGAACCCCCTTAAAAAATGTTTAAATTTAATTTGTACTTTCTTGTAATTAGAGAAAGGAATGTTTTTCTTACCTCGAACTAAACGGAATATTTGACTGTTTATTTCTGTGGAAGTTGATGTTTGGGAACTCGGGTGGAGTGAAATCATAAGTGACACTTGTTGAGTCCACTTTTGAGTTGTCGAGGATGTCGAGGGCTTTGATCCACACTGTGAGGGTACTGCCGCTCGTGACATTGTCTGGAAGACCAAGTTATCACACCTAAGTGTTTCTGGGAGCAATGAACTATGTACATTGGACCAGTCGAAGCTGTGTCTGAAATTACTCATACGAAACAAACAAATATTATGGAAAGAAATTTCATTCTTCAAATGATAAAATATGTATGCAGAGGTCTGCTAGCATTCGTAACACTTCGACGACACACTATGATGTTTGCATTCATATTGGAAATGGGTACCATCAGTTCTCTAAACACAGACTTATACAGAATACTGTTCGAGCTAAAAGAAATCATGGGCGAGCTCAAAGAAATCATGTAATCCCAGATAGAATAACACATGTGACAAGACATTTTCTGCCACCTTCAACAACAAGTCCCAAGACGCTGGGGGGTGGTGGGGTAGCCTAGTGGTTAAAGCATTCGCTCGTCACGCTGAAGACCCGGGTTCGATTCCCCACATGGGTAAAATGCGTGAAGCCCATGCCTGGTGTCCCCTGCCGTGATACTGCTGGAATATTGCTAAAAGCGGCGTAAAACCAAACTCACTCACACTCACTCACCTAGACGCTGGGATTATCCAGTCATTCAAGATTAATTACAGGAGACATCAGCTCAATCACCTTGTTGATTGCACAGGTCCTCTAATTGTCCTACCTGGTTATAATGCCACCCTGGATATAATGCCATATTTTCTCCTGGAAACAGTGGCATTATATCCAGGGTATACTGTACCTTGAATATTGTTAAGTGCGGCGTTAAATAACAAGCAAAACTCCTGTTTGTCACGTTACCTTTAGTTAGGCTCAGATGGAAGGAGGTGTTCAATCCAGCAACATCATTCCAGTTAGGTGGTGCCTCTTTGATTACCCCTCCGGTTTTGTTGATGGCACTAGTCCACAGGAACCGGACAATACCTCTTAGGTTTGGGATTGCAGCAGTCGTCCTTCTTCCTTCGTGGTCATCACTCTTATTGGCCACACTCTTAAATATCGGGGGGTCGTCAACGATCTTGACATTGAAGGGTAGGATTCTGTTGAGAAATTTGCCATGTTCATGGACATAGTTCATGAAATGATTCTTCCAGTCCACAACAACAGGTTTGGAGACATCGGTAATCCACTGAAACCACTTCTCCTGGTGTGCTGAGGATATGTTCAGGGCATGGTTTGGATCCGTGGTGACTTTTGACTCTTTGTCATAAAGTGCAAACCTTCTCATGTATACAGAGTTATTGGCCTTGTCCGCAGCTTCAAGGATGAAGGAATACATGCCTGGTTCATCAGGAGCATACGGAAGAGGATAGGCTATGGGAGTTGTGTGTTTAACTTGTTGATGGATCATGGGTCGCAGTCGATCCACCTCCCTCAAGTCTCCATCCCCATTGGGTTCAAGTTTGAAAGCCTCCCAAGTGTACCTGTACATCCCAGAGTTGGTGTCTGTCCAGCCTTCCCATCGCAACGTAATAGGCGCCTATAAAAGTGTAAAACAGTATGAACCTGTAATACATAGTATCACCTTCGTGTATAACTAAAAGTGGAACGTCAGTGCAAAAGAATACTCAGTCTGGACTATCTTCAGAAACAGATTCCGTTTGATGTATTTTCCATCACAAGGGATAAATATTTCAATGTGAAAACAGTAAAGGATCTTTTTCATAATGTTAACTGTCACTTCATTATTGAATTTTTAAAAGAAATAAAATCATTAGATAAATGTTGATGAATGATTTGTAAATAGATAAATATTTTATTATTGGTAGTTTAATTGAGCAGCTGAAATATTCTGTATCCTCACAGGGGTATTCTCAAAACAGTGTCGGCCCATAAGAAGTATGGTCAAATTATTGTCCTCCTGTGGGGGTACGTAAGTCTCAAAACATTCAAGGTAAATAAAGCTTACGAATATTGTAGAACGTAGCATTTTTGTGATATTAAGTTGAGGCTAAATTTACCAACGGCTGGAAGCGATGGTTTAGGGTGTGTGTGCGAATTATATCCAGCTAGGGTCCATGCAGGAAGCAAAAAATGGATTATCATGGTGATCTACTTCCAGTTAATGGCAATCTCCAGCCTGTTTTGTATATTGTGTTTATCTGTACTATTTGTGTAATTTTTAAAGTTACTGTGTTGTCTGTACTATTTGTGGCTAACTAAATTTTTGTTTTTAATGAAAAGTTACTTGCTAGTTTTAATTCTGTACTAAGTGTGATAATCTAGTTATTTTACTGTCCTTCGTCGGCAATTTTTTGTATATAATTTTATTGCGTTTATTGTTAATTTATAACTTTTTAATTCACTTTATAGCTGAAATATTACTGATGTGACTATAAATATTAATTCACTCACCATTTGGAAAAAATAATTGTGAAATGTTTGAATGGGTCTCTGAAAAATACCCAGTCTTGACTATCTTCATAACAGATTCCGTTTGGTGCAAAGTTAAAAATAGCTGTGAAATTTTAAAACAGTGATGACACCAGTTGTTCATGAAAGGTGAAAGCATGTCCTGCACTACTGTTAGAATCCGCCTTCACAAAATGTGCCTAATAAGGGAGGTAGTTTATGCCTGACACTGCGTGCTACACACTTTCTACAACTAACTGAAAATGTTTTCCTGCCATGCGGAGGCGGTCTGTAAACAAAACGTTTGGGAAATATGTGGTTATAACATATTGGGGTCAGTGTCAATGTTGAATCAACATGAATTGGAGTGGTTTGGGAAATATGTGTTATAACATATTAGGGGTGAGTGAGTGAGTTAAAATTTAACGTAACCTCGGCAATATTTCAGCCATATAGTGACGAGAAATGACATGAACTGGAAGTTATAATAGTGGAATTCCTTGATAGATGTTTGTTATTAAACAGTCCTCTTAATATATCAAACGGAGGGGTTAAATGCAGTTGCAATGACGTATGCAATATGGTTAATCATCAGAATCGGGAACAAATTGAATTTTACCTTAGTGAATTCGGGACTCAAATGGAATGCTTGATCAGGTCTTTGGTATGTTGGCATATCGAAATCAAAGTAGAATGCTACAGATTTCTCCACTTGGTTTCCCTGGAACTTTTCAGTGGCAGTAATCTTATTTGCATCGGTATCGTACAGCTGCCTATATCCCCCACTCGAAACCTTGAACGTGATTGTTAATCTGTGGAGAACAAGGATTTAGGATTCTCATCTTTCTCAATATCCGTACACTGTCTTTCTGCATATCACTTTACCTTTGATTTGCTGAACGGTATTGAGTGAGTGTGTGAGTGAGTACGGTTTTACGCCCCTTTCAGCAATTATCCAGCAATATAGAAAATAGGCCTCGCACATTGCTGGCATGTGGGACTAGAACCCAGGTCTTCGGCTTGATGAGCGAACACCTTATCCACTAGGCTACCCCACCTTCCTGAAACGGTCTGGATAAATAGCGTATCACACATACATACACTTTAAGTAATTGTGATCATGTCATTAATAGTTATCGTCTCTAGATGTGTCTGTCTTTGTGCTAAAACACTTGCGTTGACCTAGTCGACATGTAGACATGTTTTACTCTGTACATGTTCAGGAGATTGACATTTACATGTCAAGACATCAACCAGAATATCATATATATTAGTATTCCGCTTAAGCAAATGAATATGATCACATTCACTGCTATGAACGATTATACTCACACTTGTTTGTTTCTCCGTTTACGTTCGTAAATTGTGTATTTGTTTATGTTGTTCAAAGCTCGGTGTTGAAAAGCATATTTTATAGCTATTCATTTTAATATACCGATATTTAGGCACGAGTGTCGTAAACATAGTATGATGTGGGCACGAATATAAAATTCTGTTTATTACCGTCGACTAATTGAGAAAATAAACCAAAATCTACTTTCAAACACAGGCTGGCTATCCGCCGTCGCCGCATGGAGAACGCAACGTCACTGAAGAAACGTGACGTCATAGCCTTGTTCATGACGTCACGTCACCATGACAAAGTGATATTTTGCCCTAGGGCATCGTATGAAAAATATGAACCCCGATATGTTCGCCCTCGTAGGTAATAATATGCACTCAGCTATATTCCAGCTCCATGACGGCAGCCTGTAAATATTCGAGCCTGACCAGACAATCCAGTGATCAACAGCAGCAGCATCGATCTACGCGTTTGGGACACGACGTCATGTGTGAACCAAACCTGACAAACCGATCCCGTAGGTCGCCTCTTACGACAAGCATGGATTGGTGGTGATCAATTTTTACCCGGATCTGCACCTGTTAACTTGTAGCTTGCACCTATCCTATAAAAGCATGCATGGGTTGTTTTATCCACTAGCATAACTCGTAGAAAGAGATGACATAAAGTAGAATACCTGTCTCCATTTTCTAATGACCGATCAAAGTTTTCCTTGTCAACAAAACACTGCACAAGTGCCTGGGGATGGTTGCTGTCAATCGTTCCATTACAGGGGTAAGATTCTCGGAGGTTTACCACGTCCGCTCCACCTATCAGAAGGAGACGTACGCAGACATATATACACAAATAGCAAAGCAAAACAATAGCAAATCTTGACTCTACTTAGATACCCTGTTTGGTGTAAAGGGATATATTGCTGTAAAAAGTATGTGAATGGATCACTGGAATGTAGTGATTGGTTTGCTGGCTTGCCGTTTAACGCCGCACTCAGCAATATTCCAGTATATGGCAGCAGTCTGTAAATAATGGAGTCTGGACCAGACAATCCAATGAACAGCAGAATGAGCACCAATTTACGCAATTTTGATAAGAGGTATTCGCAATAATGGTAAGCATGTCCCCCTACCAATAACGCCCGCCATTCACAAAATTTGCCTGAAAGTGAAAGCGAGAGATAAAGCCATTCTCACGATCACACGACTTCATCCGTTCATGACACATTCTACATCAGTTGTTCGTCAAAGAGAACGGTCCAAAATCGCCGAAAAGAGTCAGACAACCTATCGGACGTCCGTTGCTATCCGCAAAGCACAATTGAGCACGACTAGATTTTTGTCAAGCTAGATGTCAATGGAATTTGACATCATGGATAAGGAAGGACCCCACTAGTGGATTTATTTGGTTCATGACTAAATGAACGCTTACCTCAACGTCAACTTCAACGTCTAATACAGTCACTGAGGAGGTCAGGGATACCGTTGGAGTTGGCGGAAGTTGGCGAGGGTTACAACAGTAATTGACATTGAGCTTGGTTCAAACATATTATATCCATGCCACACTCTTGAAAGTAACCGCACTTGCCAACGTCATACGACTTTAGTTATCAGCACTACAGAATGAAACAATCTTTTGCCTTAAACTACATTGTTTCGTTCATTTTGCTTTTAGATTTGCCATCTGATTATTCCTCGGTTTTTTGTTTATCCTCAAAGTAAATTAAAATGAGACTATGACGTATGGTAACATATTGATGCTGTAAAAATATTAGGTGTTGCGATACATTTTCCCATGTGTGTATTATTTGCATGATTTCACGTCATAAAATTTGCTGAAACACACAGCTGATAGCTTTATTGACTTCAAAGAACATTCTAGACTGCCATCCATATTTCAATTTGAACATGTTCTCATTTCCTACCATGAACATCCTTCTTCACTTGCACAAGCTGCACCTCTGCGCTCACAATGCCTGTATCTGCAGCTTTAATGAAACTCGGTAGAGGTGGTAGGGATGCACCGTTGAACATGGCAGCAGCCGTGATATTCAACATGTTGAATTTTTCCTGGTTGGTCCAGAGGGTGCTTCCATTGCCACTGCTGGCGTCAACCAACAGACCGTACAATTCGTTCTTGGAGTTGCCTCCCCTTCTCCAAAACGACATTCGAGCCCGCGTGAGAGTAATGTGTGGGGTTTGATCTTGTGTCACTGAAACAGACATATTTAGTGGTTTTAGAATGTAAGTCGTGAAGGGCCGTATTCACAGTATCTTAAAATCACCGGCAAACTGGAGCCCAAATAGCGTCGCGCAACAGTGTGAAAAATGACCATTTTTCCATGCGAGCGAAGCGACCAAAGGTTAGCAACGTACTTCTCTCGCTTCAGTTCGAAAAATATTTTGTCAAAATATAATAACGGCACCACACTTGTTTCCTCGCAGGCTTGTGCTCTCAGATTTCCAACATTATATTTAATAATAATTATATTTCATTCAACATCTTAAGCACCACTCGTGGCATATCAAATCATTCTTGGCCACCATTTCCCCTGCTAGTTTCCGGCTCAAAGGAGTAAAGAAACGTGAGTGAGTGAGTGAGTGAGTGAGTGTGTGTGTGTGTGTGTGTGTGTGTGAGTGTGTGAGTGTGTGTGTGTGAACAACAAAGGAGGTGTATTGTTGTTGTTGAATATGTATATTGAGTATGGAAACACAACATTAAAGTGATTATTCCAGATGTAAACATTGCCATATAATCACATTTCTGGATTGATCAGTAATCTCACGTAAGGCGGTTCGGACTAGTGCGGTTTCATTGTACCCATCTTCCTACATCGGAACATTGAAAAACAGTCAACATCACATTTTCTGTATGTCAATCCATTGCGAGAAAGTTGACTTTTCCCATGGGTAGAAAGGAACATACTTACTCGTTTTACAAAATTGACCTTGGAAACCACTGTCGCAGTTACATTTAACACTACTGCCACTGCTCTGGCAAACCGCAGGGAAACATGGCCGCTCGTGGTTACATGACTCTGCAGACAGAAACGTCATGTTAACATACACAAGGAAATGAGTGAGTTTAGTATTCGACCGCTTTTAGCTTTTCCAGCAACATCACTGCGGGAGGCACGAGATACGGGCTTCACACATTGTACCCATGGGGGGAATTGAACCCGGGTCTTCGGCGTGATGAGAGAACTCTTTAACCATTAGGCTACTCCGGCAACCCCTCACGGAAATGCTTAAATGGATAATACAGTTGGGATTTCGAAACTTGAAACCTTAATATAGGATATTTGTCTGCCCGCTCCTGAACATTCTCGAGTAAAATTCGATTAAGACAGTCGTTCAGACCAATCAATATGCATTCTGTTATATTTTCAACGTAAATATTGTGTAAATGAAGCTGTTAGTATTTACACGTATTGCACAGAAATTTCATATACGATTATAAAATAACAAACCGACCTATCACCTATCCGAATTATGTTAAATGTGAGCATTTACTTGTTCCTTAGTTCGACCTCTCGTACGAAAATGTCGAGATTTTTATTGCAATGGATAGGGCCATATCTAAATTATTGTATCTGAAATATAATTGTGGGCGATAATTTTTATCTATAACACAGATTTTATGTTCTTCAGTGGAATAGAAGTGTTTAGATAATTACAGCTACTAGTACAGGGTTTTACACAATCAGCACCGCATATTTAAATCAGGCACATACTTCGGATCATGACCGACATCATTCCAATTAAATGTACGTCATTTTTTTTCCGGGTGAAAGGGCCATTGAGGGAGCTTCCTTCCAAGTCAAACATGCAAACAGAATGTCACCAAAAGCGCTTTTACACTAACTACTAATCTTCAGGCTGTGAGGCATAGTTTACACGTTGCGTTTACATAATGTGCTCTATATATCCACATATCCTAAATATGGTTCCCCTTATATGTAAAATTAGTTAATAAAAATAGGCCTGCACTGATAATGCTGAGAAATGATGGGAGATTATCCGGTGGAATATCCCTCAACAATCAACGAATCCAAAGTCAGGAGAGGGCGTCTGAGAACCGCGAATTCCAGACTTATGATTATGATTATGATAGGATATTTATATAGCCCACATATCCACGCAACTAGTACATGCTCAAGGGTTTTGGCATTTTTAAGAAATCACTAAAACCTTTAATGATAAAATGGGCCCAGGTTCCTGATACTCACGTCCTCCACAAATCGTTCCATGGTATCCGGCTCTACATGAACATGTGTTCGGAGCGATGCACGTACCGCCATTGGCACACGTCGGATTGCACACGGCTGGAAATGTATAAGGCATGTATTTAATAAAACACAGTATGACATGCGAAGAAATGAAGGGAGAGCGTGTGAGTGAATATAGTTTTACGGCGCGTTTAGCAATATTCTAGCGACATCACGGCGGAGGACATCAGAAATGGGATTCACACAGGGTCTTCGGCGTGACGAGCGAAGCATGAAGCTACCTAAAGAAGGAAAGAATGAGAGAAAATATGTTTGACGCAATAAGGTGCTGATACAGTTATGTAAATCTTTTCCCATGCATTCAGCAGTAATCCAGATACACCACCTCAGCCAACAAGTGATGGACAGCATGAGCCAAATCGCATAGTTTTAGCCAACTGGATAGCTGTATCAGAGTGAGTGGTTGAGTTGGATTTTACACCGGTTTAACATTTCTGCAGGAATATTCACACATCGTCTGATGAGCAAACGCTTTAACCACAGTTAACTCCACTGCCCTTTAGTATTGCAAGTTACCCGTGAAGGTCCGGGTTAGAGTATTGATCTTCAGTAACCCATGTTTATCGTAAGAGGCGACTAACGGGATCGGGTGGTCAGGCTCGCTGAAGTGGTTGACACATGTCATCGGTTCACTACTGCGCAGATCGATGACCATGGTATTGATTACTGGATTGATCATTTACAGACCGGCCGCTGGAATATTGCTGAGTTCGGCGTAGAACTAAACTCACTCACTCACCAGTATTGCAAGTAGTAGTATTCTTGTTAGTATTGTATTCTATTCACATATAGTAGTAGTAGTAGTAGTAGTAGTAGTAGTAGTAGTAGTAGTAGTAGTAGTAGTAGTAATGATAATAATAATTCAGCTCCAGGGCCTGACGGCATTCGAAACCGGTACTGGAAACTATTTCCTGTGTCCAAACACCATTACTTCACTGTTTTAATTCTCTCGTGGTCACAGGTGTGGTCCTCCATGGTTCTGCAAAGGTCGCACAATACTCCTTCCCCAAAAAGGAGACTTGACTGATCCCAAAACGTCCGCCCTATCACATGTTTGAATGCGCAATACAAATTATTCACAGGGTGTTTGACAAACCTCGTGTCATCATACTGCTCTGCTAATGATATAATTTTACAGAGAGCAGAAAGGAGCAATAAAGGGATGTTGGGGTGCAAGGATCAACTTATTGTACAGAAAATGATTTTGGAAGAGGCTAAAACATATCACCGCAACCTCTCCATGTGCTGGATTGACTACAGCATACGACTCTGTCCCTCATGAATGGATTCTGAAGTCTCTTCGTTGTATTGACCTCCCGGAGCGACTACTTACTTGATTTACTCAAGTCTTTAATGAGTTGCTGGTCGACTCAACTTGAGATGTACTCGCAAGGGCAGGTGCAGACTTCGGAATCTATTCCAATCAGAAGTGGAATATTCCATTGGGACTCCTTCAGTCCTTTGCTTTTTGTTTGTCTCTAAATCCTTTGAGCTTTCTGCTCAACAGAGAGGAGGGTTACCATCCCGGACCTCCTCAGCACAGATGCCTAACACCGCTTACTCATCTTCTTTACATGGATGACATCGAGCTCCTTGCTAAAGGAGATACCAATTTGAAAGAACAGGTTCTCCTTGTCGAGTCCCTTCTAATGATATTGGCATGACATTTGGACTCGTCAAATGTAATACTCTTCATTTAAAACGTGGCAAGGTAGTTAAAGGGGAGGGGGAGTTATTGAGCATCTTGTGGAAGATCAGGCCTACACCTATCTTGGAATGCAAGTTCGAGACAAGCTCCAGAATGCCTAAATTCAAGACAAACTTCGGGCCGAGTACAAATCTCGTTTAAAGAAAATCTAGAGCTCAGAGCTAAATGCTCGAAACATGGTCAAGGCCACCAATACCTTTGCTGTGCCAGTCTTCTACTATTCCTTTGGAGTAGTTGATTGACAAAACAAGACATTCAGAGTCTTGACCTCCTGAACAGAAGGATCATGTCTGATAACAGAGCCCACCACCTTCGATTCTCTCTCAACCGTTTATATATGCCAATCAATTCTGGAGGTCGGGTTTGATTAATGTGGAGGCTCTTCATGATAGAATTTTATTGTGTACTTTTGCACATAATCTATTTATCGGATGATCCTCTGGTGATACACGTGAAGACTCATGATGAAAGCAAGGAATTCCACAGCTATCTTAAACGTGCCAAGGTTGTTGGACAGAATCTGAAATTTGAGGTTGATTTTACTGATGTACTGCTGACGTAAACCGATGGGGAGTAAACACAGGGTGAGTTCTTCACCAAGTCTGCCCAGAGTCGGTCTTTTGGTGGGGGAGGCTTTCTGAGAAGCCATTGCATCGTGTGTACATGCAGTGTGTGGAACAGAATAGCAATCCCACAGACTCCTTCGCCTGGATGAAGTCGGCTGGTCTTAAATGTGAAACTGAGGGCTTCCTTTTGCTGCTCAGGACCAGTCACTTTCCACTCGTACTAGCCAAAATGTGATTCTTAAAGAAAATATAAATATGAAATGCCGACTGTGTAATGAATTCTCAGAGACTGTCCAACACCTTGTCAGTGGATGCCCTTACTTGGCACAAACATCATATCTGAAACGACATGATGGCATGGCTCGTTGCTTTTACTACCGTCTTTGCCATGCCTGTGGCTTTAACTCCGAGGTCCATCCATGGTACAAACCTGAACATGTCCAGGGCGTCATGAAAATGATGCTTTCAAACTTCTGTGGAATAAGCCCATATACTGCCTCAGAAGAATTCCTGCCAACAAACCTGATCTTGTCCTTTTGATAAAGCCATGTGATTTATTTATATCATTGAATTTTCTGTCCCTTTGACAGCAATGTGATTAAGAAGACTCAGGAAAAGCATGATAAATATGCGGACCTCGCCTTTGAAATGTCTCGCTTGCATCCGAAGAACACTGTGGTCAGGCTCCCCATTGTTCTCGGTGCCCTTGGTTTGGTACCTCCTGATCTCTTGGCGCAGATCAGGAGAGTGCCCGGTTCTCCACCGGGAGCTCAGCCCTTCTGACGCTCTGGGTAATGCAGAAGGCTGCACTGTTGGGGAGCCTTCATATTCTCCGGAAAATTCTTGGTGGGTTCGACTAGGCAGCGTTTCCTGGGAGAAGTCCCATTCGCTGTCTGGGCTGCGTGTAGAGCGGGCAAGGGCCCTGAGCTGATGATGAGCCTTACCAGCCTGACTGTGCCAGGATCACCCGAACCCTCTCTGCTGCATTTTCATCTTTAATCTGTAAAATAATAATAATAATAACTAGGAGGTCTTCAGACTTCCCCATATAGCCCCTGTGGCTACCTTCACTTGTACCGTTTCTTTCTGGACGCCAGCTGGAGCGTCCATTTTAACTCTCGGAGTTACGGGTGTTTGAAGTGTATTTAAGGGCTAGAAAGCGTCAAAAAGCGCAGCAGAACACGTTTTTGACACGAGAGCGGATCGGTGAAATGCAGCCGGGGTCGCGGGGGTGATGTACCTTTGAAATAGTTCCCACAGAAGGTATAGTTCTTTCTTTAACTGGCCGTAGCTCCGCCGTCCTTGGGGTCTACGGTCCAAATGATTAATGTTCTGGAATTGCCACAATCCTAGCTATATCTGACGCATAGACGTATGTGCATACAGTGCATTTGTTAAACACCCATTCAAAAAAATATTGAAATAAAACTCATATCTGACTCTGCACTTACAATGTTTATTAATGCAAACTTGTTCTCGACGCTGTATGGCTAGGATAATGCCGATGTAACGTAAAGGCCAATTCATGGGAAACTATGTCTTTGGGCATTGGATGACGTTCCAACTCAGATTTGACAGCTCCTTTCATTGTCAATTACACCTGTCGGTGAAATTCACATCGCCACCCATATCTGCACGTGGACAACGCTTTGCAGTGGTAGTCTCTTTAATAGGACGCATATACTGTAAGAGAGATTACTGGTAAATGTTGAAGACTTTGTTGTGGTCAAAAAGTCAAGTGTATTCTTCTCACAGTGAGGCTGGAGAGATCACATCCTGGCAATTCCAGAACACTAATTCTTTTTGAATGTAGACCTAAGAACAACGGGGTGACGGCCTGTTAAAGAGGGAACTATTTCTGTGGGCACTAGAAAACCAGGACGTGGGTAGTGTTGCTAGATTTTACGACACTTCTTCCAGCTATCTCACAACTGTCACAACTGACAACATGCGAAATCCTAATGTCCCACCCTGTTTGTGGCATAATTGTGGCGTAATTATCGACTTTACATAATAATAATGTGAAGCAAGGATGTTCCACAATTCATTATCTACAGTTTGGTACCTTCAAAAATGAAATCCATTCTGTTTTCGCAGAGCTGTGAGCCCTATAAAAATGCGTTTTGCCAAAAATGACAAACTTCCAAGGGCAATAACTCCGACACTGTTCAAGATATCGACATACGTCGAACAAACTAAGTAGTCCGGAGTCCGATATATAGAACACTATTGTACTAGTTGCCGTTCAGGAGCAGAAGATTGTTAAACACAAGCACCGTCAAAATGTGCGGAAATGTGGAAAATCAGGAAGGTTGTGTTTGTGTCGTAATGGTGACGTAATTATTGATTTTTTACATAAACATGATGTGAAACAAAATGTTTCCCATTCAATTACCTACAGGTTGGTACTTAGGAAAATGGAATCCATTGATTTTCTGCACAATTGTGACCTTTTTCTAACCCTATGAAAATGCGTCTTAGAAAAATTCACCGACTTCCATTGGCGATAACTCCAAAACAGTTCAAGATATCGACATGCCTTGAACAAATTAAGGTGTCCAGGTATAGACTTTCCACGGTGTATCGAACGCGATTGTACTATATGCCATTCTGGAGAAAGAAGATTTTTAGACAGGCACCGTCAAAACCCTGAAATCGGCAAAAATTTCAGTTTTTCCAAAATTGCGGCCAACTTCCGCTATGCGTTGAATCGCTGGGGAATGATGTTGTCTACATTGAGTGAAAATTTTGTCCATTTAACTCTTATTAACGATTATTTATCAATTTCAGCACACAGGCTATCATCCCTGAAAGTTTCACGAAAATCGACTCAGCGGTTAGGTCAGGAGAGCTGTCACAAAATTTGTACAAATAATAAAGAAGAGGAACTAGGATTGCCTCCTGGGCAATACTGGCGGTCTTAAGACTTCCCCATACACTCCCCGTGGCTACCTTTACTTACCCTGTTTCTTTGGACACGAACTGGATCGCCCATTACAGTGTTTCTGAGATAGAATTACCAAGAAGTAAATGTTAGTTAATGTGAAATGTTGACGCCCTAATTTGGCGCTGATTCAATGCAGCTGACACAAACTGCCGAAAAACAAACAGGAAGACACAATCAAACAAAGCAAAATAATACTGCAATATCTACAGACATATACTAAAAAGTTACTGGTAAATATTGTAGATTTTGTTGTGGTCAAAAGTCAAGCGGATTTCTGTATTTGTTGTTATGAAATATGTCAAGTATGATCCTGTCACAGTAACTCAACTCAACTCAGGCTGGCATACAAAATGCTGGAGAGATTAGTTCCTGCCAATTTCAGAACACTTACTCTTTTGACTGTCGACCCAAGAAGAAGGGAGCTACGGCCTGTTAAAGAGGGAACTATTTCTCTGGGCATTACAAAGCCAGGAAGCGGTGCATGTTGCTATATTTTACTTGCGCCTTCTTCACCTATCTCACCAGCTATCTCACCACTAACCAAATGCAACCAATCCGAATGCTCGTGTTTGTGTCGTAATTGTGACGTAATTATTGACTTTTACATGACAATAATTCGAAGCAAAACTGTTCCCTATTCAATTATCTATAGTTTGGTACCTTGAAAAACGAAATCCATAGTGTTTTCGCAGAGCTGTGACATTTTATGAACCCTATGAAAATGTGTCTTGGAGAAATTGACCAACAAGGGCGACAACTGCACAACTATTCAGGATATCGACATGCCTTGAGCAAGCTCAGTAGTCCGGAGTGTGGGCTTTAAAACGATATATAGACCACTATTGTACTATATGCCGTTAAGGGGAAGAGATTTTTAAACACAGGCAACATTAAAACGGAAAAATCGACAGAAAAGTCAGTTTTTCCAAAATTGCGGAAAATGCTTTCTGCTGCCCGACTTGTTTTATGCGTTGAACCGATGGAAAAGGATGTTGTCTAGATTGAGTGAAAACTTGGTCAATGTATCTCTTAAAGTTTTGGAGATATTGAGGTTGAAAGATTTGAAATATTTTGACATTTTGGGTTATCTGCCCTTACCGGAAGCCGGAAGACGGGATTTGTTCAACATTGTATCACATTCAGCATACAGGCTATCATCCCTGAAAGTTTCATAAAATCGTCACAGAGGTTAGGTCAGAGCTGTGACATTTTTTAACACTATAAAATGACCAACTTCCAAAGGGTAATAACTTCGACACTATTCAAGATATCGACATGCCTTGAACATATTAAGGTGTCCATAGTATAGGCTTTCCAGCGGTGTATCGAACGCGATTGTATTATTTGCCGTTCAGGAGAAGAAGATTGTTAAACACAGGCACCGTCAAAACGTGCGGAAATGTGCAAACTCGCCATGTTTGTGCTTGTGTCGTAATGGTGACGTAAGTATTTTTTTTTATAACCCATAATGTGAAGCAAAATGTTTCCCCTTTAATTACCTACAGGTTGGTACTTAGGAAAATGGAATCCATTGGTTTTCGCAGAGTTGTGACCTTTCTTTAAACTCTATGAAAATGCGGAGTAGTAGTAGGAGGAGGAGCGATGTTTGTTTAGAGTTAACGCCAACCTGTGTTACAGTTGACTCCAGTCCAACCCGAGCAGCACTGTTGTCTGTAGGCAGTCCTGATGTGGGCGTCGTGCACTGTAGCGTGACTACAGCAACTGAAACAGAGCTCTTGTGACGTCAGGTGCACAGGAGTTGTGGAGATAACGATAGTTAAAGCATCTCTCAGGTCGTCACTTTTCAGACCATTAACCCACACGAAACACGTTACAAACTGAAATATTGTTATCGCGAACCACGTGGTTTGCTGTTTTGTCATATACGAATTCTTCATGTTCTCCATTGTTATAAACAACCTTCATAAAATGTGCTCACGTGAACAAATTTTGATTCTTATACACATAAACACACCTGTTTACGTTCATGGAGCAAGTTAAATATGTGGTTTGTTTCAATGCATTATGGTTGTTCTATGCGACAAAATGGGCAAACACAATTCAGCGTACATAATACCTTATACAATATCGATTTCACTTACTGCCACCAAAAGTGTCTGGTGCATATCGTTCTGTGCGTGTAGTATGTTGTTCTATATGCGACCGTGCAGTGCGTGCTGAAACATCAAAGTAGGTATCATAATAATAAAAATCGTTAATATATGCCAATCGACTCGTTCGGATCCGGGCTAGAATTGATCATCGACCCATGCTTGTCGTAAGAGGTTACTAACGGGATCGGTGGTCAGGCCGGATGACTTTTTTGACATGTCATCGTATCCCAACTGCGTAGATTGATGCTCATGCTGTTGCTCACTGGATTGTCTGGTCCATACTCGATTATTTACAGACTGCCGCCATATAGCTGGAATATTGCTGTCTTGCTGAGTGCGGCGTTAAACAACATACGATAACTTTAGGCTGAACATTAAGCTGATAACCCTTGACATAGACGAAACACTTCATCCCAACGTACTCATTTACTCCTTATCTTCACATCACATCAAGACAAAGTTATCTTGTTAACTCAAAGATAGCATAAACGATGTGTCTATATTTATCGACAATCGTGCGCCTTTCGTAGATAAGTGTGTAAGATAAAGTGTGTATGCTCAATGGGTGCCACCATACGTCTGTCAGCTATAGCGGGAACTTAGGCATTCAGCATGTGGCGGGCCATCCTCGATAATCTCCAGGGTATATGTTACGATCACTCTCCACTATACCCTGGATGCATCCACGGCTGGGGGCGATGATTTTATTACCTCCCTTGGCTGGTTCCGCATTCTCACAGTAGCCAATCAGCTAAGCCGCCGTTACAACCGAGCTTGCCAGTGTCAACAAAGATTGTGGTTTCGCAGTTGCAAAGGTTTGTTTGCAGTGCCACTCAGATTTTGGGGAAATAATAAAGACAAATTCACAGATCTGAAACTTTAAAAAGAATATATGAAAGAGCTCCTTCTACTTCTTTCAGAGTACCTCTGCATCAATTGTGTTGCCAACTTTAAACGGTTAGATAATTTAAGACGCAAAAGTGAGTAGTGATTGGTACGCTCAACTTCCCAGCGTAGGCACCTGACTGGATAAAAAGCCAGCCAAGGGAGGTAATAAAATCATCGCCCCAAGCCGTGGATGCATCCAGGGTATAGTGGAGAGTGATCGTAACGTATACCCTGGATATTATCGAGGATGGTGGCAGGCTTGAATTCTCTTACTTTCTCCAGTTATCTGATATATTTTTATCGTACACGCTCGGAAGAATTAAGCTTGTTACTCAATAAGGCGTAATACCCCAGCTATTGGGTCGGTGAGCTGTAAGATTTCACTCACAAGTTCCTATGAGGCGTTAGCATTGGACGGCGATCACATTACCATCACATCCTACTGGGTACCCCTTTGCTGATAGGTAAACATTTGCACGGGAGGAAAGTGCACATGTCCTTGACCAACGTAGTTTAATATTTGCTAGATTCTCACCCGTGCTCTTCTACACAGTACCATTATCAATAAATCATTCAATAGTGTGTCAAATTTGTATTGTTCTCGGACAACTTACGCTGTTTTAAAGTTTGATTTTGGGTTGTTGTTTTACGCCACACACAGCAATATTCCAGCTATATGGCGGCGGTATGTAACAATTCGAGTCCCGATAAGTCAATCCAGTGATCAACAACCTGAGTATCGATCTAGGCAAATGTGACACGATGCCATGTCAACCAAGTCAGCGAGACTGACCACCCGATCCCGTAAGTCGCATCCAACGAAAAGCATGGGTGACTAAAGACCAATTCTAACCCGGATCTTCACGGGTCTATTTTAAAGTATATATTGAAGTCAAGTGCATACAATGCTCATTATGAATCCAAAACCCAATTTCACCTCATCCATTGAAAGTATCTGCTAAAATAGGATTCGATTGCACAATTCTAACATTTTCAGGAGCACATGTTTATAAATAACCATCAATATAGTGATGATATCAGCGGTTCGCGAAAGGATCAGCGTATCCTGCCCCTGAGATGGCTTCCATTTCAAACATGTGCAGAGGCAAGTCACCTAAACAAAAAACGGGAACGTAAGATACAAGTCAAAATAGAAATTGCGTTGGACATCAGTTTTGTTTGATTTTGAAATTTCCCCACGTCTTCCATAAAACGCCTTGAAGGTTATCTGAGGCATAAATGTGCTCGGATCAAAACTTCTGAGCTGGAGTCGCATGTCGCTCTTTGTGAAATCGTGGTACGTCAAAAGTTGTGAAATGTAAACACCAATTGCAATGGCTTGAGCGGATGGCATATTGCCCGACATGAATGGAAATCATCCCATTTTTCATAGACACTTTATGCATAGATCAAAATGTGAAACACATGGGGTCGTTTCACTTATCTCCTTTAATTTCAGATGGGCAAATCAGTGGATGGGAATTGGCTCTTTGATGGTTCTGAGATCATCGATATACCTGAACCTAAATTGAAGTTACGTTGTACATGCTTTGTTAAAATTCTGATCTGTATGGTAATTTGCAAATGAGCAATTACCAAGGCAAAAATTAACATTAGAAAATGCATAGGTATAATATCAAGCGATGGTAGGTGGTGTTATCATATTTCACCTGATTCATTGTCATGTGAGCTTATGTCATGACCTAATGAAACTGACATGAAACGTTACATGTGGGTTCCCAGCAATAAAGCTTAACTCTTGACAAGTGAAGACTTTCCAACAGCTTCGAGAGGCGTGGGGGTAGCGAGTGGTTAAAGCGTTTGCTCATTACGCAGAAGACCCGGTTTCGATTCCCCACACGGGTACTATGTGTGAGCCCCGTTTCTGGTGTCACTCGCCATGATATTACTGGAATATGCTAAAATTGGCGTAAAACTAAACTTCAAATCCAAGAGATTGACCATATCGGTAGTCACCTATGGTCTTTTCTTCGTCATATATGTTTGCAATGAAATACCGTTTGTTAATTTTTTGTTTGTTTTGTTTTTGTTGCTGTTTGTTTTTTTGTTTTTATTAGGACTGCAAACGTCCCATCTGAATGAGTATGGTTTTACGCCGCTTTTAGCAATATTCCTGCAATATCACGGCAGGGGACACCAGAAATGGGCTTCATACATTGTACCCATGTGGGTCTCCTCTGAAATAGGCTTAAGATATAATTTTGGTATTTACATGTCCATGTGGGAGAAAGTTCCATGGTAATATGTTTCACGGTTGCCAATGTTACAATCTGATGAACGTTTCCCCTTTCCCAACCATCAATGAAGGATAATATAAGAAATATATGTTCGTAATGAAATTAAGTATACATTACCCGCTTGATCCCTTGACCACCAGAACCAGGAGAAGGGTCAGACACAATTGCAGATGGACTCCCATTGTTGGCCGACTGAAAGCCACTATTGGCTCACTGAACAATGGGACAGAACACCACACAAGGAAGTAATGATGTTATCTGCAAGCCATCATCACACTGTCTCGTGATAACGTATCTCATAATATGCTTAAAGGTATGTTATGGTTGTAGATTGCATATAAACATGTAATCATTTGGCTACTAGGTCACCAAAGTATTGTTATATTATAATGTAAAATATTGTAATTCTTTTTGTAACTTTATAACATTTTTATGTATTATTCAATACAACTTCAAAACATTGTGTTGTAACCGTAACTAGTTGTCAGGAACGTATTACTATGTAATGTAAGCAGTGGTAGGGAAGTTACTATGGTTAGATGCGTTTGAATCAGGTTTAATATTGAATCCTATGGAACAGTTATAAATGTATTCAGGATAGCACAGAAGGCGTTGTGACTATAATAGGGAGCAAGTGCATGTACATGCATCCATCATGTCACATTAAATCAAAACTAGCGGTTGTGTGTAGTGCTTACTCCTTCATCAGAACATAACTCAGATTCAAAGACAGGTGAACAGTTAGTATTTTGTCAAGTCACCATGGGCAGCAACGCAGGCTTCAATGCGGCGGGGCATACTACTGATCAAAGAAGTTAGAAAGGCGTGGTCCATGCTGCCCCAATATCGGACCACCTCTTCTTTCATTTCAGCAATATTTGTCAGATTTTTCTTATAGACACCTTCCTTCATAAGTCCCCAAACATTTTCTTTTGGGTTTAGGTCAGGGCTATAGCTTGGCCAATCTAATAATGTCATATTTTCGGTCCGAAACCAGGCCTGTGAATGCTTTGAACGACGTTTTGGGTCGTTGTCCTGCCGGAAAATCCAGAACTTTCCATAGGACACGTGAGCAGATGGAAGTAAATGTCCCTCGAGAATATCTGTGTACCGCTCACTGTTCATATTCCCTTCACATACACGGAGGGGTGTTGCCCCTAACACAGATATGCTACCCAACACGTTAAATTTCGGACTGTAGTTTGGGCGTTGATACAAAGGTTTTTCAGTTTGTTTGGTCCAGAATTTCAGTGTATTAGGAAACAGCCGCTTGTGATTCAACTATGTTGTTATTGGCGCTGAACACAATTAGTTTTATACAAATGAATTGATAATTCGGAGTGTGTGTGTGTGTGTTATATTGTGTCTTTTTTACTTTTTGTTGTGTTTTGGGTTGTTATTTTATACTTTTGGGGGAGTGGGTGGGGGTTGGGGTGGGGTTGGGGTATAAAACGTAACAGTAAACACAAGATGTGTGTAACTAAGATGTCTTGGATAGTTGCAATGTACATAAAACCTATATGATTATAATTTTCAGTGCAACAGATTTTGAACTTTAAACTTATGATATTGCTTTCAATATTTAAGAGTAAGAGTCAAGGATGGCGGAAGATATGATATCAGGCTCATGAACGTCATCGTGAACACCGTCCCCATCACCATCAATCCCAGTTTGGTTAGCAGAGATATCATTGACAAAACAAAGTTTGAAAGGGCTCGGACCAGGATGTCAATGATAATAGCTGATTAAGGCTGACTGATATAGGTGAGGTGAAATTGGGTTTTACGTCGTGCTTGAGAATATTTCGTTCATATGACGACGTGCATGCGTGTGTATGTGTATGTGCGGCTGCTTGTACTAGCCCAGACTTAAGCTGGTTTTATAGTGCTAGCCCAATGAGATACCATGGCGCAGTGAAGCATGAATACCCCACTCAGACACTTTATACTGACTCCGAGCCGACCAGTCCTTGTTGTACCCATTAATGCCGAGCGCCAGGCAGGGACCAACAAGTACCATATTTTAACGTCTTTTGGTATGACGCGGTCGGGGATCGAACCCGCGACCTTCCGCTCTCCGGGCGGACGCTCTAACCACTACACCACGGAGGCGGTTTGACTGATATAGTGTTTCAGTGTCCTCCACAAGGATTTGACATCACTGACATTTGTTCATTTCTAAATAGAAGAGCTATTTTCTTTCTAATTACTCTAATATACTCATGCTGTCTGCAAAAACATTTTTGTAGATCAATATCTTGCTTAAAATGCCTAAATGTCTCCAACCTGTAAATCACACATTCTTTATCATACTATGGATGGGTTATTGTTTTATGTACATATTCTGTTTTATACTGTGAGAAGAAGAAAAGGTTACACAAATTGGTATTTGTTTAATTACAGGTACCGTCATTGCACGTGATGCTCGCGTTTGCTCGTGGCACGTGCATATCTAAAACCAATGCACGGTGCGATCAAAGGGTCAAAATAGTCATACAAACAAGCATAAGTATGATTCGAATATAAATGAGTGAGTGAGTTTAATTTTACCCCGCTTCTTGCAATATTCCAGCCTTATCACGTCGGGGGACACCAGAAATGGGTTACACACTTTGAACCCATATGGGAATCGAACTAGGGGTCTTCAGCGTGACGAGCGAACGCCCTATTAGGGGGGTTAGAAGCCCATAAGAAGGTGTTGGGGTACTCTTTCCATCATCTGGAACAATCTGCACGTGTCTCTCAAAGAATCCCCCTCAATAGCCAGCTTCCAGTCTAACTTAAAAACTTTCCTGTTCAAGAAGCACTATGACATCTAAATGAACTCCTATTGTAAATATGTATATTGTTAGCGCCATGAGCAACCACTTGGTGATTGGATATAGGGCGCTATACAAATGGACTTATTATTATTATTATATGTGTACTGATGGCGAGTAGTACTATACGAAAGATGCACCATGACGTGGAACAAGGCAAACAACAAAGCTTGTTATCAGGTTTACCTGATAAATACAAACCGCCTTCATTTTGACAGGTCATCATAGCCACCGCGATTTGTCACTGCAATGAGACCCACAGAATGAAAGGCCTGTGGACTTTTAAACCTCATACCACAAAATGATCATTTTGTCCAGAAATCTGTTGGGAATGTCTGGATCAGAATATCCGTAACCTGAGAAAACATAAATTTTACTGTTTCAACACATTGCGATGTGAGCTGGATATTGTTGACGGAGATTATTCCATTTGCCTTCATAGCAATTGGAGCAAATTCAACTGCCACAAACACCTGTTGCCGGAAGCATACATCCCGGCCGAGAGGGCCACCTTCAACGATCCTTCGAGGAGTGAATGGGTGATCAGTTTTGTTTTACGTCGCACTCAGCAATATTCCAGCTATATGGCGGCGATCTGTAAATAATCGTGTCTGGACCAGACATTCCAGTGATCAACGACATGAGCATAGATTTGCGCTATTGGGATACGATGACATCTATCAACCAAGTCAGCGAGTCTGACCACCCGATCCAGAGAGTCGCCTCTTACGACAAGCCCGGAATACTGAAGATCAATTCTAACCCGGATCTTCACGCCTGTTGAGAACGAATATTGTACGGTTTTCTTTGGATGGCAAGACAAACTTTTCAGGAAGTTTTGTGACTGAAAAGAAGTATACTGTTCAACTCCTAATTGTGATGGTGCAGTGTCCATCGATACAGATTAACATACATAACAAGTGAATCACATTTAACTGTTTGTAAACACAACGTTTGCAAAATTTTAGTGTCGCAACACCTTCATTTTTACCCAAATAATGCCTTTTGCAATCATATCATAATTATTTGTGTTTGTATGAGTATTTGAGCCTTTTGAGCCTCAACGCACATGTTAACGTTAAACGATCATATTTATCCGTACTACAAATTGTTTGCCAAGTTTGCTTCCATGAATAAACAAACTGCTTTTCATTCTTTTTGCGTTTGAAATGTTCCATTTAATTATTCCATGAGGGTCAATATATCCAGATCGTGAGGTTTGGACGAGTTCGTTTGCTATGAGTGAGTGAGTTTAGTTTCACGCCGCGTTTAATAATATTCTAGTAATATCACGATGGGGACACCAGAAAAGGGCTTCATACATTGTACTCATGTGGGGAATCGAACCCGGGTCTTCGGCGTGACGAGCGAACGCTTTAACAACTAGGCCACATTATCGCCCCTCCAAGTCAAAACATTGAGTACATAACAGTCTCGTTTACTGTTGACTGTGTCCCGTCCTATAGCGCAATTTTGTACTGTAACCAGTCCAGAATTTGGAGACCAATTCATTTAACTGGATACATAATTATTAATCAGTATTATGTGATACATTTAAGCACTTGTATATTGCAACACTGCGCTCCTTCTTATCCTTGCAAACACGTCGTGCAGCGTGCTCTGTCGTACAGCGAGCTCTGACAAACGGAAACCTGGAAATCGTGGAAATCTCAAAACGAGGTTCTCCCGCTAGAAAAGTTTAGCGGTCTGGTACGGACTTGATATTATATCAATCAAATTGTGCGTTACAGAACTACACTAAATAAGCGCACAAAAACACCAACATAACAGGTGTAACCAGTGAGCCAGATGCATTGTGAATCATCTTACGACCTCATCAAACAGGGGCAATCTGTGACGTCTTAGTTTAGATCATGCTGCCTACACCTCGACATAAAATGTAGAAATACGAGGTTATTCAGGTATAACATTAAATTTCATTTGTAAATACCATTTTCGTGTGAAACAAGGAATTGGAATTAAGTGTAACCATAGTTGTTTGTGATGTCTATTTTCACTTTCACACGAGAAAATTCGGATCGGCTGAAAAGTAGGTCATTGTCTGAATAGGTTAATGAGACTCATGTTTCGGTTTGTTTGCTATGGTTAATGGTAGTAAACTCTAGGGCGAAAGGAACGTTACCAAAATTATTTTTTATCTTTTATCGTACACTAAGTAATTTTCCATATCCATAGTTCACACTTTCACCATTCAGAATGTTGTAAATCCACTTAATTTTCCAAATATGATTGTTAAATTCCCAAAATTTGAGTTTGTTGTTTTGTGACTTGTGAAAAAGCGAGGTGACGTTTCTTTCGCCCGTGAGTTTATATTAATACTGTGAAGGGGTGTGTGGATCCATGTGTATATTTCAACGGTAGCAAAGGTTGTCATAACTTTATGTATCTCCAAAGAATGGGACGTGTAACGTACTCTTTTGATACATACTGGAAAGTGCTGAATGCAAAACTGTTCACAATGCCAACAATACTGAAAAATGTCATATGTTGTTTAAGTTGAATTATATTTAATTATTTCCTCTTTGTCATGAGTTCCGTGGGGCGGTGGGGTAGCCTAGTGGTTAAAGCGTTGGCTCGTCACGCCATAGACCCGGGTTCGAATCCCCACATGGGTACAATGTGTGAAGCCCATTTCTGGTGTCCCCCGCCTTGATGTTGCTGGAATATTGCTAAAAGCGGCGTAAAAACAAACTAAGTCAGTCAGTCATGAGTTGGGCTGCAATCGTTGTCGACATACCGATGAAATCTTTGGACAAAGTCAGACCACTGCTTTCTGAGTTACAGTTAGTTTTAAAAAAGTGTATGTATATTTAGACCTAATATCGATGCCTCACATTCAATATATCGTAGAATCACACATATGTGTTTTAAACAAGCATACATCAGTGTAACACAACTGAGAGTTCATAGGTCTATGCAATGCCGGCGAATGGCGGAGTGGTCGGTAATGGTATATATATATAGGGTGCTTCCATCAGTTTGTGTTCACTGTTTGCACAATATTAGTTCAATATCGTAGTCTTAAGTTCTCGATCTCGCTCGGGAAATACCAACACTTAGGCAGTCGTGTCGTAAACATAGTATGACATGGGCACTAATATAGTATTCTCTATATAAGATGTGTTTCTGTTTTGTCCTGAATCTTCCTTTTGAAACATAACCTTTTCTCATGTCAGATCTAATTCATTTTTGCTGCAAAGGACCTAGCATCATAGTCTTGCTCGCTCACATGTACCACTTTCCCGACTGTTTCTGAAAAACTCATCACTGGATGTAGGATGACGGGAACATTGAAGAAAGTATTGACATTCTGGCATTCAGTTTCAAGGACAGGCAATTGTAACAGACCAGCCTGTTCAATAATGACAAAAGAAGCGATGGTACTGATAGGATAATGGATAATGTCTGAATACGCTTTCAAAAAGAAGAGAGCCACTCGCAAGTGCAAGCTAAGAACAGTTTCACTGCGAAGAACATTCCACAAAAGGGATGATTACAAGCGTTAAATATATAATTGCTCTTCGGCTCTGAAAAGGCAACATCATTGGAGATGCATTCGTACTACAAATAAACAATCTGAAGGCAAGGTGTCTTTGACTTTTGTCTAATACTGAGTAGGTTGTCATCGTATTCCAACTAGTAGATCGATGCTCATGAAGTCCATCACTGGATTGTCTGTTCCAGAATCGACTATTTACAACCCTCCGTCATATAGCTGGAACTTTGCTGGGTGCAGCGTTTAACATCAAACAAACCAGCTTAAATCGGGATTGTTGGCTACGATGAAAAGGGAACATTTCACAATCAATTGTCTTGACTCTCTCTGACTTCAATGCGTTAAATAAAGTTTTGTCAGTATTGATACTGTACCCCTTTCATGATGATATAGGTTTGCTGAGATCATGAAGGTACATTGAATCGAGGTTCCATGTCGTTCAAAGAAGAAATTAAAGTCCAAATGAAATGTTTCCGTTTCCAAAGTGCTGATAGAAAAGACTAAATTGTATCTGTGGTTTATTAGCATGCATGTTTAATACTGTGTATTTGAAATAAAAAAGGTGTGACGCTTTTCATGTACAATCTGTATATGACGTAGAACAAGCACTTAGTTTAAGACAATCTGTATATGACCTAGAACAAACACTTAGTTTCAGACAATCTGTATATGACGTAGAACAAGCACTTAGTTTCAGACAATCTGTATATGACGTACACTTAGTTTACAAGCAGTACAAGCGCTTTTTCAACAATCTGTATATGACGTAGAACAAACACTTAGTTTCAGACAATCTGTATATGACGTAGAACAAGCACTTAGTTTAAGACAATCTGTATATGACGTGGAGCAAGCACTTTCAGTAGCAAATTTTCTACTGACCACTTTAGCTTAATTATTACAGCACACGGGCGGCGGGCTATTGTAAGTGATCTGGAAGCCCGGAAAAGATTTAACTGTCAAAGGAATTTGGCTTATGTCTCAAACAGAGATGTGTCAATCAATGAAACAAAATCGATGATAGGTTATGCTTTTCACACATGTACAGACAGTGCACAGGAACCCGTTATCGCTATGTAGGTTAAACATAGATCATAGACACATGTCATATATATAAATAGAACATATATATAACGTGTGTGTAGATCTATGGTCTTTGTTTAACCTACATAGCGATAACGGGTTCCTGTGAACCCAAACTTCATTATCGGAAAAAATATTTAATAGCTAATATTAAAAATTAATAGCTGATGTCTAGACATTCGAATCATCACCCGACGGGGAACACTGTATGCATTATTATATTGAAATGATAATAATGTTACTTTAATTATTGAATATGTGCTCCAACAGTCAAAGAAGCACAAGCGGATTCATAGGGCTTAAACGCTACACACACCATTATCATAAGATGATAATGCTAACTCACTTATAGGATTGGATTGCCTCTACTAATATTTATGGTCCGCATCGCATTAACCCAATATTCTGAACACAATAAAACTGTTAAAACGATATCGAAGCGTATGACACATTTCAAACATATCGTTATTGACATATTTAAACGAGATTCCGTGAATAATGTTCATCTCGGACACTCAAGTCGACTTATTACATATAATCTACAATATGCCTGGTAAATGGTAAATTTGCAATACCCATACTTGTATATGTTCAGCTTTTTCTGAAGGTATAAAACATAATTATGGTAAGATAGGGGCCTTGCTGATCTGTTTCTTTATCAATTACAATAATTTTTTAAGCAGGGACAAACAGTACAATTTAATTTGTTGAATTTGACTTTTTCTCCAAGACATCAAGCATATCAAGCAAGCTGAAAATCTTGGGGTACCAGGTCTGTAGGTTTGCAACTTAAGTTTTCCAGTTTCTTCGGGGACAGAAGATGCTTTTCATAATACCATCAAGTATGAAGAAAAAAATGCTATGAAATTGCTATTATTCTCTTAGAAAAGAAATAAAAGGTTTAACAGGTTAACAACAGCGACATCATATTTTTCAAAACGATTGTATATAATGTACCAACTAATCGAGTCATACATAAAAGACACACTTGTGTTACACTCAATGCTCGATTGTTGTCAAATCAATGCTTCATTTGCTGAGTGGTTTGGGTGCGAATTGTTAACAGTACAACATAAAATATGATATCATTACATAAGTTTTAGGGCTCAAATGCTGTAAAATGTAAATCAAAGAATTACATCAACACAGAGAACACATAACGAGGGGCGGACCTCGAGACGGATAACTGATGAGACAAAACGACTTTCTCGCTCGCAAAACAGCGAGATTTGTTGAGGAATGAGAAGAATACATGGACGAGAACGACGTTTCGGTGTAGGTTCTGTTACCCTTATCAAGCAAGTGATGAGTGAGTGAGTGAGTTCATTTTTTAGCAATATTCCAGCAATATCACGGCGGTGGACACTAGAAATGGGTTCACACAATGTGCCCACGTCTTCTGCGTGAAGAGCGATCGCTTTAACCACTGGGCTACCCCATCGCCCCAGCAAGTGATGAACAGAATATGGATTGAAAGGCATATATACAAGGAGTGATTGCACAGTATAATGGGAATTAGGACTGAAACAGCATGGGGGAGCCAGGTAAATAGACATGGCTTAAGACAGAAACGTTACAGTTGATTCCAGTTACAGTTGATTACAATTGACAGAAACGTTACAGTATGAATGCAATAGACTTGGTTGATGGTTAGAGTGGGAGTGAGACTGATCGTTACTGAAAATACGCTGCGGAAGTCTGTCCCTGGGTATATGGTCTCTGCATCAAAACATTAAAACGTTACAACCTTAAGGCACCAAAGCTTAGTAACAAATGGTGAAGCAATCAAAAGGAACACTCGTCACCACTCGCCCCTGTCGTAACCTCCAGGAAGCTATTCCGCTTGTCCCGGAATAACACGAGTTGGTCACGAATGTCAAAGGGAGGTAAATCTGTGTCTTCGCATCAATCGGTTACTGGGAGTAGTAATACACTTCCTGGGAAGTGGGTCTGAGACCGAACGACGCCTCGAGCTTTCCCAGAACCTCCGAAAACGTAGGTCTTTTGTCGGGACTCTGCTGCCAACAAGGTTTCATCAGGTCGTAATGGCTGTAACATAAAATACATTGTACCAGCATATGTAGGTTGCAGGTCTATTTAACCAACAATGCATTTCATTTTAAGAAATGGTCTTATGTTTCATGAATGATGGACATGGACGAATACCAGAAAAGTGCTACTCACATATCCTCAGCGTATTCTGGTCTGGGAAGTCTGAAACCATTCCTGATTTTGACAGCTAGATCTCTGCTGCGGATGTCTGAATAGGGCGTCATTCCTGTTCAGGTATATATGAGTGTGTCAGGCAATTAAGAACCATTGGTCCGTAGAGACTAGAGAGGTGGAGATATAATGCTCAATCTTTGCCACTGTAAGTGAGTTTATATGCCTGACACAGCACGAGGACCCGGTGAGCTACTTTATTATTAGTGTCGAAAAATTAGTATCGAAGGACTATCTATTAGTGATTATCAAACACACGACATATCTGAAAGTTTAAGTAAAACTTCCTTGCCATTAGCCTTGTTTTGAGTTTGCCTATGAGAGCGGAAATTCTGATTCATGCATAAAGAAACAAATCAGCAAGAAAGTTACCTTCCAGAAAAAACTCAGTAATTAATGCTCTTGGTGAGTGGCGACACATTGAACTGTAATTATTGCTCATAATATCAGTCACTGGCTTATTTTCCTGCCGCCCTTATACACTGAACTGTTGCAGCGTCAAGCAGTACACCATGAAGAGAAATTAAACTTATCAAGAATCCAGATGGACAATTTTCATATTTTGAGACCTACCCATGCTGAAGATCTCCCACATAGTGATTCCAAAGGACCAGATGTCACTCTTCTCATTGGCTCCTTTCAGAGATTGAAGACACTCTGGCGCCGTCCACTTCACGGGAATTCGATCCTAAAATAAGTGTTCATTCATAAGCTACAGTGTCGTTATTGAGGCATATGTCACCCATATTTCGCATTCCTATTGATGCGTACACGATTATGACACAGCCAAATGAAATGTTTAAGTCCACCAATGTCCCCCACGCCACAATACTTGTCATACAGGAATACAAATTTGAGGATTTGATTGGCAAGCTCTGTGACGTGACTGGTCGTCCCATTCTGTGTAAGATGATAATTTTCCTTTTAAGAAATTCCTTTTTGTGTGTGTTTTTGCAGTGTAAACCAAACCAAACCGAAAAAATAAATAGAAATAAATATTCTTAAACGTTTACCCCTTTGGAGTTATCATCTTCAGTGGCATCATCCAAGCGAGATGGTCCGAAGCCAGCGACCTTCACCTCATTTGTGAAGGTCAAGAGGCAATTTCGAGCAGCCAGCTTCCTGTGGGTAATCTAAAATACATCGATGTTGAACTTATTATGCACATAGTAATCAAATACACCTCTTCAGAACGCTATGCACCATCATTCCTGATCACCAAGGCATTACTAATGGCGAATCTAGACCCACTCTTCGTCAAGTCTGTCCATTTGAGCTCATCTCTCAGAGTGGAAGTGAACCTGCTGCACCACACGTCATTTTTAAAACGTAACATATGCACGGGTTATACAATATCTTGAAACAATTATGATGATTTGATCAAAACATTTTGCTCAGGTTGGCTGAATGACACAAAAGACTGATTGGTGAGGGAGAATCACCACGGGTAAGGTTTGGTTGTTGCTTAACACAGCACTCATCAGTATATGGGGGGCAACATTCGTCAGATAATCCACTAATCAATAGCAATTGGGATACGACATACGTTAGCCAAGTCAGCGGGAATTATCACCTGTTCACGTTGGACGCTTCTTACGAACCAATTCTGCCTCATATCTTCCCGGATGTGGAAGGTTAAAGACAACTTCGGTGTTGGGTTGTCAAACAATTGTACTTACCTGCCCCTGATTTAAGAATTGAAACACACAACAGATTACACTGTTCAAAAATGCTCGGTTGTGGAAGCAACTCCCCATGAGGGGTTTAACATGGAACCGGAAACAGCACATTTACACATATACGAATTCGAGAACCAGTGGTTTATTAGATTAATTTTAACAGGTATACATATGACATACCCCTTTACTGGCAAGGTATTCCATTCCTCTTGCAACACCCAATCCGAATTTCTGAATCGTCTCTAAGATGTCCACGTTGACGCCATTTCTCTGGTTTTTCAACCATTTGTCCATTTGTCCGTTCTCACAGTACTCTATCACCATTACGGGGCCCACTGGATGAGAAATCATCGGTTACTTTCAAACATTATACTTAGCAAGTATGTTTGAGTCAGGCGAACGTTCTATTTGTCAATCCGTGTCGACAGTTCTGAATTCTCTATACAAATGCGTTCAGACCATCATGTCCAGAAAACGAATTCATCAGCCCGTCACGTAAATCATAAAGGTCGTACTAATTTATGTTATGACATTCTGAAATATTTTCAGCTATATCCGTTTAGTGAAAAAGGTTTTAGCCGCTTTTGGTCACCAGGAATGAGCTTCTGCATGCGGAACCCTTTCTCTCACAAATCAGCTCCCCCTCACTCACTCGTTCACTCAAACTTAAAATATAATTACCCTATAGCAGATGGAAGTATGTTGTATGGACCCGAGGCTGGTTTACCGATATATATTGTTACGAAGGATTCTTTATTGAGACTTACAGATGTAGTTAGCCTTTACCTACGAGCAGGCGCGATGGGGTAGCCTAGTGGTTAAAGCGTTTGCTCATCACGCCGAAGACCCGGGTTCGATTCCCCACATGGGTACAATGTGTGAAGCTCATTTCGGCGTTTCCCGCCGTTGCATTGCTTGAACATTGCTAAAAGCGGCCTAAAACCATACTCGCTCTCGCTCACTCACTCACTCACTACTTACGAGCATCGTTGTTGACAACAGCACCGATAAACTTCAGCACATTGCGGTGTTCCCCAACCTGCGTTGCAGCGAAGTTGATCTTGGCCATCATCAGTAAGCTGTTGTCTTCATCTGGAGTGTCTGTAATCAAAATGGTTGTTTAATGATTCATCGCTCAGTGCGTGACATACTAAGTGTTAAGTTTCAAGTATCTATTTTGAGTTTCATCTGGTTGTTATGTCGTAGTTCGGATTGTAGGGCTATGGAGACCGTGACCTTCAAGATTGGTACTTCCGTGAAAGTCGGAAATACTCTCTGGAATTACGAACACACGATGTCAGCACTGTAGCTCAACAATACAACATGGGTATATGTGAGAATATGATCATGTTTGGTCACTGTCGAATATCGCATATATATATATATATATATCGTGATGCAACTAAAGACTTTAATGTGCATGTCATGGACATTATATTACCATGACAATGGCACCATTGATACGTCATAAGTGACGTCATTTATCTGTTACGGTTGTGGGACATTTCCGCTTCGAATCCTGCCGGAAATGGAATGGAAATGGAATAAACATTTTCTATATATATATATATAAGTGATGAGAATACCGAGCGTACAGTAGTACGTATATAAGAAGTTTATGAAATAATCACACGACACGGATCTTCTCCAACATGTTTCACTATTATCTTCAGGGAGAAGACTTCTCCCTGAAGATAATAGTGGAACATGTTGGAGAAGATCCGTGTCGTGTGATTATTTCATAACTAACTTTATATATATATATATATATATATATATATATATATATATAAATAAGTATATATAATAAGAATATATATATATATAAGAAGAAGTTTATGAAATAATCCGTGTCGTGTGTTTATTTCACCAAACTTCTTATATATGTTTATTTCATAAACTTCTTATATATGTACTACTGTACGCTCGGTATTCTCATCACTTATATATATATATAGAAAATGTTTATTCCAATTCCATTCCATTTCCGGCAGGATTCGAAGCGGAAATGTCCCACAACCGTAACAGATAAATGACGTCACTTATGACGTATCAATGGTGCCATTGTCATGGTCATATAATGTCCATGACATGCACATTAAAGTCTTTAGTTGCATCACGATATATATATATATATATATATAACATTTTGTCTTATGATATGAAAAGTTCAGGATTAGCAGGGTTGTGCGTTGAAACATAGGCCAGATTGACAGTGTTATTTTTTGTTTTATATATATATATATATATATATATATATATATATTTGTGACGATATTCAGTGATATATATATATATATATATATATATATATATATATATATATATATATATATATATCATGATTTTTTTAGGTAATAAAAGGTTTAAGCATATTTAATGATTTTTTTCATATCGGAATATGTTCACTTTGTCAACGGTGTAGGAGAAGTAACTCTCGGACAGCCACATTGATAGAAATTCACTAGTCCATGGTCTAGGGGAAGTAACTGCATGGATGGAAATCCAGGCCGCTGACTGGCTGAAGAATGTCCCTGTCATGTTCGCTTTTTGAAGAATAAAACAGTGATAAATTTTCTTGACATTTACTCCTATATTCCAGGTAATTATGACTTTATTGCATCCACATTAATATATCTTTTCACGCCACATGTTGATCAACACAAATGTATATAAGTTATGAAGCCTGAAACTGTGTTTACTGTAACTTTAGCGATTTGGTTATAACGCTGTCTTGCTGTGTTTTTTCCCGCCAGTGGCAAAAGGGGCTATTGTGTGTTAGAGTGTGTATATCACCAGTACGTCACTGTAAATGTATTTTAAGGGTGTATTATTACTTTTCCTCAATGTCTAAATCGTTTGGTAATGATATGGACATGATTTTGACAATTTAGCGTAACCGGAATAAGCCAGGCAATGAAGCATACGTAAAACTTCTTCACTATACATATTTATGCATCAAAGTCAGATAACCGGTGTATGGATGAATATGGTTACGGTGTTGATTACAAGGCTCAAAACTCGTTCCTGAAAGTAGAATAACAATTGTTTTGAGTACTTATGAAAACATTCTACCATTCAGTAAGGAATTTAGGGTTCATTATTATACTTTGATTGTCTTTTGTACAAATCAACACATATGGCAAATCATTGATAAACTGAATGTAAAACTGAATTTCTCTTGTAGAAATATTTATGTTGTAAATATTTCCCTCATTAAACTACAAGTAGAAATTTATTTAAATGGTGTTTGGATTATTAATGTCATGTTCCTAGAACAAGGCCACGTTGTCACTGCTAAGTAGTTCCAAGCCCTGAACCAGGTTTAAATCTGTGTGAACTTTATTAATATGTAATCCGTTGCGCACGTGTCCAAGGACATATACATGTATGTACTCTATGAGGTTGGGGGAGTGTTCGCTTTTGAAAGAATATAACAGTGATCACTTGTCTTGACATGTTCCTCCTGTATTCCAGGGTGGGTCACATATGCAGTTTAAATGTCTGTTTTGGGTATTTCTGACTTCTGTTTTATTAAAACAAAATATAAAACTCTTAAAGGTCACATGCAACCAAAAAATCAAACATAATTAAAACACAATTATCACTTATCCATGACATATAATATACATTGCTGATTATGAAAAACATAAACAAAATTATAAGCGTACAATCGCAAATCAAAAGTGCAATATTTTGAACTTGGGTTTACTTCCCTCGAAACGAAGCACCGGGGATACCGAACCCAGTCAGAGCGGGTGGGTGTGCACTCAAGTGTAACGGAGCCTTTCATTGGCTGGTTCATTTGCCGATGTCCTCACGGCACATTGTGGTGTGTATACAGAGATGTTGGGTTTTGTAAATACATGCTCGTTTTTTGTGTATAACTTTTTGCAATCAACAGACATCATAACATGTCATGTGTACAAGTATCACACCTGTCTCTCTTTGTAATTACATAATGTGACAGAGGCCGAACTCGGGTGCTCAAGCCATAAATCAATGCTTTTTGTTTAAGGTGTATAGCCTGATAGGTGTTAAGTTCAAATTGCATGTGGTCAGTGATCGAAGTTGTGTATTGTATATTGTCATTAGCAGACAGGCAGGCAGACAGATAGGTGTCAATAAAACAGACATTGAGTTTGGTCTGTGACAAAGACATATCTATATCACAGGTAGACATTCTGTCAACGCTAAGTAATGACATTGCTTTTAAGTATCGAACTTAGAAAGTGACTCGGTAAGAAGAACGTGTGGTGAAATAGACAAATGAAATTATATAAACAGTTACATTGGTAATCTACTGTCATAAGATATAAAAAGCTCGCGCCTGTGAAATATCAACAAAACATTAGAAAAAAAGCTCACATCAAAGCCTTCACCGAGTACTCACCGCCAGCGAAGGTTTTCCGTCTTGAAAAGTCGAACGCCTCACTGGTTGACACATAGCTGAGTAGATCTAGATCCTAACAAAGTTCGTTTATGAAACGAGTAGATTATTTACTATTTGTTTTGATTAGACTACCCCTGCTCACGACCTTATAATCCGGACATCCCGCTTCCAAGCTGCGCGAACCTATTCACTGCGCATGCGCTATGAGCGCAGCCCAGCGCAGCACAGCACAGCTGTTGAAACCAGTTTTCACCCCAAGCTGGGGTGAATTGAGTGAATCGTTTGATCTCCGATTTCGCGGAGTTTTTTTCATCGCCTTATGTTTCAACTTTATAAGTTGAATTTGCATTTTGGAGATTTGTATCTGTAAGTCCATATTGAAAGGTATCAGAATCTGCAAAGTTGTGTTTTACGTTGCAAGTGACCTTTAATATAAATATCCCATTCACGTTTGCGCATTGATGGTGCCCAAAATGGCTTGATTTTGCTTTGGTTGGAAATATTTGGAAAAACATCATTATGAAGTTGAAGAACTAAGAATTAGATTTAGGAACAGTCTAGGGAAATCGTCACTGTATACTGGCACTCCAAAAGGGACGGAACTTGAAGAACGATCAATTAGGGAGCGTCTTAGGGAGTGTTTATGCAAATGGTCACTGTATCCTGCAAAGCCAAGGGACGGAACCCGTTGATACTAACACAGAGTGTGCGATTAAACGCCCAGTTTCTAATTGTTATCGACCCCCAACACAGCGAAAAATCCCGAACCTCAACAGCAACACAAAAAGGGAAATAGAAACACCCATACCTTACTACCACCCAAATCTGTTGTTTGTACAGGAACGCAGACACTGACTGTCCATTTGCATATCTCACCTTTCAACACTTTGGCTACCATGTCGCTCGATGTTCTTCCAGTCTTTTGAGAAGCCTTGTAGATCCGCGCAAACCGGCCAGTTTGAATCTCCTCCATCAACGTCATGTCCTCTTTGCGGATGTACCAAGGCTGCTCCGTCGTGAACGACATGCTGCCGTACACATAGATGTCGTCGTTGATATCGTATGTTTTGTTCTGAAGTGAAAATGCATAGTATAAATCACAAACTGAGTGAAAAAGAAACTTTGCTTGCCAACGTTGAGTGTTAGTAAACGTAAAGGGTGTCTTGTGTAAGTTTCATTTTTCATGTCATTTTGTGTGTTTTTTAACACCCAACTCAGCAATATTCCAGCTATATGGCAGCGGTCTGTAAATAATCGAATCTGGACCAGACAATACAGTGATCAACAGCATGCGCATCTTACGCAAATGGGATACAATGGAACGTGTCAACCAGTTCAGCGAGCCTGACCACCCTGTCCCGTTAGTCACCTCTTACGACATGCATGGGCTGCTGAAGACCAATTCTAGGCCGTGGGTTTATTTAATTAATATAACTGATACGCCTGTCGTTTGTGCACGCATCTAGTCAACTGTCAATCTGAAAATTATCTGTTGCTTTCCATTTTTCAAGACTAAGCCTTTGTTTTTACTAAGCAACATTAGCCATTGTTCGCGTCTGGACGAGACAAACAGGTGATTAATACGACGAGCAACGTCATATAATAACATCCGATGAGAACTCACATGTATGACTATAACTGCTAGACAATTCACCTCGTTTTAGTTCTTTCAGTCTGATGGTTTATATACTTGTAAATTGTTAAATCAGCTTTCCCTGTTTACTGTAAAATTGTTGTATAGAGTTGCAACGCTTATTCATGTCATGATCCGTTTATCATGGGTTCAAATCCCATATTCGTTTTCATGTTTATCAAAAATGTAGGTAAACGTCCTCGATCTACGTCTCGTGTTCCTTGATTAAGCGATAGTTTGAAATATAGGACCTCGGTAAATATCCAAGACGTCGATACACATAAATCTCACTCTCCCTCTCTGAAAAGGTTGCCTTAACATTCCGATGACAGATGAAACCTACATGATAGCACACTGTGCCTTTCCTAGGCCGGTGCAGGTCATTGTTGATTCTCCCAGTAACCGGTTTCTGACGTTCCCTGTATACGCTCTGACGTCGATTTATCAACGCCGCCATCTTGCCCGTTCTCCACATGAACAATCCCACGACAACGACTGCTAGGATTAGTATCATCACTGGTAACAAAACACAATCAATACAGGATGTACGTTTGAAATGTTTTTTATAAATTTCATTTAACGTCAATGCCACCCCTATCCCAGTATTCACGGTGTATGCCCCGATAGATTGTACTGTGAGGTATCATCCGCATGTCTACTACAATAAAAATTAAAAGCTTTGGGTTTGAATGTTGTAATTATGATAACAAAATATGTTTCTGCTTGCTAGAGTCGAATGAGGGCTAGGAGGAAGGAGACTTCAGTAGTATTTGCGGAGATGTATGTATTTGCCTGGGCCTCCTTTCACAAAGCACTTAGCTGATCGTAAGTTAATAAGATAACCTGCAGTGTTAAACAATGGGAGTTAAGTTTAACCTTACTAAAGGCTGCTTCGTGAAAAGACCCCCTGTTTAGCTATCATAGGCTGGGCACTTATTCCAACTCGAATTCCCACATACCCGCGAAACTTCCATTTTATGTTTTATACATATTTCTTTTTGGCACATTAATATTATCGACACGATGGATGGATGGATATTCCCAGTCTTTATACTCACCAACAACGATACCCGCTATAGCCCCAGCACCTAAACCTGTATCCTCTGAAACGGTTAGGGATAAGGTCAGTCAAATAGAAAAAGAGGACTTTTCAAATGAATCGATATTTTGCCATTGAATATATGCTCTATGTAAAACGATATCATAGTTTATAAACTATTGCTGAAACATATTACATTAGACTTACCCACAGTAAAGAAAGCAGATTTGGGTGGACTCTTGATGTCCCCGTAGTCTGCTGTGACCTTGACCGTGTAGGTTTCGCCAGGTTCGAGACCCTTCAAGAGTTGGTATGTTGCATCTTTGAAGAGTCGAAGTCAAGTTTATTTGAATGATGAAGAATATATACTCTGTTTATAACAAACTTTCATTTACTGCACGCGTACGTTATAGCCATAATACAAGAACATTGATGGATCTTTGCTCAAATTGCGAGGTAGCTTTTATGACTTTAGTTAAGTGTGTGCATGGTGACATAAGTTATCCTGTCATGAATAATCATCAACGGAACGAATAAAGGAAAAGAAAGTGAAACAAAGAGGTAGGAAGAGGGCCTGGGATACGTAGATATGATGTGAAATTTCACGTTCAAATGACAGGCAGCAAGCTTTTACTCTTACGCTCACAGGTTTGGGTATTAACAGAGTCAACCATATAAACAATCTCCATATTGGCTGTGTCACATCGACATGTAATAAATCCAGTCTAGAACTGGTGACTGAAAGAACGCAACCATCCAGGTCATCAATGTCATGCATTCTCACAGACCAAGAGCTGTAGATCTTTACAATACATCAGGGTATGAAATATCCACAAAATATTTTCATATACATGTCTAAATTTTAATCCGACCGTCGGGCAGGTGAATTTGACAATCTGGCAGTCCGTGTTGAAAATAACCCATCCCAGGCGGTCGGACAGGCAGTTATTTCAAACGCTGATTCATTACACATAAGGCTTTTGGGCTCAGATTCTGAACCGGGACGCTTACCTTTGTACAGTTGAACTGTCGCTGGTGCCACCGACTCGGATTCATATGTAACTGTTACAAATGTGCGCTCATGGCAGCTGGGGGCGTGTGTCCACGACACATTGGCCGTTGTGTCAGTCACCCTCTCAACTTTCACGTTCATGGGCCCAAAATCTGATGAACAATGAATACATCTGATGTTCGCAAAAGCGCAGTCATTCGAGTGTCTCTACTTGGTCACGTCGCGTGGTCTTCTATTAGTACAAACCAATGGATCAAAACGTCACCTCGACTGGTCAGAATAATATGACGTTAACATAAAATGTTGTTTTCTTTACAAAAATGAGGAATGTCTGGGCTCTTGAGCCAATACGATGTCTGCTTTTCTGAAACTGTTCGTTTTCGAATTTACTCCCTTTACCTTTATTAATCGACTTTTCGAGTTAGCAAAAGAAACGCACCGAACCAAATAGTCCATTGGGTGTAAAAGCAGTTGTGCCCAGAAACGAAAGTGTCATAACAAATCTGTATTTACATGAAACGTCCCGTCCTCAACTATTTAAAATGTCCCGTCCTTAACGATTAGACCAGCAAACAATTCAGTTTGATAACATTGTGGGGCAGAATACCCTTGTCAGTTCTAAATACATTTTTTTTTAAAATAAGCATTCTTCAAATTAACTGTGCTTCGATTAACAGTTTTTTTACGTTCTAATTTTATTGATTTTAATATTGATATAAATTAAAGTGTTCTCGTCACGATATGATTGAACTATTGTCGATGTGACGCTTTAAAAATCTAGTTTGTGCGGGAAATAACATGTCCTTGTTCGGGCCACCAGGATTACTTCAATCGGGGATACCACACAACGGTTTGTGGGCATCAGTTGCTTCAATGGTAAGTGGATATTAAGTTAAGTTGCCTGTCACGTTAAATCGATGTTGCTAATTAATTGTTAACATGTTAAGCCAATCAACACTGAATCACTTACATGCTGATGTCCCATTAATTTCCATGAGGTTCCTCACCTATGAACAGAAACATGTCACTAAAGACCTACGTCGCCAAGTTTCTGGAATCTCCCAGGGAAGTCGAGAATGCAACTGAATCCGCTATGAAGTTGCGTTATATATCGTTATATGACATAAATGGAAATGTGGTTGCATATTAAAGCGAAACTAGAGCCTGCGACCTTTTCCGAAATACCCTAAAAAAACCCATCTCCCACCAGTAACAACGTATCATGACGTATCTGCCTTCATCAAACCAGGTGATAGCTGACATCAATACTGCCTACCACTGATATATTTAACCCTATGTTGTCTTATGCAGAAGGGCCCGACCCAATGCCTCTTCATAAAATACTCTTAAAAATAGGAATAATGAAACATAAAAGTTAATACCAAGTATTTGGACAAGTAAGCATAAGAACGGGGATTCTTCAAAATCCCCACACTCAAATGTATCCTATAGTTTGCACATGCAGAACTATGCATGATGTAGAGTGTGTGGTATGTCACAAACTGATGTGTGTGATTTACTTGAATGCGTATATTGCCTATGGGTTTAACAAACTGTGAATAGTAGCTTACTGAATAGTAGAGGTGACTATTGAGGGAGAAACAGCTATTGCAACATACCATTGCGATAGCGATAGTTTATTGCGACCAACTATTGCGGAACTATTGCAATAGTTTTTTCTCTCCTTGAATTGTCTCATTTGAAGTGGTTTCCCAAATGAATGTATAGTTTGAATGAAATAAAAACAAGTCTCTTGTAATAACTGACAAGAAACTTGAAGCCCAGATCAAGTAAACAGTTAAAACATAAACCCAATGATAAACTCACATTCTATCGATGCATCGATAGTTGTTCGTTTCTACCATCGATTAATTGCTATCGGAGACTCAACAATTGCAATCCATCGATAGTTCTATGCATCGTTACAGCCCTACTGAATGATCATCAGGCTACTGTTGCACGAGTTGATAGTTGAATGTTTTGAAATCGTATACATGCGGGTCATCTCAAGGCCCGTTGTTAACGTTTGGTGCCTCCTCTTACAAATTGTCTTATTGCCGAAAGGCTTCAATAGTTAACATGGGATGACCGTCGCTGGTTTTGATATGAGTCTTGACACGTTTTGATCCAGGATCACTTTCCAATGCCTTGATAGTTAGTTATTACCGTTTCTGGCGACCTCATGGCAACATTGGCAGTGGATCCGTTATGGCCACTAAGCGATAAGGGAACGTTCATAAATTATGGGGGCGGTGGGGTAGCCTAGTGGTTAAAGCGTTGGCTCGTCACGCCGAAGACCCGGGGCTCGAATCCCCACAAGGGTACAATGTGTGAAGCCCATTTCTGGTGTTCCCCGCCGTGATGTTGCTGGAATATTGCTAAAAGCGGCGTAAAACCAAACTCAGTCAGTCAGTCATAAATTATGGCTTGGGGTGGAGTGGGGGGTGGGATGATAATGAATATTAAGGAGAATCATGTACAATTTCCCCCCACCCAAAAAGTTTATGTACAAAGTAAGTGACCCCCTCATGTACAATATCAATGACCACCCCCTCCCATTTTTAAACATAAATTATTATTATTATTATTGCTGATCCATCCCCACCCCCGTACATGTGTACAAAATTGATGACCCCCCTACCTCTCCGGAACAAAATGGGTGACTCCCTACCACTTAAATTCATCACCACCACCTCACACCCAGCCCCGCCCCTTAATTATGAACGGTCCCTAATTTGTAACCGTAACGTCTCTGATACAACACGATTATCACCACTTGCCATTACACATTCAAACAATACAATTAGTACATGCATAAAAAACCTATTCGCACTCAGGGTAAATAAACCCTTGTACCCTAACATGTACGGTCTCTTGTTTAATGAAGCTAATCACAATACAAAATCTCTGAGATGTCAAAGTACCTCGTGGTCTGAAACTTAACGACGGCGGTGGCAGTATAACGGGGACAAAACCTTGAAATCCTCCTCTAACATGGCGCTAAATTCATTTTGCCTGTGTAGAGACTAAATTCAACATATGTTGTATTTTTCAATAAATTACTCACCGTGTGTGCTCTGGGGATAGGCGTCCTCAGTCCCGCTCTGTTGACCACGTCCACCTCCAGCTTAATGTTAGCTGATTCGAGATCCTCCTTGGCCACCATCAGCCAGCAGTTGCTGATGTAAATTTTGTAGACTCGTCTATAACACGTGTTCAGGGCTTTTGGACAATAACAACTGTTTGGCTTACTTAAGCATGCAAGAATCTGGAAGAACAAATATGATCAATGATATCGCAGAATCTCATGGAGACAAAGGAATCAATCCACAGTGAAGGATACTGTAGCATGGACTAAGGCTTAGTTAATTTTGTTTAAATATACCTATAGATGATGTTTTGCGTGTTACTGTTTAGGAGTAAAATGCGAATAATATTTTAAAAAGTCACAGAAATATTACAAGTAGGTTGAAATATTCTCAGGTTTATGGATTACCTGTTGTAATCTTTTTTGGTAATTGGTTATATTTGCCTCTTATTACAAGTTGGATTAATGATCCTCAGGTTTGTGGTTTCCTATAGGTAAGTTGTGTTGGCAATTGGTTTATTTGCCTCGTAGTGAAAGTTGGTTAAAGTAGCCTCGGGTTTTGGGGTTACCTGTAGGTGAGTTATATCAGCAATTGCCAATCTGGCCCGGATTTCATATAAATTTCATTCATCTGAAAGATAACCTAGTTATAGCTGTGGTTCAGTATATTACTTGATTGAGATTGTTTCGTTCTGGAACAGGGTTGAATTTGTATATCACCAGACCCGAATTCTTAGCTTTTCATTGACTAACCTTTAGTCTATGTTACGGTACACCAATCTCACAACCTCAGTCACTGTGCAGTCACACTACAACACGTTAGGGATCAATATTAAGCACGTCAGTTAAATACTTAAACATTCTCAAGTGTTTTAGTTCTGTCATGTGCTCATAAAATCTGCTGTATATTTAGGGGATAACTGTACTGTGTTTGACGAATTGGGGACGTATACCGGTGGTTATATAGCCGCAAATTTAGTTATATCGGCGACGCGTAAGCGGAGCCGATATAACGTTAAATTTGCGGCTATATAACCACCGGTATACGTCCCCAATTCGTCAAACACAGTACAGTTATCCCCATTCTAATTCAACTCGTTTTACGCTGTTTTTTCGTGAAAGAAATTCATTATTTAAACCAGGTCAAAGTTCCTCTAGGTCAAAGGTTAATCATATCACTCCTTCAACTTACACCATCGCCAGAGAAAGTAGTTCCCTGTTCAAACTACACACGTTTATTATGTGCACACAGACTAAATTTGACAATGATGAATAGATCATAGTATTATAGATAAAATGGACTGTATTATGATGAAACCGCCCTCTAGTTACAGAAATGAGCGGCCCGCTGATTCCTCAACTACGGGCCATTATCAGTTCTGTTGTCAAATGACGTCATAGCAGGTGACGTCACGCTCCATAATGACGTCATAAACTTTGTTTCATGATCTAACAGTGTTGGGTCAACAGCCCGTTGCGAGTAAGTTGTTTGAACTTAAAATTAAATTTATGATACTGTTTTGTCTTTTTTAACACAAATTCCACCCATTTTAGCTGGATAGGGAAGTTAATTGACCAATGGCTTCTGCAAATGACAATGTCCTGCGAAACAGCGTTACCCCCAATAGTGTAGGGATACATTCAAAGGTTTCGGTGAATCGGTTTTCAAATTGCGACCGTATATGCTGATTATACGGTCGGAAATTTATGGCATTGACCAATCAGAACTCGTGTTACATACTAAGTTGAATTAGAATTCAACTTATACCATTATAAAAAAAGTAGGGGATATTGGATTTACAAGATTGATAAAATGCAAATGATGAAGCCAAGGAGAAAACAGACGATGAAGAAAACGTAAGGAAAATGTGACAATCTATACCATTCCTTTGGAAATATTTCATCTGTATTCGTATATATTACTTTTTCTCATATGCATTGGCATTGGCATAGGCTAGTGGTATCCTCGCAAAATGGAAAATCCCTACTTTTTATATGGTATATATTATTTAGTCACCTGTTAAAGTCACAATGTCCCGTAGGGAATCAATGTTGGTCAATTAACTAAAGGCTAAACGTGATTTGGTGAATTGAAATACATTTTGTAATTCTATGATGGGGCTGCAGGATTTTAGTGACGTTGACGCGATGACAGCCACGCGTTCTTGCAACGTTGGTGTGGTAGACTCCCATTTCGATCATTCCGATCGCCCATTCTTGTTGTCGCAAAGTTAATCGAGCCATTCTTTTTGTGTTTTTGTAATAGCATGAACACTTTAGCATTGGTTTTATACCCGTTTGGTATTTGGTTCGCTCTGCGCGAAAAACATGCAAACTATATCAGGACAAAAGCATGCATTGCATGCCTTAGTTCTAAGTGGAAAACCCATTGTTGCGTTGCGGCGATGTGTTTTCATGTGATATTGATTGCAGGTGAATTGTTTTGGTTTTTTGTAGTTTCAATTTTAAAGTGATTACATTTCTTTAGGCCGGGGGTTTATTTTGCACTGTTTTGGTACAATCAACGAAACACCATTGTAAGCAATTCAAACTTCTTTCTTTCTTCTTTCATTTTAAAAAGCTAGTGAGGTACTGGTATTAAACGTCAATTAAATCTAGCTCCTAAGAGAATGAGTATCAATTTTCCCCAACTTCAGCAGTTTGATGTTTAGCAATACCATGTCCCTATTTCTTAACTGGAATGACTGGAAATTACGTGGAAACTTGCGGCTGTGATTAAAAAAAACCTTACAGAAACGGCTTCTACAGTCAAATTCCTCTTCGTCAGTACGTTGCCGCCAACCTGCGTGACTTTGACCTCCACGTGATGAATACCACTCTCGGGGTCCTGCACCATCAACTCTAATCTGAAAACACATGATACACAACATACACAAACCTATCATGAAAACGTTTGTTATATGGCAGTGAACGCTATTGTTAAACACTGGAATTGTATAACACGGATTCTGTAAAAAAATCAGTAAAAGTACTTAACACTGTGTTTTATTGGTCAGTTGTCAGTAATATTTAATGAAGGAAACAGTGGGTGGACGTAGCTATATTTAGATGTTTTGGAGACAACTGTGCTCTCAAATCTTTCATGTTCAAATCTTTCTTTTTAAAGAAGACTATATAAAGTTTTATAATAGTATATAGTGCAGACGTTTTAAAGACTTTATAAGGCTATGTAAGGGAGACGTTTTAAAGAAGGAAAGGCTATATAAAGGGAGACGTTTTCATAGACTTTATAGTATATAGGGCAGACGTTTTTATAGACTTTATAGTATATAGGGCAGACGTTTTTATAGACTTTATAGTATATAGGGCAGACGTTTTTATAGACTTTATAGTATATAGGGCAGACATCTTGAAGACTATACACGGGGAGGCGCTTTTAAAGGCTATGTAAGGGAGACGTTTTAAAGACTTTATAGGGGAACAGATGTTAAAGACTACATAGGGGAGACGTTTTAAAGACTATATATAGGGGAGACGATTGCGAGGGCTATTTAGGGGAGGCGGATGTCGTTTTCTAGTGGTAGTGTGACTATCAGATTTTTATCATCGATATTCACCTAGGCGTAACTTGAAGCTTTTCCACTGTTACTGACAGGTGAATATTCACACTCTTTATAGCTATATATTTTACACCACCTTTGTAATCGTACTAACATTTTGGTACCTCCATTCTATTGGGTATTGTCACTACTTAACAGTAACTTGTTATGATTTTGTAAACATAGATATTTATGATACAATTGTTTATTAAACAGTTCTTTGTTTAATAGTTTCACACCAAATTATCTCTCTTGTGTACAGATTTATTGTTTCAACCTGAAAATTGACACGTCACACTTACCGAAGGAGGCATTACGTTAATTGTGCAAAAGCTCAAACAGTAGTAAGGGTTTATATATATTTATATATGTAGGTAGTCATATAACAACAAGCATAAACACATACTGTAAATATTGAGATAACAGACAATGTCTAGTTAATATGACCTGGTTGACAGTTTTACTGGAATAATTAAACAATGTGTGGGAACGTTGTTCCATTATAATGCTTACCCTGAACTGAAGGGATGTCTGATATCTCGTTTTGAAGGAATGTCATCTTACTAAACTGCGGCTTCGTGAAGTCATAGGTTACACTTGTCGAGTCCACTTTCTTATTGTCGAGGATGTCCCTGGCTCTTATCCATACAGTAATGGTGCTCCCGCTGGTAACGTTTTCTGAAACCAAGAAAAATAAGTGGCATGTACTTGATAATCATTACGTTTTATAGCGTTAATGTCAGTCGAACACCTGCAAAGGAGATGATATACTAGGCGAAATATCATTATCGAGGTTCAGTACACCACTGCAACGGATATGATATACTAGGAGAAATATCATTATCGAGGTTCAGTACACAACTGCAACGGAAATGATATACTAGGAGAAATATCGTTATCGAGGTTCAGTACACAACGGCATCGTAAGATTTAAAATTATGAATGAAAAGCAATTCTTCTCTGAAAACAGTCAGCATAATATTTACCTGGATATTTATAGCTGACTTTGGGTGACTGAGTGAGGCAGTTAAACCGTTACGTCTCAAGGGCAATATTTCAGCCATATCGTCACAAGAAATTAAATATGAATAGCTGATTTGGTAGTTACAAAATCGGTATATTTCTTGTCCAAGATAATTTGTCCTTCCGTTTGCATAATGCGAAAAAACAAAATAATTTACATTTGATGACAATATTCTATTCAGGTGCATGTACAATTCCCTCCTGCAAAAATGTTGTGCCTCATTTTAAAGATTTGCAGTTGTGACGCTTTTTACAGGCTTTTTACAATCATGCATACGTGTGACATTTTACCTGGAGGTAAGTGCAAAGAGGTGTTCAGGCCGGGTATGTCATCCCAGTTGGGAGGCGTCTGCTGAATTCTACCCCCTGTCTTATTGATAGCGTGGGTCCATTCAAACCTCACGATCCCTCTCGAATTGGGGATGGCCGCAGTGGTTCTTCTTTCATACTTATCGTCATTCGCTTCGATAACTTGCTTGTAGATTGGAGGGTCTTTCACAATCTGTTTCTTGAGGGGCAGGATTTTGTTGAGATATTTGCCAGTCTCGTGAACGTAATTACGAAAGTGATACTGCCATATGATCACTAGTGGTTTGGAAATATCAGTTATCCACTGGAAGCCATGGTCTTGCACTGCTGACGATATGTACAGGGCATGGTCTGGATCAGTCGTAACAGATGACTCTTTGTCACACAGTGCAAACCTTCTCATGTATACAGAGTTATTGGCCTTGTCTACAGCTTCAAGGAGGAAGGAATACATCCCCGGTTTTTCAGGAAGAAAGGGCACGGGGAAGGAGATTGGAGCTGTGTGTTGCACTTCTCCATGATTTACAGGTCCCGCCAGCTCCGACAGAGCTCCTCCGCTACTAGGCTGAAGTCTGTAGACTTCCCATTTGTATTTGTCCATTCCAGAATTAGCATCAGACCAGCCATGCCAATTCAAAATGATGGTGGTCTGTGATAACAAAGAGGACAGTGTTATTTGCTTTGTTTGATTCTATGGGCATTAGCTTCCCAATCCAGCTTGCAGGAAGACGAAGATTAAGATGACATATGTTATTTTATGTATCTGTGAATTATATTTTGCCCTCTACTCGTATGCCAATAGGGCCAGTACCCAGCGAACAATTTCACGTTGTCACAACGTTATGCTGTCGTTGTTATAACGTTGTTCTGTTAACGTTGTGGTAACGTTGTGGTATGACGTTGTGATACGTCACCTTTATGTCGCCACAACGTTAAGTTATTTGATGCTAACGCATTTTACGTTTCCTTAACGTTCTATTTGATGTTAATAGTTGACTAGTTTTCCCAGTAATGAACAGTACATAAGAAACAAAGCAAAATACAACAGTTATTCACAAATACAACCGTTACGGTATTCAGTACAGTACAAGTTCAAATACCCCAGTAAATCCTGGGTGGATTTGAAAAGCCGCTTCGCCTTGCTTTTCTGCAAATATTCTTCGCAAAGTCTACATTAAAGATCACAAAATTGACGGCATCATGCCCATTAAAATCTCAACAAAGTTATTTACTTGTACAAATACCTTTGTAGTGAGTGAGTGAGTGAGTGAGTGAGATAAACTTAATCGTCACTATTGGCAATATTTCAGCCATATCGTGACGAGAACAATTAATTGTTATACAAAGTAATTAATGGTAAATTATGAAAGCAAACTGTCAACGAAGGACAGTAAATAACTAGATTATAACAGATATGAATGTAAAGCTAGTAATAAAATCTAAAACAGTTTAACTATAGATGACAGTACAATATAAAAACAGGCTATAGATTGCCAACAACTGAAGTAGATCACCATACTAGGGAACATGGGGACTTACAGTACATTTGCTTCAAATACCTTTGTAAATTCAGGAGTGATTCGAAAAGCCGCGTCTGGGTCGCTGTAAACAGGTTCCACCAAGTCTATGTTAAACGCCACTGACTTGACTGTCTCGGTCCCTAGGTAATTCTCCGTAGCTGTCACGCGTCGCTTTCCAGTGTCGTACAACTTCCGGTAGCCTCCACTTGTCACCCGGAATGTAATTTTCAATCTAGAGAACAATATTAGTCCGTCTTCAGATTATATGCCAAAGTATGTGTAACCTTGAGATGCTGTTACCTGCATGGTACCCTTTGCAGTTATGTTGCATTGGGAGGGATGTTTACGTTTCCTGATTAATTAACCCTTTCTGCGAAACAATGTCAGTCTGATCATATGCATACATTTCCAACAGTAATTGTCTGGGTAGCAGGATTAACGGGTTAACGGGGTCTAACTGTAGTGAGTGAGTGAGATATGTGCACCGTGCAGTAAGTAATAGATTTCCTTGTTTGTGTGTTGTATGACGCCGCCCTCAGTCATATTCCAGCTACATGGCTGCGGTCTGTAATTAAAAAGAGTCGGGAACATACAATCCAGTGATCAACAACATGAGCTTCGACCTGCGCAACTGGGATACGTTGACATGTGCCAACCAAGTGAGCTCGACCACCAGATCCCATCAGTCACTTCTTACGACAAGCATGGGTTGCTCAAGACCTATTCTAACCCAGATCGTCACGGATCGGTATGTAATAGGGGTTTCAGTAGACAGAGACGCGCGGCCATAGAAAGTGCAACCGACAGAAAGTAAATGTAAGTTCTATAAGCCTAATTTTTTAATTTAAAAAAAGAATCTTCCGAGGTATCCTTCTTAACTATAGAAGAACTATAAGCCAGAACAGTTTAAACTTTTAACGAAACAGAGTGATATTATGCTTCTAATGTCCACAATAGGATCAAGACCGCCTCCGTGGTGTAGTGGTTAGAGCGTCCGCCCGGACAGCGGAAGGTCGCGGGTTCAATCCCCGACCGCGTCATACCAAAAGACGTTAAAATATGGTACTTGTTGGTCCCTGCCTGGCGCTCGGCATTAATGGGTACAGCAAGGACTGGTCGGCTTGGAGTCAGTATAATGTGTCTGAGTGGGGTATTCATGCTCCACTGCGGCATGGTATCTCAGTGGGCTGGCACTATACAACCAGCTTTAGTCTGGGCTAGTACAAGCAGCCGCACATACACATACACATGCATGCACGTCGTCATATGAGCGAAATATTCTAGAGCACGACGTTAAACCCAATTTCACCTCACCTCACCTCACCACAATAGGATCAGGAGAGCGAGTGACAATTGCTAAGCGGTGCTTTAGCAACATTGTAGTTATTCGCCGAGACAGATCCGTGTACTAATGGTTTGGGTATTATTGAATCCTACCGATCATGTATATTTGTCATAGTAAATACGAAATAGTATGTATTATGCAGTGCACAAACAAAAAACCCATGTGTATTCGAATTGTTTTCTACTTACTTGTCACCATCAATTAATCGGCTGGTGTACTGTTTTCCGAAGGAGCAAGTAACTATATTCCTGGGGTGCTCGGAACCGATGGTGTTATCACACGTGTGGTCGCTGTGGGCGGATGCTACAACGGGGCCATCTTGGTAGAGGATATAACATAATATAAAACGACGTAAACAGTACAGATGAACATTTTCCCTGGAATAAACACACATTGAATTGTACTCGGCAAAAAAGAAACGCCTATGAAAAGGGAAATGTCTGAGGGAGTTTAGCTGATACTCACAGAATAAATAGCAAATATGATTTTCTCATGTCTGCATGATACCAAAAATACCAAAAAAAGCTGAGTGACCGTGTAGCGGCCATAAAATTTACGAGTCCGTAATGGGATTCGAACCACGGAACTTCTGATCCCAAATGGGACGTCTCTTCCACATGACCCAAGAGGTTAACCCCTTCATCAAGCTGACAAGGTAAGGAATGTCATCTGTTGGATGACTCCACGCCCTGCTACGAACGCAAAAACGCAACCACGTTGAGAGCATGTCAACCAAACACACCAACAAGACGAGACCGACACAGATGCGGCCGACCTCTTGTCACAACTGCGGGCTCATACGGGTTGGTCACTTACGTTATAGAGTTACCACGGCCACCTCTACAGCTATCCGCAACAACAGGATTGCGTATGATTTCAGCCAAAACAGTGAGGAACCGTCTATAGTCTGTTTGCAGTGAAAACGTGCCAATGAATTTCACTTTAAACTTAAAAGTAAATCAATTTAAGTGAAATTAAGATTGCGAATCCTCATAATTTTACCTTGACACAAGCACATTTTATTCTCAGAATTTTATTCAACTTAGGATGAAAGTTGTTTAACAAACGATCATAAATTCAAATCGCTATTATTGGTTTGTATTACAAGGGGATGAGCGCAGTAGATGGAACAGTGAAACAAATGCACGTGCTGTACGTGATGGGCGTTAACTTAAACCAACACTACTTGTTCTCGGTGTTTCATTTAAAGTGCATACCCCCTTGTAATGCAAACCAATAATAGCGATTTGAAACTATGATCGTTTGTTAAACAACTTTCATCCTAAGTTGAATAAAATTCTGAGATTTGAATATTCAATTGGTAAGGTAAAATTATTAGGATTCGCAATCTTGTTTTCACTTTATTCGATTTACCTTTTTGTTAAGAGTGAAATTCATAGGTACGTTTTCACTGCAAACAGCCTATACGTGCCACTGGTATTTCCCCGAGACGACCCGTTCGAGGCGTGACTGATCGGTGTCGTTGGCTGCGACGTTAATGGTGTCATGGACACAGAGTATGGTCACAGCAGCGATGGAGACGTGTTTGGTTTACGTGACGGGTCACGTTTAAGCTTCTTCGTACAGACGGAAGAGGTCGGGTGGAACGTTATGATAAAGGATATGATCAAGAAAAACAGACTTGGCACAACACTGCACAGATGAAGTTCTTCAGACACGCATCCTAACCATTATCTTATTAAATGAAACGTCATTTTCAAAGGCGCCAGCCGCACAAGACAGGACTAACAATAGCTCTTTAGGGGAACTACAACATCGAAATTCTTCAAAGGCATTTAGAAGTTGGCGTAGTAATACAAGACAAATCTTATGGATAACAACTTCTTGATTTATTTTACACAACGTTTCTGGGCTAGTTCTTGCCCCTTCGTCAGGTGGATGTCATGGCCTTAACGGTCTCCAAATCGAAACCTCAGCAAACCATTATGGGATGCTATTGATCAACGTCTGCAATCAAGCATACAACAGCCAAAGTACCTCCAACAAGCACAGCATCTGCCCCAGGCCACAATTGGTGACTGGTACCATGGGGCGACTATGCCAGGCAGTCCTGGACTCTCATGGGTACCATATAACCTCTATCATGATATTCAAATGTTTCATGGATGCCATGAGTGAGTGAGTGAGTGAGTTATATTCCAGCTATATGGCGGCGGTCTGTAAATAATCAAGTCTGGACAAGACAATCCAGTGATCAACAGCATGAGCATCGATCTGCGCAATTGGGAACCGATGACACTCGTCAACCAAGTCAGCGTGCCTGACCACCCGATCCCGTTAGTCGCCTCTTACCATAAGCATGGGTTACTGAAGGCCAATATTCTAACCCGGACCTTCACGGGTGGGGATGCCATGAGGAACTTCGGTCAGTGACAATGACTTGTGCCGGGTTTGAACATTTAAAAAAAAATATTATGATATGCTGATTATTTAGATAACACATAAAGTATATATCTCAACCCGGGTACGATTCCTCGCATAAGTATAAAATAATCTGTCTCCCTCCGTGATAATGCTGGAGTTTACAACTAATTACTTTCTGTCTTTTAAGGTTCAGCCACAATTTCTCAGATATGAAACCAATGTGACAGTAAGCAAATCATTGATAACACGTGTGTAGAATGCTAAAATGGCGCACTGACAAGATGTGGACATCACCGTTTGCAGAACTGCTGCTTCTTTATGTCTGTTAATCAGCAATTATTCTCGGATTGCCAATTTATTGCTGGGATATTGCTAAAAATCATATTGGGTAAAACCATTCTCACTCAGTCACTGCACTCTCAGCAAGTAGAGTCTAGAGATGCAGGTTTTAGGTTTACAAGTTTACAACGTATTAATGAAGATAAATACGTTCCAACTGTTATGAATTAAATAAAACTCTCCTTCGGGCATAGCAGTGGTATTCCTATACATAACATCAGCTTTAAGTTCCGTGGAACTGGGAGCCCATCTGATCGCTTACCTAGTCTAATATAGGCCCTGGCAATTCCAATAAGTGATTCGCTAATATAAGCAGGGGGTGCGGGAAGATCTCTACATTCGGACATCGCACTGGCAGTGACAGTGAGGTTGTTTAGCTGGTTCAGGTTTGTCCATACGCCGGCATGTTCTTGCTTCCCTGAACTGTCCGCTATGACGCCATAGACTTCCTCCGGTCCACGACGGTATAAAAAGCTGGCTTGCAGCTGTGTTACCTTCGGTGCCTGGATAGGTTTCACTATGTAAAAGATACAGATTTAAATTATACTGCACTTTGATTATTTAACAAACAATGAAAGCCAATGTAGCGTGCCATCATTTTCTTGATAGAAGAGCGGAACAGAAGGAAGGATTCCGAGGACGTACATGTACACATCCCATCCTAAAATTAGATATGGCATATACACCATTCGTTTAAACGTCATGGGACATTTATTTCTGATAAGCCTTTTTGTAACCGATGAAGACTGGTCGAGAATCTCTTAGATATCATGAATACTTCTTCCTTTGGAAACAGCTGCACTTACACTCCTTGCAAAATGATCCGGCGAAGTCGTCCATGCAATTGCAGACAACGGTGGCGCCGTTAGCTTGACATTTCCCCGGAAAACACGGACGTTCGTAGTTACAGTCCACTAAAACAAATGAACAACGCGTAAGCCTTTGTTGGAAGCAGAGCATAATCGTAGCAATATGAAAATAATCACAGCAAAGGAAAATAATCGCAGCAATAGGATGATAATCAAGCAATAGGAAAATAATCGAAGCAACAGCAAAATAATAGAGGCGGCGAGAACATAATAGAAGCAATAGAAACATAAAAGAGCAATAGCAATATATTCATTTCAACAGGAAAAATCCGAAGCAATAGGAAAATATTCGTTTGAATGAGAGCTTAATCGCAGCAATAGGAAAATAATCACATAAATAGGAATATAATCGAAGCAACAAAAAAATAATCGCAGCTACAGGAACATAATCGAAGCCAAGAACATCCCGATTGAAACGAATTGTGCTGCAATATACATTCGTTCTAAACACCCCTTATATCTTGCAAAAGAAACCTGTCAATCTTTAGCGAGATGTGATGCAGCAATAATACTGTTTAAGGCAGTGGTAAAGCCAATTGTTTCCGTTAGTGAAGGAATTGTTGTGGGGACTTTCATATACAGTGTAACACATGCTATTTGAAGGGAGTTAAATATTTTACAGTTTACACTTTATCTTCAAAACAGAAAGACCTGTGGGTGTTGCTTTATGATGAATATGACAGACGGCACCCTTTATTAGCGAGATGAGCTTATCACGTGTATTGCGCTGACATGAAATATAATTGTAGTGATTATTGCATGTGTGTGGCTGTTTGTACTAGTCCAGGTACCAGTATAAAAGTTTGCTTTTTTGTAGTATCCCATCTATATGACAGTGGTCTAAATACTCGGATATCAACCAGACCATCAGGTGACTGGCATCATGACCATCGATCTACGCAACTGGGACACCATGACTTATGTCAATCAAGTCAGCAAGCCTGAACACCTGATCCCTTTAGTCGATCCGCGACACAGACAGCAAGGTGAAGACCAGTTCTAACCTGAGTTTTATTGAACAAGACCAGTAAGATACTATGTTTAACAATCATACCAAACACTGACACGGTATGCTGATACGCAGTTCAAAAACAATGTGTTCAGTCTAATAATTGATGTGACGCGACCAGGGACTTTGGTCTTTGCGTTTTCAGACAGAATCTAAACCACATAGGCGTTATCCCCTAAACGAATGACACAGAGAGAGGGTGGTCTCTGAATATAGCTAAAGTAAATATGATCCTGAATACAGAGGAATGTAACATGACTGGTTTTAAAACCAGTCTTACATTTCTCAGTTACGTACAGAACGCTGATAAGAAGACATGTGGGCAAATGGGACAGGGGTCGAAGTCTACAGTACATTATACATTCAGGTTCATACCACCAACAATGTCTCTCAATGGGTAATATTATGTACGTGGCCCTTTTCATTAGTCCAAGTCAACTGAGCATCGTCTGTCATGCTGGTATTAACATATCAAATACTACACATATATACGACTTAAATAATCATAACCACCAAGGTTATTGAGTGTGCCCACAGCACAGGTTGCTGGGGACAAACATGTTTACTCGGAATCACCACGGGTTGTTACCAAAGAGTATGAAGGAGACAGACACAAAACAAGTCGGTCCTTGTGTAACAGTGAAGTGGCATATTATCAGTTTAGTATTGACGGTTCATCACTAAAGATACGCTTTCACACGGTACAGCTAATGATGTGTAGCTAATGGTGTGCAGCTGCATGGGTAATGGTGTACATGGTACTGGTAATTGTGCGTACTGTATGGGTAATTTTGAAAACATAGTACTAGTAATTATGTGCACCTGTATTGGTAATTGTGTTCACATGGCGTTGGTAATTGTGTGTTCCTGTAAGGGCAATTGTGTATACATAGTACGATATGGCTGAATTATAGCCGATGTGGTGCTAAAGATTAACCCACACATGCTACTGGTAGTTGTGTGTACTTGTATGTGAAGTGGTGAATCAACCAAGTGAGCGAACCTAGCCTTCCCTTACGACACTTCTTGCGACAGACATGGGTTGCTGAAGACCAATTCTAACCCGGGTTTTATTGAGCGAGCCCAATAGGATACTATTTTAACAATCATACCCAATACTGGCATGGGTAATGGTGTACATGGTACTGGTAATTGTACGTACTGTATGGGTAATTTTGAAAACATAGTACTAGTAATTATGTCCTGACTAGTACTCGGCCAACAATAAGTACAATCTGTTTATTTGATATGACGCTGACGGGGACTTTGCGCTCACAGACAGACGCTCTCACCACTATATCATGTACATGTGTAAGATTTCTCACGAAAGATTGCTAATAATACTTTCAGAACTAACAGTTACTCTTGTGAAAAAAATAGATATCAACCGAGAGTACTGTCAGACAGAATGTACTTTCAATAGTCTTCTCAATTAGTTCTTCTCAATTAGTTCAGTAACTTAAGCACTGAGTCATGTTGTGACGTTGATACCTGTGGCAAGCGGAAGCGAAAGGAACTTGTAAGATAATGGTGTCTGACTGGCATGACCGCCTTGTATTTTGTCTGGTCTCATGACCACAGTTGTGCATTAGTACATGACACAACAGCCATTTGTGACGTCACTCCGGGAACTGCGCACAACCCAAAGCTAGGGTGACCCTCCTTACAAACGTTTCCTCGTATCTCATGATTATGAAGGCGAAGGAAACGATAGGACAAGATAAGACCTAGAAACATGTATTACCATAAAGTTTCGACACACATGTGAGTTAGACAAAAGCACGTCCCGGGATTTACAAACAGGAAGATAGCCCGCCACAATTAGGTCATCACCATGAAGTAGCCAATCACGGACCTGGAATTCGACCTCACGCATATATTTAATACAGTTATCTTACATGGGATTCTCACCGACGAATGTGTGAGAAACCGTGTTCTCTGATATCAATCTTCCAAGGTTACACGTTGGTCCTACCTCCACTGCATGTGTCGCCTGTGTATCCAGCCCTGCATCTACACCTGCCTGGGGAGTAGCACGTGCCGCCATTTTCACACGGGGGGTAGCAATGAGCTGAAGAACAAGCAGGTGTAACGGCATGTCAGATTCATTTCTTACTGGGGACGGCAAGGACATAGTACGAGGGACAGTCAAAAAGTAGTAAGCCTGACCTAGTAAATGATTCAAATGCAGCTGTTTTTATGTTTTATTTTTCTAAATATTATCTGTCAACCTCAAGCAAATTGGTTTTGCTACGTTCCAGCCTTCCGATCCCCATTTGTTTGAAATTTTATCTTAGTACCCCCCAAAAGCGCAAAATCTGCAATAAATGCGCCACAAACTTCAGGTAACAAAATATGCAAGAAACATTTTGTGTGTTTGAGATAGGTAGACGTCCGCCAGAATCAAACTAAGAGGATAAAAAAGCAATTTGAAAGTAAAATCGCTTGTTAAAGTGATTCCCCATTCATGTTTACTGAAACAGCTTGTTTGGGAGACACTACCCACCCCCTTTCAGACGACAAATTCATAAGGACATAACTTATTGTAATGTTTTCACTTTTTCACACATGATGCTAATCGTTCAAAGTAAATACTGAATGGTCACACAGGTGTCAACTCTCAGTATATTGTAAACAGGGCCAGCTTGAATTTCTGGACACAATGTTTTTGAAAGACTAAAATGGGTGTGTCCTTAAAAAAACAGCCCTGTCTGAACATAAATCAAGCAATCCAAATCTTTTAATGTTGATTATGACGGGAAATCATCCAATACTATACTAACATATTTTATATGACATTATCTGAGGGCATACCATTATCCAAGAGGTACTGACGGGTCGTTTTGCATTTTTTGCATTTTTTCTAGAAATATTATACCCCAATGTGTTGTGATGACTAATATCTCGTTAATCACATTACCCACATATGTGATTTTTTTTATACGACTTTGCTAATGATTCCTACAAACTAAAATGGAAGCTTTTCAAACATTGGACATCGAGAATATAGTTAGGCTGAATACTTTTTGACCGACCCTCGTACGAGTATATCGCTGTGCGACATTTCAAACGTTTGTCTTATATTTGTTAGTTCGTTGATTAACGCCGGATTTAGCAATACTGTTCCAGTTAATATTCGATTATGGATCAGAGAAATCAGTGATTGATAGTACAAACAAAAAGTATGAATGACGGGTTCCCTTTTCGATGTTATCACCTATAGGGTGCCGTGATTAAGCTGAAAGAATTTGTTTACATAGTTTGGCGTTATAAAAACAAACCAACACAAAATCTATCAATTAGTTAGCCATTAGCTCTATATGTTTCTACCACGGCCAGAAAAGAAATAAACATAAATTCTGACACACATTTATACATCAACCCTTCTTTTTAATACAAATACAGACATCGGCGAAAACTAGTTTTTTAGATATGTTTATCCACCTAAGTGGGTCCATAAATCGATGCGTCTTAAGAACCGATGACGTCATACACGATAGCGGCTGATAAACGTAGCCTCGTTTTCGAATAAAGATTGAGAAGGAGAGATAACGGTCAGTTAAACTCCCGGAACTTTACCAATATTACAGTTGTAGTCTCCGTTGTGAGTCCAGCCAGGGCAACACTTGTAAGAAGTGGTTGTAACTGGTGTTTGAATAGTTTCTCGATCACAGCAGCTGCAACAAATTATATCAACTTGATTGTTTGCACATTTATAGAACTTGTCCACTCTACGGGGCGATTTCGTCGGATGTTTGCTTACAACATATACCCCTTGTCCAATGAATACCCTCATATTTCTATGTTTAAAATGTTTTGTATTTTTTAATGTTCTATTTAATACGTAGGTCCGTAATTAGTCCAGTCTGGACCAGACATTCCAGTGATTGACATAATGAACATCGACAAAGGCAAATGATATCATCACTGTGTCAACCAAGTCAGTGGGCCTGACCACACGATACCGTTCGGAAGCACAGTCTATTAAAGATAAATGCTAACACGGATCTTCAAGAGTTCCGAACCCATGCCAGATGCAGGGCAAACCGATGTCATTACATGTATTAGATCTTTTAGACCTGTGTGCATTCCGGGTTTAAATCCGAATCTCCTAGAACCCCTGCAAAGATGCGACAAAGAGAGCCGGTGGCTGGGACAAGTAACACAGCTGGAAGGCAGTGCATCCCAGATTACACGTATCAATTCACATCGTGACAGTCACCGGATTGTCTGAGTAATACTTATCTTTATCAAAGCAAACAAGCAAACATGTATAATATATTGTACCAGTGTTCTGATGTCTATTCAACATATGTTATACGAAGCGAGCTCTATTTTTAGTGACTTACTGCCACCAACAATGGGAGGTGCAGATTGTTGTGCTGGTGTAGGTGACCGCTTGATATGGACAGGTATGTCTGAAAATAGTAAAGTACGATTGCTTAAAATAGTTACATGCATCTGTGGAAGGGAGAACTATGTTTCCTCTCACACAGACATAGCTTGCTGTAATTTATATGTGAATAAACCTTTACTCAGTCACAGTAATAGTGAGTAATATAAGGGTAATGCTATTTTTGAGGGCATTATCATTTGCAGAAGCCCGAGGTCTTCCATGAACTGCCCGACGAAGGAAGGCAGTTGATAAAGACCGAGGGCTTCTGCAAATGATAATGCCCTCAAAAATAGCATTACCGTTATTATTGCTAAAATACATGGAATTTGTGTTGAAAAGAAAAAGGAAACAATGAAGGAATTTGACTAAGTTTACCCAAATCAACTTCTTACGGGCTTGACTGCCCGAATGCAATTACGTCATCGAACAATTCAAGTGACGTCACAACAGAAAATGACGATATTCGACCTTGGCCTTTGACAAGACCATAGCCTGCAACATGTCAAGCTATGACAGTGTTCGGTTTTGGTCCATCAACAGTCTTAATAGTGCAATTGTTAAGGTTAGCACCAACAAGAAAGCCCATATCACCGCTATTTAAAGCGGGAATTTTGGTTGCTTTGACTTGTTTGACCCAGAATATCTGCCAGTCGAAAGCCACTAATGTCGAACTATGACGTCACTTGACAACAGAGCTGATAGTGGGCCGTCGTTAAGGTTGAGCGGTCCAATATCATTTGCAGCGGACCGCAAATTTCTGATAACAGGAGGGCAGGATGAGCAATTAGGATGCGATGACATGTGGCAACCAAGTCAGCGAGCCTGACCATACGATCCCGTTAGTCGCCTCTTACGATCAAGCATGGGCTACTGAAGATCAAATCAAACCTGGATCGTCACTGGTCACAGAAATAACACTATTAATATGTCCTTCAAACAAAGAACCCAGCAGTTCCCTCTAAAGTATAGACAAACAAAATTCATCATGTGATTTGATATCCAATGCTGACAAAAGTTATTTATATTTGACGAATATTCATTAAGAAAATAAATACGTTGATTTAGGAATACTAAATATTGATGATTGAATTTATGTTAAACGATATTTAGATAACATATTGTCAGAACTGATGTATACACTGGCTAAACGGAATCGTGTGAAAATGGGATTTAAAAGTTACTATAGCTCTATTTTTATTAATATCGGGAGAACACGAGACCTTAATTTGTGAGCTGTTTTACTTCACTACGAGATCGGGACGCGACCTGCTTGCCTGCATTTAAATGGCTGCTTTTCGAATTGATCGCTCATATGGTGTGAAGCTTATTGTAAAATCGATACATGTACGTTGTGCCAAGTGATTAAAATGACGACTCGTTATGCGTTAACATTTTAAACACATGCACAGTTATTACAAACCAAAACGCACGCATAACCATATGAATTATAAAGGCTGACAAAATAAATAAAAAAATTATTTAAAAAAACTTGAAAAAGATTCAAAGTCAAAAACATGTTTTTGACAATGACCGTTGAACATAATTGAAGGTTTGGTGCTAATTTATAATGATACAATTGTTTATGCACAATGCAACAATAATCCAACTTAAATCAAAATGCAACATTGGAAGAAACTGACTTAGAATAAATAAAATAAATTGCCTACCCGCTAAATTGGAAGGAGTAAGGAACAGAAACTGCCAACAGCAAAACTACGTATTGGTTGGCGTCCATCCTAAGTTAGATAGGGAATGGGTAGGCTGGGCGTGATATATATTGTTGAACAAGGAAGTAAGAAATGAATAAACATATGCACAACGTAGGGGTCATAGCTGATAAGACTGAAGTGTTTTGCAGCCATATATGTACTGAATGCAACACTGTTGGTTACCTGTTATCAGCTAGGTCAATGGCGCCGTCTTAGTCATAAATATCAACGGTTCGCACTTCCTTTTACAGCAACTCGTCACGCCGAAAACCGGAATTCGATTCCCCACATGGTTACAATGTGTGAAGCCAGTTTCAGGTGTACCCTGCCGTGATATTACTGGAATATTGTTACAAGCGGCGTAAAACCATACTCACTCACTCTGTTTTCGGCAGTGTGGAATATTATTGCTACTTTCTTCAGAAATGACAAATGTAAGAGCAGTCATTTTAGTTACGTCACATGCTACCTTTTACAGGACTCTCAAATATCACTGTGACCTTCTTTGGTTATGTCGAATATTAGAAGAGCAGTCACTTTAGTTATGTCAAATGTTAATGCTACCTTTTCCAGGACTCTCAAATATCACAGTTACCTTCTTCAATTATGTCAAATATTTGGATAACCTTCGTTAGTAATGTCAAATATTAGGGTTATCTTCTACACTAATATCAAATATTGGGGTTATCTTCTACACTAATATCAAATATTAGTGCTATCTTCTACACTGATATCAAATGTTAGGGTTATTCATTTCATTAATGTCAAATATTAGACTTACGTTTCTCAGTAACGTACAATATAAGCGTTATCTTCTTCAGTAACGTCAAAAATAAGATTATCTTCTACACTAATATCAAATATTAGGGTTACCTTCTTCAGTGATGTGTCACAGTACTGTTACCGTCTTCGCTAATGTCAAATATTAGGGTTCGTTTTTTCAGTAATGTCAAATTTTAGGGTTACCTTCCTCACTAACGTAAAACATTACGGTTACCATTCTTAGTAACATAAAATATTAGAATCAGTTTCTTCTACACTTATGTCAAATATTAGGGTCACCTTCGTCAGTATGTCAAATATTATGGTTACCTTTTTTCAGTAATGTCAAAAATTAGACTTAACTTTTTCAGTGTCGTCAAATATAAGGATTAACATCTTCAGAAACGTCAAATATTAGGGTCCCCTTCTTCAGTAATGTCAAATATTAGGGCTACCTTCTTCAGTAGCGACAAGACCCGTGAAGGTCCTGGTTAGAATGAACCTTCACTTCCCTGGCTGACCCGTGAAGATCCGGGATAGAATTGATCTTTAGTAACCCATGCTTTTCGTAAGAGGCGACTAACGGGATCGGGTGGTCAGGCTCGCTGGCTTGGTTGACACATGCCATCGGTTCCCAATTGCGCAGGTCGATGCTCATGCTGTTGAACACTGGATTGTCTTGTCCAGACTCGATTATTTACAGACCGCCTCAATATAGCTGGAATATTGCTGAGTGCGGCGTAACACTAAACTCACTCACACACTCAAAACTCACTCACTTGATATGTGTCCTCCTCAGATGTTATTATCACTTGTTTATCTGGTCCAGACGCGAACAAAGGCTAAAGGTTCTTAGTAACACAAAGATCTGGTCTTGAAAAATGGATCCCCGAAAGCAAGAGATAATTCGTGCACAAACGACATGCGTATCAGTTGTATTGATTTATTAAACCCGCAGCCTAGAATTGGTCTTCAGTAACCCAGGCATGTCGTAAGAGGCGACTAACGGGATCGGATGGTCAGGCTCTCTGACTTGGATGACACATTATCGTGTCCGATTCGCGTTGATAGATGCGTATGCTGTTCATCACTGTATTGTCTGGTCCAGATTCGATTATTTACAGACCGCCGCCATTTAGATGGAATATTGCTGAGTGCGGCGTAAAACTAAACTCACTGACCCACTCACTCAGTAACGTCAAATATTCGGGTTATCTTCTACACTAATGTCAATATTTTGGCTACCTTCTTCTGTAATAGCAAATATACCTGTTACCTTCTTGACTAACGTCACAAATTAGGGTTACCGTCTATATATACTTATGAATGATAAGTTAGAGCTGTAAATATGTAGTATTTTAATATTTTATTGTCTTAGACAGAGCCTATTGAAAGTATTTTAACTGAAATGTTCCGGATGACAATCTCTCTTCCGCAATGAAAAGGGTACACCAACGATTACAGTAGAAACATTAAACATTAAACATTGAACATTGAACATTAAACATTAAACATTAAACATTAAACATTAAACATTAAACATTAAACATTAAACATTAAACATTAAACATTGAACATTGAACATATTGACAACTACTTTTTCGAATCTAAACAATCAAAGCTTAATATGTACAAGCGGCTGTATATATGACTCAAAAGGTGGCTTGGTCGCTAGGAAGTGATTGCTCGGGGATGTTAGCGGTCAAGGGCGACTGATAAGAACGTGTTAAGCACGTGTTCTTAGCAGCTATGGGATAGCCAAATAGTTACAGATTTGGCTCGTCACACCAAAGGCCCTAGTTCGATTCCACTTGTAGAATTCAGTGTGCGTTGCCAGGATCTACCAAATCACTCTTCTGGAGTGGCACTGTGGCACTGTTTATGGATAAACATAAAAGCGTTTTGATACCCACTTCACTTGCTCATGGTGATGACGTGTCTGTTCGTGGTTGGCAGGCTCAGTTCAGTTCAGTGCAATAACCTTCAGATTTTGATGATGGGGGATGGCCTGGCGACAGTGTTAAGTTACAGGGCCTAGATTTTCGAAGCTCTCTCAGAACTAAGATAGTTGTAAGTTAATGGTAATGTATGGCACTTAACGACCATTTTGACACTAAGAGAGCTTCGTAAATCTAGGTCCTGGCCACGGATTCATGCGTTGTGTGTATGGGTGTAAAATGCAACATTGTATACCCAAGTTCGAGGAAATGCAGCATTTGTTATCACGTCATTTTCACGTCACTTAGCTCAGATGCAGCGTTCTTGATCAACGTCATTTTCACGGAGCTTAGCTCAGATGCAGCGTTCGAAATAATCGTTGACCCGAAGGCCCAGCGCCGGTTGTCATTGCATTGGGCCGGCAGTTTCAAATATGTGCTGGCGTTTGTGGCCTTCGTTAAATTATCTGCACTTTTTTTCGGGAATCTTTCATGATCCACCATGTTACGGTAACTTACAGTTTCACTTTCTGGTATTTCAGCGCTTTGCGCACAGAAATGCCATGATCTTTCACTCAGCGCCATAGCCTTCGTTAATTGATGAACATGTAAAACATCTTAACTATGAAAGACAATACAATATAAACGAAAACAGGCTATAGATTGCCAACAACTGAAGGTAAATCACCATATTGTAGATATTAAGCAACTGTTTAAGTGCTCAAGATTACTGATGCGGATGCTGGCATGTCCTTGATGATTGCAAGATATGATTTTGCTGATAGTCTTGTCTCCAGATCACAGAAATACTCGCACAAAACTCCTCTTCTGTAGAGATTACACTGGCTTCCCACGTAAGACAGAATCCAATATCAACTGATCCTTCTTGTTTTCAAGTGTCTCACTAACCTTGCTCCAAAGTATCTATCTGACCTGATCACCAGATATCAGCCCAACCGAAGTCACCGATCTTGGTCTTCTTATTGTCCCACACTCTTAGTCCAGTACCAGGTTTTGGGATCGATCATTTCAGGTGGCGGGACCCACTCTCTGGAATCAACTTCCACTGGAGTCAAGGACAGTTAACAACATCTAGATTTTCAAATCTAAATTGAAGACATACCTTTTAAAGAAAATATACAGTGTCTAACTTTTCATTCTCGAGTTGCTCGGAAAGCGGTACTGAGCAGTACTTTGTTTTCTTTTCTAATTTTTAGTTTTACGCCATACTCAGCAATATTCCAGCTATATGGCGGCAGTCTGTAAATAATCGAGACTGGACCAGACAATCCAGTGATCAACAGCATGAGCATCGATCTACGCCATTGGGAACCGATGACATGTTGACAGCCTGACCACCCGATCCCGTTAGTCGCCTCTTACGACAAGCATGGCTTACTGAAGGCCAATATTCTAACCCGGACCTTCACGGGTCACTTTGTTTTCCACTGAGTACAAAGCAAATAGATGTCAAAGTAATTTGAGGTCGTGGAGAAGTTTCAATAGTCGGACGAAAGAGTTTAGTTTTACGCCGCTTTATTTTAGCCATATTTCAACAATATCCCAACGGGAACACCAGAAATGGGCCTCACAATTTGTGCCCATTTGGGGAGTCTTCGGCATGACGAGGTAAATCTACAGTACGTTTGCTACCTGCATGTACCTAAGCTGGATTTACATCATTCGTTCAGGTGTTGGTGATTTTTGCAGAAATTATACATAGATTAAAGTACCCCTTTCATTTCAGGCCGTCCCGCACCGCAGAAATGTTTACGTTGGGTTTAACCCAACTGTCCGTACTCAAAGCCATACGATGATCATATGAATGTGTATCATTTTACGCTGCTTTCAGCAACGTTTCAGCAATGTTTCAGCAATATCACAGCGCGGGATAATGGAAATTCGCCTCACACATTGTAACCTTGTTTGGAAACGAACTCAGGTCCGTGACACTCAGGTTAAAATACTAAGGTGCCTATCCGCTCAGGTCATGATCGCGTATACTTTTGCACTGCTTGTATATCAACTACACTCGTGTAGAGTAAGTAGGCTAGCGTCCCCCTCAGAAGATGATTCATGTCGTACTTGAGGGTGCTCCAGATAAGGGTTTGAGTTGCCGAGTGTTTACTCACATGCTATCAAACATGTATTAGTTAAGAAAAGGCTCGAAATCAAGTTGGCTATGGTGATATAATCTGCTTACTGTATTCAAGTATGCAGCTTATCAGGAGCTCTGTCACATACAGGAAGGCGGGGTAGCCTAGTGGTTAAAGCGTTCACTCGTCACGCCGAAGACCCGTTTTCGATTCTCCACACGGGTACAATGCGTGAAGCCCATTTCTTTTGTCCCCCGCCACGGTATTGCTGGAATATTGCTAAAAGCGACGATAAACTAAACTCACTTGCTCACTGTCGCATACAACGAATAACCCAAGGCGTGAGAGATGACATACCCGTGCTGGTGTGGGATCGCTGATGATAAAGCTTAGTCGTTACATACTACTAGAATGACACCTAGTCTCTGAAACATTATACTTTCGATACAAACAATGAAACTTCTTTTAAATTTTAAAGAATTGACATTGGAGAATCAGAAATATCTAAACCTGACTCATTTAAGGCTATTGTGTTTCACTTACGGCTTGCTGGACTGACTGACTGAGTTTGGTTTTACGCCGCTTTTAGCAATATTCCAGCAACATCACGGCGGGGGACACCAGAAATGGGCTTCACACATTGTACCCATGTGGGGATTCGAACCCGGGTCTTCGGCGTGACGAGCCAACGCTTTAACCACTAGGCTACCCCACCGCCCCTTGTTAAAACTAAAACATATCTACCTGTGAACTGGAAAGGAGGGCTCAAATGTGCTTAAAGCGGCACAAAACCGACTGACACACTTACACGCTGGGTTTGTGGATTTGTGTGATGGGAATGTCGGTCCAGGAAGCAGTAAGTGAGTTAACAGTTAAAGTCACATCGGCAATATTTCAGCCATGTCATGACTAAATCAAATTATAGATTTACAAGGATTTGTTTGAAGGGTGGGATGAGTGAGTTAAATGTAAAATGTAAACATGTCCTCAACGAAGGACAGTAAAACAACTAGATTATCACAGATATTAATTTCAAACTAGTTATTAAATCTAAAATAATTTAACTATACATGACGATGCAATATAAAAACAGGCTGCAGATCGCCAGCAATTGAAGGTAGATCACCATACTAGGGACCATGAGGACTTACAGCATCTTTGATACCTGCATGGACCCTAGCTGGATTAAACCATCGCCTCAGCCGCTGGCGATTGTAGGAAATCCAGGAAGCAGAACAGATGCAAGCATCTGGACGCAAAGATTCATTGGGGACCAGAAAGAACCTTCAAGTTGACAAACAATAAGATAAGCGATGATATTTGAGCATGGATGCTAAGTAAACTGCTGTTTGTTTGCATTGTCAGCGCTGATGTTTCCAGAGCAGGAAACTTCCTTCATACAAAGTTATGCTATCGCTGCTATTGAGATAACAGACTCATCATCACTGCAGAAAATTCACAATGATGCAGTCACATATTATAAGCTGTCGACGATAGCCTACGAGCTGTAAAGGAGCAAGGATTTTTTTCTCGTATATTTGATTCGAAATGTATTAGGACGGCTTTATTATCTGTTTCTCATCGCCCGACCTACCCTACTAATGTTATTGCCGACCCCCGCCATTGTCTTATCGACGTGCTAAATAAGTTATCACCCAATTACTTCATGACATGTTTCTCATTAGTTTAACAATATATTGTATGATTTATGGCATCCCATGTAATCTTTAGTAATCTGCGCACTATTGAGGAACACAATGACAACCCGGAACCTTATAAACTTATAGCAAAGTCATCCTTTGAAATGGTGATTTTGATATGGAAAAAGGACCACCGACAAATGTCGCAAGAACACGCAGAAATATATGGAACCGACTGAGTGTGAAAAGAAACCAGTAGAGAGAGATGAGAGAAAATCATTGTCAAGTATTACACTCAACGGGGAGTATAACAGTATTTTATTCACGTTTGCGTGAGTACACATGTGAGCACATGGTCGCCATGCTGTTCGCTGTTCGTGCGCATGCGTGCTCGTGGAGTCCTCCTTAATACCTCAACAGGGACCATTAATTTAGCTATTCTGCCACTGCTGTCCCGATACATCACATTTCTCCCTTCTTTAGATATGAGATATACAATAAATTGAAATTATTAATTAACTTCAACTCAATTAAAGTCTCTTGTGTTAATAAAGCTTATTTGAATGAAACTAAAACTTTAAAAGTCTTTTGACTAGAACTATGTCAGAACACTGATTTTTACAGTCTACAAGTCAAGTCGCACAGGAGCTTGAGGGGCTCGACAAGAGCGCCGCAGAATGACAGTCTCTGATTTGTCCGATGACTGTGTCACCTTTACTGTAGTGCCATAGTTAGTCGTCGGCACCTCATCCTGCGTTGTTGGAATGCTGGTTGGAGTTGCCTGCATGTTGTCCAGCTGTCGAGTAGGAGTGACTGTCTCCGGAATCACTTCAGATCTGTGCTCTGGTGCTTCAAAGCGTTGTTTCATGTGATCCATGTGTCGCCGTACCTCGCGACCATCAGCCAGATGAACATCACAGATGGAACTGACTATTTTTTCAGCACAGTTCCCGGGATCCACCTCTGACCACTGCCAAAGTTAGTGACATAGACAAAATCACCAACTTGAAAGGTCTTGGTGTGTGCATGATCATCTTTATAGGCCTTTTGTTTACTCTGGTGTCGCACAATTTTCCTGACCTCATCAGGATGGACCAAATCCAGACTGGTTCTCATTCTTCTCCCTATCATTAGCTCAGCAGGAGACTTCCCTGTGATGGAGTGAAGTAGTGTACGGTATCTGAATAGGAACCGAGTTACCTTCGAATCTACTATACCGCCGTTCATTTTCTTGATTCCCTCTTTCAGGGTCTGAACCGATCTCTCTACAAGGCCATTTGATCCTGGATGGTATGTAGGGGTGAAGATGTGTTCGATTCCGTTTTTGTCCATGAACATCTTGAACTCAGTACTGGAAAAACATGTGCCATTGTCTGATACTACAGTCTTTGGGAGGCCAAAGATTGCGAAACTTTCTTGACGCTTCTGAATGGTTGCTGCGGATGTTGCTGAGTTTGATACGTGTACGTCAATCCATTTGGAATGAGCATCTACTATAACTAGATACATCTTTCCCATCAGATGACCGGCATAATCGATGTGCAGTCGTTGCCAGAGGCCACTGGGATACTCCCACGGATGAATGTTCACCGGAGGGGTGGCTTTCCCATTCACCTGACATGTGTCGCAGGTCTTCACCTTCCCTTCAATTTCCTGATCCATACCTGGCCACCATACATAGTGGCGTGAAAACATCTTCATTTTCACCATTCCTGGATGTCCCTCATGTAACAGTTCAAGTATCTGTACGCGACCTTGTTCAGGTACAACAACACGTTGTCCCCAAAGTATCACGCCACCGTGTGAACTCAGTTCATTTCGTCGTGAGAAGAACTGTCTCATCGAATCGTCATTCACTGATGATGGCCATCCACTGTTGGTGAATCTTCTCACCCGTGAAAGCAGTGGATCGTGGTTCGTCCATGCAGCTATGACTGTGGCAGTCACTGGCGTTGAATCCAAGAATTCTAGTAGATTCAACGTTTCTGGAGGAGTGGGAACCGAGGAAGGAGCATTGTGTAGTGGTAACCTACTCATGGCATCCGCATGACCAAGATCCTTTCCTGGAGTGTAGACGAAGGAGTAGCTGTAGGCAGACAGGGTTATTGCCCACCTCTGGATACGCGGAGAAGACATAGCCGAAATGCCTCTCTTTTCTCCAAACAGGAACTGGAGGGTTTGTGGTCATTTGACATCAGAAAGTGTCTCCCGTAGAGATACTGGTGGAATCTTTTAATTCCAAATATGACAGAGAGTCCCTCTTTTTCGATTTGAGAGTACCCTTTTTCTGCCTGGTTGAGTGTTCGTGAAGCAAATGATATGGGACGCTGGGACCCATCAGGCATCTTGTGAGAGAGGACTGCACCCAGTCCGTACTGTGATGCGTCCGTAGCAAGAATAAGTTCTTTCTCACTGTCAAAGTGCACCAGGACTTCTGCTGAGTTAAGAAGTCTTTTTGCTTCTATGAAAGCATCGTTCTGTTTGGCACCCCATAGCCACTTAATGTCCTTTTTCAGAAGGTAGTGTAGAGGAGCTAGGACCGTTGATAGGTTTTGCAAGAATTTCCCATAGTAATTTAGTAAACCCAGAAATGACTTAAGTTCAGTAATGTTTGTAGGAGCAGGGGATCTTTGATGGCATCCACTTTCTCTGGTAGTGGGTGTAGGCCCTCCGCACTGATTCTATGCCATAAATACACAACATCTGGAGCTTTGAAAACACACTTTTCTTTCTTGATCCTTACGCCTGCTGTTAAAAGTTTCTCCAACACAGTGGTGAGGTTCTCCATGTGTTTGGTATCATCCTGACCTGAGATGATGATATCATCCTGGTAACCACCAGTCATAGGAATGTTCTGTAAGAGATTGTCTATGCAGCGCTGGAATATGCCCGGTGAGGATGAAATTCCAAAAGGCAATCTGTTGAATCTGAACAACCCTCTATGGGTGTTTATGGTTGTGTAGTCCTTCGACTTCTCGTCGATAGGAAGCTGGAGCAAGGCGTCACGGAGGTCTATCTTTGTGAACGATTTTCCTCCAGAAAGTTTTGCGTACAGATCTTCGATCCTTGGAATTGGGTATGGGTCTGGCTTGCATGCTTGGTTCACTGTGACTTTGTAGTCTCCACAGAGTCTCACTGTTTGATCTGACTTGAGTACAGGGACTATCGGAGTGGCCCACTCCGAGTGTTGTACTGGTTCTATTATTCCTTCTGCAAGGAGACGGTCAAGTTCTTTGTCGACCTTTTCCTTCATGGCATAATTAAGTGGTCGTGCTTTGAGAAACACTGGCTTTGCATCTGGTGGAATGTATATATCTTACCAACCATACCCTTGATTCCACCTTGTTCCTGGAAAATATGTGAGTATGTCTGGAGCACATCCTCGATGTCCTGGGGAGAAGATGATACATTGTTCAGTTCATCAAAACGTGTCACATTGAACAGTCGAATCCAATTTCTTCCGAACAGACTGGGTCTCTCACCTCTGGCTACGAGGAGTTGTGATGTAACTGTTTGGTTCTGGAATGTGATGTTTACCTCTGCACATCCTATCAAGTCCACAATGTTTCCCGTGTAACCCCGTAGGATTAATGAACTTTCTTTGAGCTGAGGGGCTTGTTCTGTCTTCCAAATGCTCTTGAACGTTTTAAGACTCATGATGGAGATGCTTGCACCTGTGTCAAATAGCATGGTTACGGACTGGCCGTTGAGATGTACTGTTATCATGATTGGTTGAGACATTGGTTCACTTATGGTGTAAAGTTCATATTCTTCTTCTGCTTCACTTATGTCTGACTGATCGACATTCTCGAGAAGATTTGCTTGGTGGCCTTGTCTCCGCTTACGTTTGAAACAAGCACGTTTGATATGTCCTTTGATGTGACAATAACTGCACTCCACATCCACATATTTGCATTGATCAGGGTTATGTGAGTCGTCTCCACACCTAAAGCACTTGCGTCCTTTCCCCTTATCATGTGAAGGTTGAGGTCTGTCCTTTCTATTGAACTTGTGTGAACTGTCTCTTGGTTTTGAATACTGTTTCTTCTTTACAAAGTTTATGTCTGCAGATGCTTGATCTTTCTTTCCTGCTGGATTCTGAATGTCAACAATATTCTTAGCTGCCATCTCCATACCTTGAGCAATTTCTAAAGCACGTTTGTAGTTTAATCCTGCTTCAAACAAAAGTCTCTTCTGAATTGCATCATTAGCAACACCACATACTATCCTGTCCCTCAACATTTTCTCCAATTCTGTCCCATAATCACAATATTCGGCTAAGCGCCGTACTTCTGCCACATATTCAGAAATAGACTGACCTGGCTGACGAAAGCATGTGTTGAATTTGTACCTCTGCACAATAGCCGACGGTCGTGGATCGTGATGAGTTTGAACAACTTCCACAAGTTCTTCAAAAGGTTTATCCTTTGGCGTGGCAGGAGATATCAAATTCCGAATGAGTCCATATGTCTTTGGTCCCACACAACTGATGAGAATCGACCTCCGTATGTCAGCGTCGTCAATCTTGTTTGCCGTGAAGTGTGCTTCGAGCCGTTCGGTGTAACAAGTCCAGGTTTCCACAGCTGGGTTAAATTCTCCAAACTTACTGCAGTCAGACATCGTAGAGATGGTTGGAGAGGTTTCACCTCGTCGCCAATTATGTCAAGTATTACACTCAACGGGGAGTATAACAGTATTTTATTCACGTTTGCGTGAGTACACATGTGAGCATATGGTCGCCATGCTGTTCGCTGTTCGTGCGCATACGTGCTCGGGGAGTCCTCCTTAATACCTCAACAGGGACCATTAATTTAGCTATTCTGCCACTGCTGACCCGATACATCACAATCATGAAAATGATGATGAAGTGGTCGCGAAGGTTCCAGTATTTTTCCAATCAGGAAACAAAAGAAATGTGAGGCTGGGACACGTTAACAACATACCTTTCACACTGGAGGAGTAGTGCGGGCCTTTACATCGACCGAGACCAACTACTGTCAAGTTTCCAACTCTGGTATGAGCCGATTCTGTCTTGTGTTAAAGTTGTAGTTGGAGAGTGAGTTACAATTTTACGTCACATCGGAAATGGTTCAACAAATTTGACATTAAAAAGAATATACATGTGTATTATATAAACCTGTCAACGAAGGACAGTAAAACAACTAGAATGTCATAGTTGGAATTAGAAGATAAAGCTACTCTCTTTTCAATTTTGCAAGACCGCTAAATGTAATGTAAAAAACAGAGTAGCTTTATCTTCATTCTAGCACGACTGATAAGCGTTTTAAAACCGAACTGGTTGGCTCGCAAGAACACAAGGCGCGAAGGGGCCTTTTTCCTGGAAATCGCTTGGAATCGTCCCGTTGAGGGACAGGTTGTGTAATGAACAAAATAAGGCATTTTCAACAACATAAATGCTTTATTTCAGGAACCAGTATGCTTGTATTTCTAACAAGTAGCATACATAAATAAAAAAAATACAGTTTATACTGTGAACAAGAATAATTATTTGATTTTTCTCTAGCGAATTATTGATCTCCCCTACTGTATGACAATCGACTCGCCCAAATTCAAGCCGTGAACTCGCTAAGTTTAGTCGCCGCTAACTTTATTAACGGAAATAATTGTTGATAACCACTCTACTATTTCCAATATGGAAAAGACCTGACATGCCACGTTTTATGTGGGATACATGGACAGTGGAAGTGGAAGGACTGGGCATTACGGACGCGGTCAGGTTAGGACGTGTGGGCCGACGTGTGTTGTCGATGTCAAATTCTTCTTCAAACTGTTCGCTTTATACTTCAAAGACACCAAAGATGCTGCCGAGATAGAAATTGCCGATGTCCGACATGTTTGTGTACAAACAATGATCAACGAGTTCGTTGTATTCATACGCGGTGAATCGTCACTTTAATTAGCGGTCTTAAACTGCCATTTCAGTACGGTTTTGATGAGCTCTCAGCCAATCAGAATTGAGTATCACACAATGTCGTGCTAGAATTAAGAATAGCGGGTAACATTAAGATAATAACACTATTTGGACAATACACAATATAAAACAGGATATACATCGCCAGCAATTGAAGGGTGATCCCCATGCTAGACTGACTGACTGACTGAGTTTAGTTTTACGCCGCTTTTAGCAATATTCCAGCAATATCACGGCGGGGGGACACCAGAAATGGGCTTAACACATTGTGCCCATGTGGGGAATCGAACCCGGGTCTTTGGCGTGACGAGCCAACGCTTTAACCACTAGGCTACCCCACCGCCCCCCCCCCCATGCTAGAGACCATGGGGACTTACATTACTTTTGCTACCTGCATGGACCCGAGCTGGATTTATATCATCTCTTCAGCCGCTGGCGATTGTAGTCAAATTTAGCCATAATTTAAAATCACAAAAATTCTACGTTTAAAAATGTGGTTGTTTAAAGGAGAATACTAACGTAAACAAAACTTTTCATAGGGGTAAAGTCATTCTAAAAGTCACCTTCCGTGCTTAAAATTGAACAAAACGTTTGTAAAATCGCAATAAAAACACAACAGGACGTACTCGTATTTCCGCCAATAATGGAAACACATTTAATGAGCAGTGGGGATATCACGCTACATGACGTCATATGTGCCTGTTGCTGACGGATTCCTCTTTGATTTTACCTCACAACTTATGTCCATGGATTCTGAAGCAATAAAAGATGTTCCTGATGTCATTTCAGAAATGGATGTTAGACCGGATCAATACGATCCGATTTTACATCTTGCAAACCAATATTCCGGTGAAAATGCAGAAGAAGAATCAAGCGAAACAGAGGCACCGCTTGATGTTAAAATATTTTAAAAATAGACCATATAATTTATCAGGAATATTATTTGTCAGCAACATGTGATACAGTCAAACCAGCACACCCATCCCTATAAATAAATTATCAGTCCCTAAGAAAACATTTTTTGCGAAATGTGACTACACTTCCTTTTTTGTCAAATGGGTGACTGCAGGGTGTCTGAGATTTAAAAAGAAAGACCGGGTCATGCTTCAGACGGGGGAAAATAGACAGTATCTGCTACAAAAATTACACTGGAATTATTTTGTTGATTAAAATTAGGATCCTTGTCCCCATTAATAAAGTATCAAGTCCCCATACGATATCCGAGCTTGGTGGAGTAGAGATAATATAAGCCACGCAGAACTTAATAAGTTATTCCCCGAAAACTGGCGAATTATTAAATCCTAGTCAGGACAATGTATGTTTCGCTAGATTTTGCTTATGTAAATAGTTATGTTGCTCGCACATAACCTTAGAATGACATCTTGTCAGCCAGTGAGAATACAGAACAACTTTCACGGCAAACACTACCGATAAATAGCGAGTCTGGTGCCGACGTGCGCAATTCGACAAAATGGAAAATAATGAATGTAACTAGCACTTCATGATTTGCCGTTGTATTCGGTAATTTTTCGGGCTGACTGCAGCATTTATGGCTCCAAACCGGAACGAGCGTTATAGCCAAACATTTTCAAGATTATGTGAAATCTGTTACTGATATATATCTCATGGGTACCAGACGAACTGCCCCAGCAAATTTGGTCATTGATCCTAATGTCCTCAAATCTATTTACAACGATAATAATATATACCATAAATGCATAGTTTTGGTCAACTTTGATATCATGTTCTTCATATAAAAGTTATTAGGAATACTTTGCTTCTCTAAATATCATATTTATTGTAGCAACAAACTGGCTTGCTTATTTTACCCCATTCAACAATCACGAACTGATTACCGCCTCGTTTTCCACTGACTGCTAGTTTACAGTAACATCGGTAAAAATGTGTGAATTTAAATGGCTTCCGTATTTTACCCCATTCCATGTGCTTACCACGTTCATGAGGGTCCGTATAACCTTAGTGTTGATTATATATATTTTACATAAAAACTGTAAATAAAATTACCCAATGCTAGGATATATTTCTTTGGGTTAAATAATAGTATTCTGTATTATATTTTACTGACGCCTGCGTCAGAATTCATTCCGTTATATTATTGTGCATGTTTGAACTTGTTCGCCAGGAAACGTGTGCAATGATATTTTTATCGTTTGAGGGACGAATGAGATAGAAATTACTTTCTCCTAGCGTAGGGGAATACAACAAAGGGGTGTAATTCAGTCGTAGGTGGCGCCTAATGAGAGTATATAAGGCGTATGATATTTGAATTGTCATTCTCGCTTGTTGTGCACCAAGTATAC